GTTTTTATTTCTTCATATTCGTCAGTATTGTATCTCCACCTACATGTATGGGCTTGGAGGTCATACATCGAAAGGATGTCCGTCTAAGTTTGAAGTCGGTCGCAGGAGCTTTCAAAAGATAATGTTGGTGGATAACTGTAGTATGTGCGACTCTAAATAACATTTACTTACTAATTTACTTGCTTATCTTTTCTTTGTGCTTTTCTTCTGCACTATTTACTTTTGTATCGATGCGATGATATCACAAACTTTAAATTAACTTCTTTTACAGGTACAATATTAATATCGTAGCATACAAGTCTGATTGGGGATTATTTCAAAAATGGTCAATGGGTGTAATAGAGTTATTTGTGCAATTGTTTGCACCTGTCCTAAGTCAGGAATCTAATGTTCAGTAGTTGTCGTTTGTTGATGTGGTTCATAAGTGTTTCTCGTTTCTCGTTTTTATTTATATAAATAAGACCGTTGGTTTTCCCGTTTGAATGGTTTTACGCTAGTAATTTTTTGGGGTTCTTTATAGCTTGCTGCTCGGTGTGAGCCAAGGTTCCGTGTTGAAGACCGTAATTTGACCTATATTGGTTTACTTTTATAAATTTTGACTTGGATGGAGAGTTGTCTCATTGGCACTCATACCACATCTTCTTATATCTATTATCTCTCTTTATCCAGCAAGCTAGACCTCTCTTCCACAATGTCCATGACTTTTATGTGTATTGCATTGTGCCATACCTAATAAATACAACCAGAGTCCGCGGATTGAAAAAGAGGTGCATGAAAGTGTGAGTGAACGTACCAAAATGCGTAATGTGCGATAGGTCCCAGTGATTAGGAAAATAGAGAAGTTGAATTTATATTTGAATTTGCATAACGAGACATTAATACCCTCACTATATTATAAGGGATACTTAACAAATATGCACCATCATGTGTAAAATACAATTTAAAACAGGGTTTAAGTCTACAAAGGTGAGCAGGTCATGCTCTGCTAGTGGCTCCCGTCGAGTGCACTGCATTATGTGCCAAAATCGTCCCCCCCCCTAAAAAAAACAACATTTATTTGCTTTATTTCAAATTGGCAATCTAACCATTTATTAGTCTTATTGGAAAAATACAGGAACGATAATTGTCCTGGGCAACCCTGGTGACCAGTGCACGTGATGCTTTTGCAGAATATTGATACCTACGTATAAGCGTTGCTTGTTTCGTTTTCAAGTCCATTTTGGGAAACAATGCCGTAGGATGATCACTAATTTGAACTTCGTAAGGCGGTGTCGCTATTACAGTCAGCCAACCCAATACAGCAGTTCAAGGAAACACAAAAATCAGAAACAACACTCCTAACAGAAGTCGCATCATATATATAAAATTTAAATGAAATCGGAAGTTTTTGTAAGAAACAATTTAAGAATTTAAAATCGTCAGGTCATCGGCAATACGGACCATTTTAACTTAATCGGTGAGTATATCACGCATTTAGCCCCTGAAAGATTAGATAAATTTCTCGAGTTCGAATGCGTCAATTTTTTGGGGTTTAGTTCTTTTAACGACATTACAGTAAAAAGTAGAGTGATAAATATCAGCTTATATAAAAAAAAATTGTGAGAAACATTACATTTTACAGATGACATGCTGATTTCTTTATTCAAAAGTCTGTGGTACAAAAAAAAACCCTCAGGTTTAACATAACTTTTGTGTGAATGCGCGGATATGTCAATTACAGTCAGCTTCGTTGGAACATTCTAGCAAACCAAGGCGGAAGATACCAAGGGAACATTAAAAACGTACACCGTCATGGCAAGAAACGAAAGACGACGAAAACACAAGCAAGTTCACAAAACGCTCTATAGTACTGAACTAGTATATATTATTGTTTAGGGGTCATCTGAATGCCGCCTGCGGGTGCGATATTTTCTCGCTGCTTTGAAGGCCCATTTGTTCCCTTGTGCCTTTTTCTACTCTTTTGTTGGGTTGTCTCTTTGACACATCTCCCGTTTTCATTCTCTATACTATAGAAAACAAAAGACTGATGAAAACTAACCCACTATTAACCGGGGTGATCCTCATGTTCTCCAGAAGGGTTTAGCAGATTCGGCTCTATAAGTTCAAGTAGTGAAATGCACACGCTATATTTAGAATACGACAAGAGGAAAGACGCATTCCAAAAACGGAAAAATAATAGGGATAATTGTAAAATCGAAATTGTCTCTTTTATTTTTTCCCCTCCATTTTTTACCTACACAGTTATGTCCATACTGGACAAAATTAATTGTTATTATTAGCGTTACAAAGGCTGAAGGAGTTATAACGGCTTTGACTGACTATATAAAATAATTTAAATCGCTTTAGCATAATTCGGAACATTTTTCAAAAAAAAAATTTACATTGGATTTGTTTTCCAATATGCTAAGCACAAACAAGGTCATCACACAAAAAACATGCTGGTGAAACTGTTATTGAGGAAACCTGACATTGTATAACTGTTGAAACCATGAAGATAAGTCGTACGTACATTAACCTATCAATTAAGTGTAGGATTTTTTTAAAGTTTCAATTAATAAGTGCATGTTTCCACTTTTTTTTGTTCCGGATTTGCTTATGTATACTTTTAGTAATTTAATTATCGTTACACAGTGACGTAATTTATTTACTAAAGGATACGGGAAAATTATTGAATCAGCAGTTTTTTACTAGTAAATTCTGAAGCTTTTAAAAAACTTAATATTGTTTAGACTATAGTGTATTATTCATCTTTATCAAACCGATTTCCGTCATAATATATAACTGAACAAAGTTTTGGCTTTGAATTTTTGTCGTACATGTAGAAATCTTAATACAAACGAGATATCACATCCTAATTTTGATGTCGTGTATAGAGCTCGTAAACTAAGATACGATTCATGTAATCTTTTTGGTCCTTTGAATATACTTATTCTTAAAGAAAATTAAGTCAGTTTACAGATTTATCGGGGGCAGGGGGTACTTTTCCCCCTCCCCAGTCGGGGTCACCAAATTTATTTTAACATAATTTTATTGCAACTGAATCTGAATATCTAAAACGAAAATTAAGCCACAGCTTGATTTGACTTTCTAAACTGGTCGTTTATTAACCAAAGCTTTTATTATGCATGATTTATGTCAACTTATCGATTGGTGTGTAAATATTTACACCTATGTGTAATGTCTTTTTCCAAAAAAAATATGTGATAAAACTACATGTCACATGCTGATTTGAATACGAATATTCTTATTGGTTTCAAATACAATATTACAGGATTAAGATCAATTAACTTGAGAAATTTTCTTATCACGAGATATTACCAACTTACTAAAATCGGTCTTTAAAGAATATATATATATATATATAGGTACAAATAGATGTTTAGTGTCAAGAATGATGGTATCGATATGGGATAGATATGTCTTTCTAACAAAACACTCACCTTTCCATGATTACGGTTTCTGGGGAAGGTTTTTTTTCTCTCGGAACAGTCTTTTTGACTTTATTCAACAACAAACTTTTTTTTTTTTTTCAATAACATACAGGAACATTTTTAAAAACTTGTTTTCGCTTATTTTCAATGGAAACCAATAATTTGTTTAAAAAACCTTGTCCACCCTCCACAAAAAAAATGAATGGTTAGTACCTAGAATAATAAAATACTACTGTATTTTTTATAAGACCTATTATATAGAATACAAAATAATACATGTAAAGTTTTCCTTATCTCTATTACCATGTTTAAGGGTATAAATGGGGTTTACAGATTAGAGAATAATGGACAAAAAAAGTCGAGATTTATTAGAAAAATCGGGACCAAAAATATAGACAACAGAATAAAGGGTGGTGAAATATAAAGAATAGAGTGAAATTGTCCAAAATTAACTCAAATATATAGATGTTGACCTGGTACACCCCTCCCCCAAACCACCACACTCACTCGCATATATACACATACAAACAAATATTTAATTTTGGTTTCATGGTGTCCCGATCCCCTCTCGACATTAAGGTTCTGGATCCGCCCCTGGTTTAACATATTTAGTAAGATTTGAATATTCTCTTTATCGGTACTAACATTGATTTCATTTTTCATGGCTTAACCTGTTTTGATATCCAGTTATATATAAAATTGAGAATGGAAATGGGGAATATGTCAAAGAGACAACAACCCGACCAAAGAGCAGACAACAACCGAAGGCCACCAATGGGTCTTCAACGCAGCGTGAAATTCCCGCACCCGGAGGTGGTCCTCAGCCGACCCCTAAATAAAATTGTGTACTAGTTAAGTGAAAATGGACGTTACACTAAACTCGAAAACATATAAATGAACTAAAATTAAAAAAACATACAAGACTAACAAAGGCCAGAGGCCAGGCTCCTGACTTGGGACAGGCGCAAAAATGCGGCGAGTTAAACATGTTTTGTGAGATCCCTGATCCTACATTCTCTTAAACTGGACCTCTGTTGTGTTCACTTATCGCTATACTATCCTTCGGTGCGGAGATTTAGATGGAATGGCGGACCAGTTTAACATTCCGAGGCTCTACGATACATACACATGTCGCAGGAGGTATCATTTTTCGCAGACTGAACTATTAGACAGAGCAGGACAAGCTGTTCTGCTTCCAACAAACTGGCTATTTTTCATTACTTCTTAAGAATATTATTAGGCCAATAGTTCCTTTTAATTTCCTCAAAGTTTATCTGATCATAACTATCATTTTTTTACATCCTTGTTTTACTTTAATACTTGTTTAAATTCTGTTTCTGATTTGCAGTCTATTCTTTGATTTAGAAATAGGCTGGTCCAGTTTTTAATCCATGAATATATGATTTCGGCGATTGTTTTTATTTATTAATGGAGTGATCTTAATCTGGGACTTTTATACTAGTTAGTATAATAGTCCCAGTCGGACATGAATGAAAAATTACTGGATTACAAAAAAATAGTCCGGATTTTCCCCCCTTTCCGTTCCGTTCCGTTCCTAACTTTATGATCAGTTAAAGGGAGAGAATTTCGAAGGGACGGTACTCATTTCCCCGCCAGGCAGTAGCAAGTTGTGTTTGCGAATTTTGCCACGATGGCCAACTTTATTGGTCGAAGAGTACGGATCATAACTGATAGCCGAACGTATGAAGGATATGTGCATCTTCTGGACCAACAAAATCATCAGATATCTCTTCAAAAAGGTTTTTACAACTCAATCTTTTTTTTATAATTTTTACTGTATAAATCGTTTAAGGTTCATCATAACATTAATGGACAAATATGGCCGTATTTTCACCTCAAAAACTACTCTGTGTACAGACTTACCTGTGCAGTTTGGAAAGTTTTAAGGCCTGGCATCCACTAGATATATAAAAGTTAATTTCATTTTGCATATCAGTAAGATAAAATCTTTTTTGCATTATGATGGGCATTTTTTTTCGTTCCTGCAGAAGGTGTAAAAATTAACTAAGTTGGGATACAACTTTGAGATGCTCCCCCTCAGGTAACAACTGGTTTGTATTGTATTAATTGTCCTTGATTGGCATGGACAATAGATATCTACACATCTATAGGTGAGTTAAAGGTAGAAACTGAATGGACAGTATCAAATGCAATTCAGGTGTTTGTTTATTTTTACACCCTCTGCAGGAAGGAAAAAAATGCCCATCAAAATCCAAAAACGATTTTATCTTTCTGATATGCAAAATAAATTTAACTTTTATATATCTAGTGGATGCCAGGCCTTAAAACTTTCCAAACTGCACAGGTAAGTCTGTACACAGAGTAGTTTTTGAGGTGAAAATACGGCCATATTTGTCCATTTGTTATGATGAACCTTAAAAAACCCACATCAACGTGGGAGACATGTCATACAATTAAGGACGTCTAGACTCTCGATTCATCATTACTCTTTGTTATGTAACGGCATAGGCGTTTATCAGTCAGGGGTGCTACTTAAACAAGTGATTTCATCATCACTTATTTCAGTGATTTGATAAATTCAGTTATCACCTATTTAAGTGATTTTAGTGTTTTCTTTGATCTTCAAATGCTAATTTCATTGATTTTCCATATTTTCACAATCTTTTCTATAATTTTCCTACATAAATCAATTATCCCTTTTTCTTTGTATATTAATTTCACCAGTGCGCTTGGGCAGTAAGTTATATATAATTAGTGCCTAAAGCTTTTAAAAGTACCCTTGGCCTTGGGAATTTTTCTGTAATCAAAAATTCATTAACTACTCTTACTATCAGACAAAGATCAACAATATTAGGTAACCTGATTGGTTTTCTTTAGAGTTAGAATGATCTACTTCAAGGTTATGACCTGATCTACAAACTATTCCAGTTTTTGCATATTTTAAAAAAAACTGTAAAAGTGTCAGGCTTATCAAGCAAAAGACAATTTCTGTATGTACATAGTTGTTTTTTCAATGGAATTGTCTTTTTACCAATAAAAAAATCAAGCTTGTGGGAAAAATATCAAGAAAATGTTATAAACACTTATTAAAGTGATTACATTTTAACTTCTAAAATTACTTGTTTCAGTGATTTTAAAAAGTCTGTGTGAAAATTTTTAATATTTCACAACCAAATCACTCGAGGAAGTGATTCTGAAATCACTTGTTCAAGTAGTACCCCTGACTGTTTATAACGGTTATAAATCATCATAGTTTATTGTGAATATAAATCATCAATATGTTTATCACAGTTGTATTTCCGTATCACTAAAAATTTCTTGTATATTCTGTTATAAAAATTTCACATTAAAAATTTAAATATATTTTTTTCCTCTTTCATAACTTCAATCTCATAGAAATATTAGGCAAGAGTAGACATTACTAATACTATATTGTTTGCCAATAATTAAAAATCTTATAAAGCTGTCTGACAGACATGGCAGATTACAAATATTTATACATCTTACAAATTTTGTATCACTATTTATTCTAATCCGGGTAAGTTCTGAAATAACACAACTTTTTCACAACATCTCAAACCAATTAAAGCTATCTTGACCAGGCCATAATCTTGCCGGCGAAATGACGATTTAAGTCGCCAAAGAATTTTGAAAATCGCTAAATCTCGCCGGCCGACTGACTTCATAGCGAAGTCAAATCGCTATCAAAATCGGTAAAAGGGAGACAACTTGTGATTGACAAGTCTCACAGTTAAAAAAAATGGCGGCTGACAAGGAAAATCGAGATTTTCGAAACGACCCAGGACTAATACTGTAAACGATCAAATTAAATAAATACAACGGCGACTTTGAACATCCTCGGATATAACTTTCAAAACTGTTGAAACGGAAAACTGACCGTCTGTTTAAGTTATCGTTTTACGATGATTTTCATCTGAGGATGTTGCGTAATCACTCAGCTGATTTGTTTTATTTTTATTACCTACACGAGTCGATCAATTTTGCTATTCGGTAGGTAAAGGGTGGGAATTAACGGTAGATTTATTATATTCATTGAATAAAAATTGAAATATAAAAGGTAGAAAGACAGCTGATAGATAATGTGATTGCAAACGTACGACACTCGACCAGATTGTGATCAGCAGTGGATTTTTTCTCATGACCACTTCGTTGATATGGATGATATTTTTAAAAAATGATAGAAATTGGCTCTTTATCGGACAATTAACTTGAGATTGAAAGATATATTCATTTATAGACTTATAATCTTTAACGATAATCTCAATTTACTACAACTAACATAAATGTCCTGGAAATTCAATAATGTTTTACAAAACAATGACAAGTGGTGTTATAAATTAAATTCCCAGTCATGTGAAATTCATCATATTTTTCTGGAGTTTTAAAAATAAATTGAGGCAGATGCACATGAATTCAATGCATCATAATCTTGATAATATTACTAGGCTACTCCCTCGTGTCCCAATCAACAAATTTTATTTAGAACACATTATGGTATCAATAAATAAATAACAACTATGTATTGTCTAAACCTTTTTATTAAGAACTTTCTATATAAACATTGTGTACAATACCATATGAAAAAACTGCAAGTACATCTTTTATTGAATATAAAACAATTTCCTTAGTGATAAGCTTGAAAACACGATGCAACCGAAACGGTAATGGAATCTCACTTCTCCAAGAAGTTGACCACTTCTCCCTTCTCTCTCTTGGAAGGAGAAGTCACTTCTCCCTCTTCAAAATCCTAGATTAGGCCCTGCTTGACCCTGTTCAAGCAATGTTTTGTGAATAAAACTTTGCAAAGAGACATGTTTAAACCATTGTAAAAATTTCAAAAAAAAGCATTTTAAGACTTTGATTTGTGTTTCAAAAAATTGGACCATAATCTATCAACATTTCTGAATGATCACTTTCAAAACTTTTTGTTCACTCAGTTCATTACTGATGACCCTAAGTCTTAGCATTATTCCTTAGACATCTGACATATAACTGCTTCATTGGAGATTTCCTCATTTTGTAAATTGTGTTGTAATATCATGAAACTACAGTAAATGTTGCAAATTGAGGTCCTATGAAAATACATTTTAACAAAACAAAAAACAACTGACCAACTATTTCATTATCATTTAATTATGACCCATTGGACAAATAATGACACCTGTCATTGCCTGTTGTGACCGTTATATACATGTAATTTGGGATAGTAAAACTAGCAGTAAACATGATGCAAGATAATATTGAAGATTTTTTGTTACTTTTGCACATTTAAGTGATGAAGTTTTTTGAAATTAATCAGAAATACCGCCTTTAGGTGTGTATTAAACACACTCATGCATAATACGCACCCCTTTTTATACGACCGCAAAAATTAAAAATTTTTTGGTCGTATATTGGTATGACGTTGGCGTCGTCCGAAGACACATTGGTTTTCGCACTCTAACTTTAGTTAAAGTTAATGGATCTCCATGAAATTTTACCATAAGGTTCTATACCACGAAAGGAAGGTTGGGATTGATTTTGGGGGTTATGGTACCAACAGTTAAGGAATTAGGGGCCAAAAAGGGGCCAAAAATAAGCATTTTTGTAACTTCCAGACAATAACTTGTGTGTAAGTGTATGGATCTCTCTGACATTATACCACAAGGTTCCATATCACAAAGGGAAGGCTGTAATTGATTTTGGGGGTAATTGCCTCAAAATATTAGGAATTAGGGGCCAAAAAAGGGGCAAAAAACAAGCATTTTTCTAGTTTCATGACAATAACTTGTGTGTAAGTGTATGGATCTTTCTGAAATTGTACTACAAGGTTCCATATCACAAAGGGAAAGCTGGGTTTGAGTTTGGGGGTAATTGCCCTAAACGTTTAGGAATTTGGGGCGAAAAAGGGGCCAAAAAGCGAGCATTTTTCTAGTTTCCAGACAATAACTTGTGTTCAAGTGTATGGATCTCTCTGAAATTGTACTGCAAGGTACCATACCTCAAAGGGAAGGCTGGGATTGAGTTTGGGGGTGATGAATCATAAGGGGGTTCAAAAAATTTGGGGGGGGGATTTTTTTTTTTTTTCTTTTTTTCCTTTTTTTTTTCTTTTAAAATTTTCCATTTTAAATTGGTTATTTCTGATTTATATTTAAAAGCAAATAATAATGATATGGTAGGAGATACACACCAAACAGGATGTGTAAATTATTATAATATAAGTATTGTGCAATAGCAAGAAATTTTCAATTGCACAGTATTGCACAATAGCAAGAAATCTTCAATTGCACAGTATTGCGCAATAGCAAGAAATCTTCAATTGCACAGTATTGCGCAATAGCAAGAAATATCCAATAGCACAATATTGCGCAATAGCAAGAAATATCCAATTGTACAGTATTGCGCAATAGCAAGAAATATTCAATTGCACAGTATTGTGCAAAAGAAGATACTTCGTATAAATTGCTTATTTCTTGATCAATTTCAATGGGGTTTTATTCTTGAATTCTTGGGGTTCTTTAATATGCTGAATCTAACTGTGTATTAAGTTTTTGGATTTTGGGCCCCGTTTTTAAATTGGTCCACATTGAGGTCCAAAGGGTCCAAAATTTAACTTTGTTTGATTTCATCAAAAATTGAATTATTGGGGTTCTTTGATATGCCGAATCTAACCATGTATTTAGATTCTTAATTTTTGGTTCCGTTTTCAAATTGGGTCTACATTAAGGTCCAAAGGGTCCAAAATTAAACTTAGTTTGATTTTAACAAAAATTGAATTTTTAGGGTTCTTTGATATGCTGAATCTAAACATGTATTTAGATTTTTGATTATGGGCCCAGTTTTCAAGTTGGTCCAAATCGGGGTCCAAAATTAAACTTTGTTTGATTTCAACAAAAATTGAATATATGGGGTTCTTTGATATGCTGAATCTAACCATGTATTTAGATTTTTGATTTTTGGGCCCTGTTATAAACTTTGTCCACATTGAGGTCAAAAGGGTCCAAAATTAAACTTTTGTTTGATTTCATCAAAAATTGAATTCTTGGGGTTCTTTGATATGCTGAATCTAACCATGTATTTAGATTTTGGATATTGGACCATAATAGGTGAATGTCCAATTTAAAATTTTTAAGTTCTTAGACCACATTCATTCTGTGTCAGAAACCTATGCTGTGTCAAATATTTAATCACAATCCAAATTCAGAGCTGTATCAAGCTTGAATGTTGTGTCCATACTTGCCCCAACTGTTCAGGGTTCGACCTCTGCGGTCGTATCAAGCTGCGCCCTGCAGAGCATTTTATTCACCCTTGAAACCTGATAAAAAAAGTTTCTTCTTATGCTTTACAATTACACGCAGGGACTTTCTGGAAAAATCCTAACTTGAAACTCGGTAAATGCATCCATTGAAAATGATTTCTTTTTTAGAGACAAATTGAACTCCAGTCCTGGTTGATTACAGGATAATGAAACTATTGTTGCAGAATAAATGATTTAGCAAATGATGTTTGATTCTTTATTGTTTGATTGAGAACAACAGGAAGTGTTAAATCGGGAAGTTGTTTAAATGCAAATCGTAGTCAGTGAATCCTGGATGAATACGGAATCATTACGAATATTCCTAATTACACAATAAATAAATAAATTGTAATATTTATGTTGATAAATTAGTGCTGAAATAAATATTAATCTCTGTTAATTTTATTTAGTGTTTGTTGGAACTCATTGAATCTTACGTATACAGCCTTATCATGCTTATTGAATGTCAATTAGGAAGTCTAATCGTTGTCAAAACAGATCAATTGACTGATTAATTTTGTTCCTTAATCTAATCCATACAGTTTACAAGATGGCATTGACATGTCTGCAATTATCATGATTATGATTTGTATGAAGGTTTTTTTTAAAAATGTTACAAAGTAAAAACATGTTTAAAATCATCATCTTTGTTCAACTTTACAACTGTTAAAAGACACATAATCACCTGATACTACGAAAGTCGCTATCATCAAAATGGCATGTTTCGTTCAATTTTCATACATTTACCTTCTGTATTCCGTGTTAGAACACATATACAAAGTAAGTGATAAACTCTATAAACACCTACACTAATTTAGCCAATGTCAGAATCCTTCATCTTTAATTTGGACGCAATCAAATGCAACTTCTGGGCGGCAAGGGAGTACACAAGATAACACAAAAAAACAACTACTAAAGCAATTAAATGATTTTTATTTGCATATAACAGTACAAATTAGATATAAGAAGGTACAAATATACATGTAAAACATAACAACAATCAAGTTTATGCTATGAAAATATTTTCCTCCAGACCACCTGGTTTCTTGATCGGAATTTGGCCTGAAAAAAGTCTCAAGAACAGTGTAGCCATACATGTATAATACACACCCCCTTTTCAGAAACAATTCCCAGGGTGAAAACTCGCGTATTATACACACTTAAAGACAGTACTTTTGTAAATTTGAAAAACTGTTTTGAACATGTTGTACAGGGAGAAAGTGACGAGCACTGGCAAAGCACTGATACATGTAACACTCCATGAATACCTGTTTTTATTTATCTATGCAGGTAATGACAGTAATCATGTCTCTGTAAAAAAAAATTCTGAACCTATGGGAGATGGCAATACCTGTTGTATAAAAAAATTAGAATACACAAAAGTACAAATTGAGGTTTGCTTTATTTTACAGTGGTAATTCCTGATACTGGTAAAAAGTTGAATGGACTACAGACCTTCTTCCAGGATGATATAACAAACAGTAAGAAATGTGCATTTTGAAAATGACCCCTTTTTGGGCAAATATTTATTAGTAATTGTTCTTATAAATTTAATTGGGACACTGGTACTGTCATACATATATAAAGTTTCTAGACAAGAGAAGCCAAAATCTAAAGTTTCAATGCTTGGAAATTTCTATGAGAAAATGGTAACATAGTTTAGGTAAACTTGTAAAAGCCTGTTACTGAAAATTCTGAAAAAAAAATTGGATAATAATTTAGATCTTGATACCTTTTTTGTTATGTTAACTGTTAAGTATGATTTTTTGAAACCAACCATACATTTATTTCATGTGTTTATTTCAGTTGAGGTTCTGGAAGAGGAATGCAAGAAAGTGGAAAATGATGATAAACTTCTTTCAGATAAAAGGTTCATAATACTTATCGTTAATTTTGTTTTTAATTAGGAATTGGTGTAATGAATTACATGTATCATGTTACAATGCATTAGGGGTAGTGAGTATCAAGGTAAAACATTACATATTGGCCCCTGTCTGTCAATCAGACAATACATCTACAAATTCCCTGTGAAATAAGGGAGCTACCATTTGATTTTTATTGGGGAGGCTAGGATGAAAAATTTTGTCCTGCATTTTTTTTTAGTTGTAATCTCTTTCCTGCATTTTTATTTTTCACTCCATTCGGTCCTGCCTTTTTTCATTAGTTTATCCTGATTTTTTTTACATAAATTGTCATCCTGCCTTTTTTTTTTGCCAAGTTACTCATCCTGCCTTTTTTTTCAAATTTCATCCTAGCCCCCCTATAAAAATCAGATAGTAGCTCCCTAAGTAAGCAACTTTAGGTCACTGTACTGCCTTCAACAATGAGCAAAACCCATACTGTACAAATGACAAATGTAAAACAATTCAACTGAGATAATTAACAGCCTGATTTATGTACAAAAAAATTAACGAAAAACAAATATGATATACAGAAACAACCAATGAATTGCATGCTCCTGACTTGTTAGTTAATTTAAGAACAATCTGTCCTATATTATATGTGGAATATACTAAGAGGTATTTCAGAGTGAATCACCAAAATTCACCAGTATTCACTGCATAAATTCACCAGGCAGTGGGATGTTTAACCAAGCCCCCTTACATGTAGGTGTACTGTATGGTAACTGCAGAACAATTTTGATTTTAAAATACTCTTTTTATCAACAGGGAGCATGGACCTCGGATGCTTCATACCAAATACTGTCCATCGCATTTAAAAAGATTGGTAGATTTTGAGCCATCAAATTATCTTTTGAAAAAGGTTGTCAATGAAGAAGAGGGTACTGGAGATGTTCCAAAACCAGGTTGGTTGTCATGGAAACTGAAATTTCAGCCACACAATAATTTAGATTTCAAGACTGAAAATGTTGGGAAATTTTTGAAAGATCTGTGATGTTTCATTGAAATATTAGACTTTAACAAGTATAAATATAATGAGATGTGGGGTATAAATCAATAAGACATCTTAAGGCATCATAAAGTCTTCCTATTGTATTTAAGTAGACATATAGACATATTGTAAAGCTGCATATAGTCCCAAGTCTATAAAAGTTGTGCATAAATTTAATGAATTAAACTGTCAATAATCTGTTATGTTAAGTTGAATTTTTTGAATTACATAAAACATTTTGGAACAATTAAAAAAAGTTTTTAAAATTTGGCCCTTGGACTAGATCCCAAAGATTTGTGAGAACTACAAGGTTTACAACATTAAAAACTTACAAAGGGCAAGCTCAACCCATTGATATACATTGTATTTGACATTAAAAAAAATATAACCAATTCCAGCAGCACGTCTGTGTATACCTTAATATAGGAAGAAACTCTCTTGTGCCCAAAACATGCCACTCTGACGTTTTTTTTTTTCAGTTAAAATGTACTCGGTCTGATTTGTAGTAATAGATTACTTGTTTTATGAAGTGTTTCATGTTAAGTATCATCTACTCAGGGGTCACCACACTTCAGAATTATAGGGAGAAGTGACTTCTCCCTGGCAGCAAAACAGGGAGAAGTGAAGACCCAACAGGGAGACTTCTGGTAGAAGTGAAGCCCCAACAGGGAGACTTCAGGGAAAATTGAAGGATCGTGTTAATTCTTTTTAAGAATCAAATTTTCCAAGCATGTATACCTTTTTTGTTATTTTTCAAAGCATTTTTGCATGACAACTGCTAAGGTGATATTTCCTTGCTTTGCCATGCTTGTGGTCTGAATTACATTTGTACTTACATATGCAAATTGTCAAAAAATATCATAAGGGCTGTTCCATTAAAACATACATGGTACCCAGGGAAGGCACTTTGAAAATGGCGTGACCACCCATACAGTACCATTCAAGAGGACCAGCTCTCCCACACCCTACACCAAGGAAAATGTTGGAGTCACTCCGAAAAACTCCGATATTCCTCCCAAAATGTTGGGAGGAATTTAGGAGTAATCTCTCCCAAAATCGCGTTATGTTTATTGTGATAGCGACCTCACTCCCTACACCGGGAATTTATTGCCCTTATCCTACTTTGGTCTCGACCGGCACACCACTGATAGGGTAATTGGGTTACCTGACAGGTAAAGGTTGATGTAATAAAGAATTATATTTCCGGTCTACTGTACCAGTTTAAGTGTCAAACAGGTGTATAATTTTAAATGTCTTTTTATACTGGTTAAGTTTAATTTTTGTGGTAATAATAAGTTAAAATATTTTCGTATTTCTTGCTTGCCAATCTAAAATATCTTTACCTAAATGTACTTGCTTTAAAAAAAAAGGATTATAAAATATAGTGGAAAATGTGAAAAAACGCAATATTTTTTTCAAAGTTAAAGTCTTTATTTGAAAATTATGTGTCTCAAAGTTTTGTATATGCAAGTAAAAAGGAAAATTTCACCATTTGTTAGGCATAATAATTATGTAAGTCTACGGCATTTTCTTTTTACGATTATCTAATTGCTTGAATGAATAAAAGATTTAAAAGCAAAATGTTGTTGTTAATTCTTTCAATTGCATAAAAGTTATATAAAAAATAAAAACTACTTAATTTTGACCTCGATGTCTTCACCAGTAAATTAATATTTTATTTACGAAATGGACATACTTGTGTAAAAATAACCGGAAACTTCCGCTAAATTAATGAGAGCAGTTTAAAGAATATCATAAAAATTACGTGTCACAAAGTTTTGTAAATGCAAGTAAAAAAGAAAATATTATTCACCATTCGTGATGCTTAATATTTACGGCATTTTCGTTTTACGATTTGTTGGCATTACTTTAGGATAATAATACATTTCGGTTACAACAGGAATACTTCCACAGCTGCATTAATTCGTCTTTTATAATATTTATTTTCGCACAATGAATGTAAATTTGTGTATTTTGAACAGTGATCGTAAAAGATTTAAAAATAATTATTTGCCGTGCGAAGACAATTCCACGATACACATCTCAGTTATCAACAGTTTGGGTTGAACTTGAACTTGACTAATTTAACAATGTTAAATGCTAAAAATAGTTAACATTAATTTTATCCACAGCACGAGATTTTTAAAGGGCGGGAAATAATATCACGTACCAGTAAACTCAGGTGACCTTTCTGGACGACCGTGGGAAAATTCATTCAGGTTTTTAAAGTTGCAGAACGACATTTTTGTGCGTTCGTATTGAGGCTCTAGAAGGTGTTTTTACAATTGATTAACCGGAATCTAAAATATAAATCTTTTCCGAATAAACGAGAACACATCTTCTTTAGCTATTTGATGTTTTATCAGTCAAAACAGGACGTAGACCTGAACATTAGTTAGACTTCCATGGTCAATAATATAAATTTATGGTTGATGAAATATTGAAATTATGATGGAAATTGTCCGGGGGGATCAATTGTGTTCAAATGACAAAAATACGATAAAGAACTGCCAATTGTGGGCGGTTGAGAAATTTTGAAAATGAAATGTTGACTGATTTAACTGGAATAGAATATTATGATGGGCAATTGAGGTTTAATAATAATTAAAGGATTAGTGACCTATCGGATGGCGATAAACGGATTACTTATCATCACAACTTTTAACATCTTTTGTAAACGTTAAATGGCTGAGCGTCATTAACTTGTCAAAAACATGAAGACAGGTAGAATTATAGAAATTTAATGCGAAAATATTTTAACACTTTCCAAATTGAAATGACGAAATCGATATAAAATACTTTCGTCAATTTGAAAACCGTTTCGTAAAATACGAAAATGACGAGCGCTAGCAAAATCACTTGAAGTTATTCCCTTTGTTCAACAGAGTTGTCACTTTACAGTTTCTTTTCGTAATTTAAATTATTCAAGTCTGTATAAATGTACCGAGGTGGTGAAACATAATATTTTAAATTGCTCAATAAATTGAGTTTACTTGTTGATCCGATGAATAGATTGAATGATCGAGTTACCGTAAAAACAACATTTTTTTTATTAGCCAGTTGATTTTTAAATAATGAACAATTAATGCACGGATATTGCTTATTGAGTAAGTCATAAAAGATTCTAATGGTGGCAAAATCGTCTTTGTTGAAAGAACACAATGTATGACCTGACCGGACTGTAATATAAACACAAAATAACAAGTTTTTTCTTCAAATTTTTTCGTTTGTAAAATTATTTCAAAGATAATGGCATGGGACAAAAACATATAAGATAATAATTATCTTATTCTAAATGATAATTTCACATCTTTATCTGTCAAAGAAAGGAAAACATTTGTTAAAATTTTAATACTGTGATTTTAAAGCACACCTGTGCAATCAAGATCGATTAAATGTACATAGGTAAATTATCTGGCTAATCCGATTATGTTGTCACGTGTCGTTAGTTTTTAGTACATCAGATGGGCAATAAACCAATTAACAGCCACGCGGTGTTGGGAGAGAATCTTTGGAGGAATTTGGGAGTGAAATCCGCGGTACTCTGTGTGGCTCCGAAAAACACGGAAATCGGGAAAAAAAAACGATATTGAATCGATCCGTTTAAATGGTACTGTAGAAGCGATTTTAGAGTCCTGCATAATTTTAAACCCGTTAAACACAATATTTCGCACCCACCCATAGTGGCAAATTTAAGTTGCCTTCCCTGGGTCCCATATATGTTTTTTGGAACAGCCCTAAGGACCAAAAGAGCTCTGAATGAATTGAAGATTTGACGTTGGTTAAATTTTGCTGCATCTCAAAGAGTATGTTTTGAATTGCTCACAATTGTGTTTAATAACATTAAATAAAGCATTAACCCTTTAAAAAACAAAATAATAATCAATTGATAAGTAAGTTTAAATAGCTTAAATACAGTTTCACTGTCTTTCATTGCTAAGATCATGATTAAAAAATATATTTGTTCTTTAAATTATTTTTGATAGGCATTCAGAAAGAAAAATTGTTTGTCACTTGTTGATCAAGTATAGTAAAACTCTGTTAATTTCAAATTGTGTGCGATTGTTTGCGGTATTTTCATGGAAAAGGCCGTTTCCCAGCATCAAGTTGCCGTTGGAAATGCATATAAATGATTCTAGAACACTTCACGAGTGTTTAAATGTGACAAAATCACAAAAAGTAACAATGGAAAAGTTGTATTTTTCATTACCGGAAATTGAATAAGTACTTGTAAATCAAAAACAAATATGGTGCGAGACGCGGCAAAATTTCGTACTTAATATTTACAGAAATACAGTCGAACCTCGTTGTGTCGAAGTCGAAGGGACCGGACCAAAGTATTTGACTCATCCGAGGTCGAGTGTGTCGTCATAAATTTGGAATGCACGAAATACGATATGAGATTTGTGTTAACTAGACACAATGAACAGTGTGCCTTTTTTTCGATATGACACTTTATGATTGTGTATTCAATCTCCATTTTTGTTCCTTCGTAATAATTAAACACACAAGTACAGATACAAATCATGCACAAATAAAATCAATAGTCTACACAAATATTTACAAAAGTGATCAGTCACTATAAATAATGAAATCACTCGCGGCACGAAATAAGTTCTAAATGGTATCTGATGAAGTCGTCTGCTTTACATTAAATTATCATGAATTTATTATAATTGTGCTAATCGTTTTATTTATTGTAATTAATGAGTTTTAAATCTAACGATTCATTCAATCTCGGCTTGGGTCATTTAAATTTGTTTCGTTTTTATCTCAGGTGAAAAATGTTCCACACTAACATTCCGCTTGAAAGATCACCAAAGGTGTTAATTAGCGGTCACCATAAACATGTCATGTTAACTGTTATACAAACAAGTATGTTTACTCAGCTTTAATCTCTTTTGAAAATGATTAGGTGACATAAGAAATACATCCGATTTGAATTTTTATCCTTAGGTCTGCATTTTTCGAAAATTCTTACTTTCGAACTTCGAGACATCGGGGTCAATTTACATTAATTTTACTTCGACGGGACTATAAAATTTACTCGACTTAACCGAGTATTCGAATCAACCGAGTTCGACTCATCAGAGGTAATTATGCATTGATCAAACGGAAATTTTACCGGGACCGAGAAATTACTTCGACTCATCCGAGTTTTCGACACAACGAGGTTCGACTGTATACGACTTTGGAAGTAAAATAGTGCTGTCTTTTAGCAAATTAATGTTATAGTATTCATCAAAATATTGTTTATAAAGGACCTTAAGCAAAAACAAATGCAGCAGTCTGTAACACCAAATCCTGAACGAAAAACCGACTACGTTTTGTAGTTTATACATTGTTATGCTGGTTCCCGGCTGACTACTAAACTTTGTACGTAATTAAAATACAAGCGGATTCCAGTTTACATTATGCAACATTTGAAAAGAAATGAGAAATTTTGAATGAAGCATAAAATTTCGATATCTGTATCAGTTAATATACATGTAATATAATCAAAATTAAAATTGCATATTAATATTGATTAGGTAAATGATAACAGTTTTGAAAAGATAAAAGGGCGCCATATACAATTTTCAATAACAAAGATGGCTGACAATAAACAAACATCACAAAATCAAGTTTTTTTCTTGTTTCTTGCTTATAGTACATCCTGTCAAGCCATTGTAATGTTGGAGTATAATACCGCAGACAACTCAGTTCTGAATTCTGGGATAACATGTTTAGTATTGCGTCAACTATTGGGTCGTTTACGTTTGGATAGAGAATTTTTCAAAAATCACGAGGCGACTTGGGGAATTTTACTGAAAATCTAAGGCAACATAAACTTCTCCCTGGAGCTTTTCTAGAGTGAAGTGGGGAGTCCTAGGGCGACATAGTCGCTCACTTCACCTGGTGTGGTGACCCCTGTCTACTGATTTTTCTATCTTTTGTAGCTAATAAAAGTTCTGACTATGATTCAAGCAGTGATCAAGAAACTCTAGATTTTGAAGACTGTATCTACTTATCTAAAATCAATCAAAGATTCCATGATGCGGTAGGTTCACTACAAGATATTTTTCCACAGGAAAATAAAATGTATGTATTGTTAAGCCTGATAGCATCAAGCTGTAGGTAGCAACACTTAGGTATCACTTCTGTGTCTTGATCTGTGTCAACCATGTCACTGACCGATCTCTACAAAACTTGTGGAGACTCTTCACCTGGATATGAAGTTGTGCACCTGAAATTGGTCTTTAATATGACTTTTCAAAATATTTTAACTGAATCATTCCCAGTAACAAACAGTGACACCATGTTTAAGGGTGATTAAGGGTAAATTTCTCATTAATCATATTTCTAAAACAAAATAACACTTCTTTAATATAACGTTCTTCTTGGCACAATAGTTATAGGTAAAATTCCCTATATTTGTCAAAAGGTTGTTCTAAATACACAAAAGGTATACAATGTAAAGCATATGCAGTATATTCTTATAGAGACCCATATATATAGTATCTTTATACTTTTCTAATATACTCTCCTCGTACTTGGTTCATGTTACATGCATATATAGTTATTGCATGTAGCATAAAACATCATTACAATCAACAGTGGTACCATTAACAGTTGTAAATCTTGTGTTTGACTAGGTTTTATTAATCATTAATTAATGGAAGTTATTTAAAGTTCTTTTCTTTACAATGAATAATGGAACACTTCCTGTTTACAGATTAGTCATATAAAGGAGCAGTCTGAGGTTGGAGTGTCTTTCTCAGGTGTGTGTATTGGACGTGATGGAAAATTGTCATTAGTTCAGGTAAAACACTTATTTAGAATCAAATATTTTACAAAGTTATTTTAATGATTGATGTAATCCCAACTGCTTTTTTGGTATAGAATGGTCATATGAACTCAAAGAGTGGAAAACAAATAAATTACCATATCAGGTTATTTATATGACAGACAAATACAGCACTCTTATTTTGCAGTGTTGTTGTCAGGAGAGGGAAATACTTTAGATTAGTTACACGGAATTTAGATAAACAAACAACAAATAAATTATGAAATTTCCTACAACAAATATGGTTTTATTTGTATTAAAATTAAAACCTTCTCACAGCATTATTCTATATTGAATTAACTTACCCTTTGGGAAATAAACAGTTTATGTACAATCAAATATAAAAATGAAAAAGGATTTATGGAATTACCAAAAATATTGTGGACAGTACAGCAAACCATATCAACCACAAACACCTGACTCCTAAAATGGAAAAAAAGACAAAAAACAACAACACATGGTTTAGAATGCTTCACTCAGCTATCTGGATATGTTCACTGCAAACTTTGATTTTAAAAGACAATACATGCTAAATTGCTATTGCTTCTTAGAAATTTCCCCTCAAGCTAAAATGTGCTGATAGAAATATATATATATATATAGTCATAATGATTGACTTTGTTATAAGCAGTATCTTGCAAATTTGAATTTTAAGTAGTGTCATTGTGTACAACAGGCTAGAATTTCCTTGTTGTGTAAAAGCTTAAATGCAATCCTTACACAAGTACCTGAATATTGAGATGAAAAAAAGGTCACTAGAGTAAATTATATTTTTGTTACATTTTTATTTCCAGGTTGCTACCACTATAGACATATTTGTATTTGATGTCTTGTTATTGGGACCTAATTGTTGGGATTTAGGTTTGAAATCTATTTTTGAAGATCCAAGACTTTCAAAGGTAAACAGTTTTATTAAAAATGGTAGTTATTCCAATTCTATGATATGTGTTTTTGTTCATGTCACTTTATTCATAGGAAGAGTTTGATATGTCAAGTCCCTTACCAACATAACTGTTCAACTTATCTGAGGTTTGAGTCATCCATGGTTGCAAGTTATATCAATTATCATGGTTTATCATTTCAATATTGTTCCTTGTATTGTCGACTTGTTTTTTTTTTATACTAAAAACATGTTTTATATACCAATCAATCATTGGGGGATCAATAATAACAAGATGGAGAATGTATAACTTATCTGATGTTTAGGGCTATTCCATTAAAATGTATGTGGGAGGGTAGGAAGGGAAGTTTAATTATTGAATGTAGGTCATGGGTCTTTTTTCAGTATGTATCTATTACCATTATGCAAAATTATCTAAAAAATGGTTCTTGGTTGTAGGGATATTTTGAAAGTCCCTTCCTACCCTCCCACATACATTTTAATGGAATAGCCCTTACAAAGATGAGTTATGTAAGTCAGTATGAAGTAATGAAGTACCTTTACATGTGGAACTAAACAGATTATGGAGATATGTCTTAATATTTCTCAGTTTATTAAAACTCCAATTATTTTTAATCTTTTAAGGACATTCTTGTCTTAGGTCTTTTAATTGGTCTGTAGTTACCTCATGTACCACAAACTTAATTTTCCAATGTAATAATCGATTGTCAATGGTGTCGACAAACAATAAATATGCAATTCCATTTTATTTTTTTATTGTAGACCATTGACTACATGCACAATTTTACTATTGGCATAATTAACTATAATTTGGAATGTATGTATATGATTTATTCTATGATTTCAGGTGATGCATGACTGTAGGTTCCCTTCAGATATGTTACATCACCAGTTCAATGTTAAACTGGTTAATATATTTGATACACAGGTCAGTATATAGAACCTTTCAATGCAGTATTATTTGTTATGTTGAATTTGATTGGACTGTCTGTTGATTATGACTGCATACGAAGTGCTTGTAGTGTTGATTTTCATTGTATATATCAAAACTGTATTGAAATATTCTTCCAAGTATATACTTATTATCTTGTTTATTTACATCAAAAAATGAAATTAATTCATCTAGCTTCTTCAAAATAGGTTTTCATATATTTTATTTAAACTATTTATTTTTTGTCATATAAATAGTGCATATAAAATTTTAACTTTGCACTTAAGCACAAAAAAAAAGTCGAAAAAATAAAACACCAGCATGCTGGCATTACTGAAAGTTAGCTATATGTGTAAAGCCTGCGGATAAATAGACCATACCTTTTTAAAAGTTGTATATGCATGGAAAGGAAGCAAAAATAAATAAGGAAATTGTTTTAGGAGAATCTATATTTTGATAAGAGAATTTACAATTATTTTTTATTTAGGTAGCAGAAGTATTTGTATACAAACTTTATCACAATGGAAGTTGGCCTAAGTGGGTAACCGGTCTCTCTTGTTCTTTATTTGACCACCTTGGACTTCCTGAAGATATGGTTAACAACTTAAAGATAAGAGAGAATTTGAAAAAGGTATTTTATGTGTTTAATTAAATTTATATGATCATTTGGTGTAACAAAAATTAGAAAGAGAAATCTGCTTGCAACATTAAATAATTGATTAGTATTCTTGACTTCTAAGAAATAAAGATATGCACCAATATTATATGTTGTATTATACTTTTGGTATGGCATACTGTGTATGCTGAGTTTTTTGGCAAAGAATTTTGCATCATAATTTTAACTTGGTAGAAGAAAAAAGTTTTAAAAACAAAACCTTACCAAGCAAAGAGGGCGTTTTTTTCTTGATTTTCTGGTGTTATTTTTCAAAACGATGACATCAAATAGAAATTTATTCACCTACATTTAGGTGTTCTGTAATTGATAAATTTTGTATCAACAAGGTTACTAGAGGCTCTAAAGAACCTGTGTTGTTCACCTAGGTCTATGAGCATCTTCAACAATGGACTCTCTCCAACATTGTGGACTAGAATAGAATTCATGACAAAAATCTTTTTTTTTGTTGATCTTGTATTGTTGATAATTTTTTCTGTTTACAATTTCTCTCTATTTTCTTTAGTTTTTGCCCAAAACACAAAAAAACGGTAAAAAAGTGTCAATGAAGGCTATAGAGGGTAAACCACCAATTTTACATATTTGCAGATCTAATCTTGCTGATCATTTTTGCTATTTAAAGTGTCTATCTATCTTTTATAGTTTTCAAGATAGTAGGCAAATATGTAGTATTGGTAAAAATCGTCATTAAAGAGCAGGTACTCCTACAAGTAACTTGAGATTGACTTATCCAAATTTCATGAAACTTAAGATAATTGTATCTTATGATGGTCAAACGATCTGTATACTTTTTGGTGAAAATAAGATTAAAACTTTTTGAGTTACGGGACTTTGTAACTAAAACGGGGGGTGTTTTTTTCACATGTCGCGCTGTATCTCAAAAACGATTTATTATTATTGCTTAAAACTTAACACACTTCTAAGTTACATTAATCTAAAGATCTGTATACTTTTTGGTGATGATTCAAAATTTTATTTTAAAGTTATTTTTTTTTTGTAAAAAAGGGGGCGTTTTTCACATGTCGTGCCGTATCTCAAAAATGATTTATGATTATTGTTTAAAACGTTACACACTTCTTAATTATATTAATCTAAAGATCTGTATACTTTTTGGTGATGATTCAAAATTTTATTTTTGAGTTATTGTTTTTTTTATAAAAAAAGGGGGGTTTTCACATGTCGCACTGTATCTCGGAAACGATTTATGATTATTGCTTAAAACCTCACACACAAGACTACGGGCGTATCATGCGCTTGTGGCCCAGCTGTTTATTTAAACTAGATACCCTTATGATGATTGTGGACAAGTTTGGTTAAATATGGCCCAGTTGTTTCAGAGAAGAAGATTTTTGTAAAAGCTAACGATGACGGATGAGTGATGAGAAAAGTTCACTTGGCCTTTTAGGCCAGGTGAGCTTAAAATAATACAATCGTTTTGAATTTCTTAACATTACATGAATAGGAAAATTGTAAAAAAAGAGTTTTGGTGAAATATGACTTTTCAGAGAAAATGCAGAAATATTTGAATATGACGGAATGGTTGAAAGACTGACTTATAAATATTATACTACTTTTATTTGTCACAAGTTTGTTCAAAGATAAAAACTTAATAATGTTCAAATCTGATTGCAGGAAGATCAAGAGGTTTGGATGCAGCGACCGTTGAAAAAAAATTTACTGAAAATTGCCATAAAAGAAGTAATTCATTTGATACAACTGCGACATACTTTGATGGAGAAGATGATGGGAGAATTCATTGCAGGAGTTGATGTATACTTAGCACAAGTTAGGGAGGCATCCAAAGAAGATGTGAAAAAATGCCAGGTTTGGTTAATGAAATAAATTATATTTATGAAAAAGTTTTCTCACAGCAAGTTGGAAGAAAATCATTTGAATGCTATTTGTCAGAGTGGAAAACAGTAATTCCTTGTTATAAAACCCCAACTTTTTAGATTGGGGGCTATATTGCCTTCAGCTGTCTGTCCATTTGTACAACAAATATTTCCATCACAATTTTCTCAGGTACTACCAAACAGAATAATTTCATATTTGGTCAGAAGCTTGACAGTGATGAGTTGTAATGTGTGAGCACTTTTTGGATCTGTCAGACACTACTTCCTTTTTGCCCATACTTTGAATTTTTGAATATGTTGAATGAAATTAAAAGTTTTTTGTCAAACTTTTCTCGAGTACTTTTGAACAGATTGACTTCATATTGTGTCAGCAGCTTGGCAGTAGTGAGCTGTTACAATTTAGCGCTTTAAGGATCTGTCAAGTGCCTACTTCTGTTTTTCAATTCTTTGAATTAGAGTGGGGCTATGCTTGGCACAACAATGCATGCATTCATGTTTTATGTTCAAAAAGAATTTATATGTTTCTATTTACATAATTTCTATTAAATTGCAAGTAAACTTGTAGGACCAAAAGTGTTGAAAATCTCAGTTGTACTGGAGATTAAGTATAATTTTAATTTGATGAGGGATGGACCCTAGCATAGTTAAGTAAAACATTCTAACTATGACAAAACCTTTAAGCTTGGTTATGATCAATCCAAATAAAATGGAAAAAAATAAAGCTCACTGCTTATCATCTTAATTGTTTGATTTTTGTTTAGATTTAATGTGTTGTAAATATGTAAAGAATTCCACTTTAACCAGTACTAGGGACCGTCTTAAACTTGCAGTGAGGTGAGAGCTTTTTGCTCCGTGTTGAAGGCCTCACTGTGACTTTGAGATGAAGAACAGCAATGAAAGCGCTGTTCCTTTGCTCTTTGTGAGTTTTTGCTGTGCATGTACTAACATTGTGTCATGGATGGATATCCCATATCCTTTGTTTTTCAATTAAGTATGAAAAAATGATGTATTAATTCTTATGTTTTCAGAACAATGCCCACAAACTTCCTGTTGCATTTGAGAATTTATCAGGCTTATTGGCCAGCAGAGACAGTCGCAGATACAACCGACACCGTTACAACAGAGGACCACCAGATGAACATGACTTTAATAAGGATTCCTCTGGATTCAATGAAAACTGCAGAGGGATCATAGGCTTGGATGTGAAATACAGCAATGCATCTATATGGCATGAAGGAGGAATATGGGGTAATCTTATATTTGATTATTGTAACAGTCCACTCTCAGAATTAGTAAGAAGACTTTAATGGAAAAAGGACTACAAAATATTTGTCTGGCCTCGCACTAGAATTAAATATGTTGACACATACACAATATTTTCAATAACCCAACAGCTCTTGAAAGGTTTTTATTTTATTGATTTTTATGCCTCTGCCACAGCGGAGGTGGCATTAAGTGTAACCCTTGTCTGTCTGTACATCCTTATTTAATACGTCCCGAAATTGGTTTCTGTTCTCTAAATTTAGTTTGCCTTAACCAAATGTTACGAAACTTACACACAATGCTTATTATCACAAAACTCAGATCACGTTTGAATTTGGGTGTTGTTACTTTTACCATTCTTGAGTTATGTCCCTTTATAACGTTATATGCAAGCGGGGGCATGGACACTTTCTCCATTTATTTTTAATTGTTTTTAGTAAACATACATGTATTATACTAAACAGTACAATATTTGGTTGTCAGAGCTTTTTTAAGCCCATGTCTATTGCTAACTGTATTTATGTGCCGACTCTAAATAAAATTTCAACTTACTTAAATAGTGATGTGAAAACATACAACAGAAAAAGAAATGTTGTTTGTTTTTAGCTCACCTGGCCCGAAGGGCCAAGTGAGCTTTTCTCATCACTTGGCGTCCGTCGTCGTTAGCTTTTTACAAAAATCTTCTCCTCTGAAACCACTGGGCCAAATTTAACCAAACTTGGCCACAATCATCATTAGGGTATCTAGTTTTAAAAATGTGTCCGATGACCCCGCCAACCATCCAAGATAGCCACCATGGCTAAAAATAGAACATAGGGGTAAAATGTAGATTTTGGCTTATATCTCTGAAACCAAAGCATTTAGAGTAAATCTGACATAGGGTAAAACTGATTATCAGGTCAAGATCTATCTGCCCTGAAATTTTCAGACAAATCTGACAACCTGTTGTTGGGTTGCTGTCCCTGAATTGGTAATTTTAAGGAAATTTTGCAGTTTTTGGTTATTATCTTGAATATTATTAGCTCACCTGGCCCAAAGGGCCAAGTGAGCTTTTCTCATCACTTGGCGTCCGTCGTCCGTCGTCCGTCGTCGTCGTCGTTAACTTTTACAAAAATCTTCTCCTCTGAAACTACTTGGCCAAATTAAACCAAACTTGGCCACAATCATCATTGGGGTATCTAGTTTAAAAAATGTGTCCGGTGACCCAGCCAACCAGCCAAGATGGCCGCCATGGCTAAAAATAGAACATGGGGTAAAATGTAGATTTTGGCTTATATCTCTGAAACCAAAGCATTAAGAGCAAATCTGACATGGGGTTAAATTGTTTATCAGGTCAAGATCTATCTGCCCTGAAATTTTCAGATGAATCGGACAACCCGTTGTTGGGTTGCTGCCCCTGAATTGGTAATTTTAAGGAAATTTTGCGGTATTTGGTTATTATCTTGAATATTATTATAGATAGAGATAAACTATCAACAGCTATAATGTTCAGCAAAGTAAGATCTACAAATAAGTCAACTTGACCAAAATGGTCAGTTGACCCCTTAAGGAGTTATTACCCTTTATAGTCAATTTTTAACCATTTTTCGTAAATTTTTGTAATCTTTTACAAAAATCTTCTCCTCTGAAACTACTAAGACAAATTTAACCAAACTTGTCCACAATCATCATTAGGGTATCTTGTTTAAAAAATGTGTCCAATGACCCTGCCCGCGAACCAAGATGGCCGACATGGCTAAAAAATAGTACATAGGGTAAAATGCAGTTTTTGGCTCATATCTCTGAAACCAAAGCATTTAGAGCAAATCTGAAGAGATAAAAATTGTTCATTAGGTCAAGATCTATCTGCCCTGAAATTTTCAGACCATTCAGGCAACACATTGTTGGGTTGCTGCCCCTGAATTGGTAATTTTAAGAAAATTTTGCAGCTTTTGGTTATTATCTTGAATATTATTATAGATAGAGATAAACTGTAAACAGCAATAATGTACAGCAAAGTAAGATCTACAAATAAGTCAACATGACCAAAATTGTCAATTGACCCCTTAAGGAGTTATTGCCCTTTATAATCAATTTTTTACAATTTTCATAAATTTTGTAAATTTTTGTAAATTGTTAAGGAATAAGGGGCCAAAAAGGGGCCAAAAATAAGCATTTTTCTAGTTTCCAGACAATAACTTGTGTTCAAGTGTATGGATCTCTCTGAAATTGTACTGCAAGGTACCATACCACAAAGGGAAGGCTGGGATTGAGTTTGGGGATGATGAATCATAAGGGGGTTCAAAAAATTTGGGGGGGGGGGGATTTTTTTGTTTTTTTTCGATTTTTTCTTTTTTTTCCTTTTTTTTTTCTTTTAAAATTTTCCATTTTAAGTTGGTTATTTCTCTGTTTTATATTTAAAAGCAAATAATAATGATATGGTAGGAGATACACACCAAACAGGATGTGTAAATTATTATATAATAAGTATTGTGCAATAGCAAGAAATTTTCAATTGCACAGTATTGCACAATAGCAAGAAATCTTCAATTGCACAGTATTGCGCAATAGCAAGAAATCTTCAATTGCACAGTATTGTGCAATAGCAAGAAATATCCAATAGCACAATATTGCGCAATAGCAAGAAATTGTCAATTGTACAGTATTGCACCATTGCAAGAAATATTCAATTGCACAGTATTGTGCAAAAGAAGATACTTCGTATAAGTTGCTTATTTCTTGACCAATTTCAATGGGGTTTTATTCTTGAATTCTTGGGGTTCTTAAATATGCTAATTCTAACCGTGTATTAAGTTTTTGGATTTTGGGCCCCGTTTTTAAATTGGTCCACATTGAGGTCCAAAGGGTCCAAAATTAAACTTTGTTTGATTTCATCAAAAATTGAATTATTGGGGTTCTTTGATATGCCGAATCTAACTGTGTATTTAGATTCTTAATTTTTGGTTCCGTTTTCAAATTGGTCTACATTAAGGTCCAAAGGGTCCAAAATTAAACTTAGTTTGATTTTAACAAAAATTGAATTCTTAGGGTTCTTTGATATGCTGAAACTAAACATGTATTTAGATTTTTGATTATGGGCCCAGTCTCAAGTTGGTCCAAATCGGGGTCCAAAATTAAAACTTTGTTTGATTTCAACAAAAATTGAATATATGGGGTTCTTTGATATGCCGAATCTAACCATGTATTTAAATTTTTGATTTTTGGGCCCCATTATCAACTTTGTCCACATTGAGGTCAAAAGGGTCCAAAATTAAACTTTGTTTGATTTCATCAAAAATTGAATTCTTGGGGTTCTTAAATATGCTGATTCTAACCGTGTATTAAGTTTTTGGATTTTGGGCCCCGTTTTTAAATTGGTCCACATTGAGGTATAAAGGGTCCAAAATTAAACTTTGTTTGATTTCATCAAAAATTGAATTATTGGGGTTCTTTGATATGCCGAATCTAACTGTGTATTTAGATTCTTAATTTTTGGTTCTGTTTTCAAATTGGTCTACATTAAGGTCCAAAGGGTCCAAAATTAAACTTAGTTTGATTTTAACAAAAATTGAATTCTTAGGGTTCTTTGATATGCTGAATCTAAACATGTATTTAGATTTTTGATTATGGGCCCAGTTTTCAAGTTGGTCCAAATCGGGGTCCAAAATTAAACTTTGTTTGATTTCAACAAAAATTGAATATATGGGGTTCTTTGATATGCCGAATCTAACCATGTATTTAGATTTTTGATTTTTGGGCCCCGTTATCAACTTTGTCCACATTGAGGTCAAAAGGGTCCAAAATTAAACTTTGTTTGATTTCATCAAAAATTGAATTCTTGGGGTTCTTTGATATGCTGAATCTAACCATGTATTTAGATTTTGGATATTGGACCATAATAGGTGAATGTCCAATTTAAAATTTTTAAGTTCTTAGACCACATTCATTCTGTCAGAAACCTATGCTGTGTCAAATATTTAATCACAATCCAAATTCAGAGCTGTATCAAGCTTGAATGTTGTGTCCATACTTGCCCCAACTGTTCAGAGTTTGACCTCTGCGGTCGTATCAAGCTGCGCCCTGCGGAGCATTTTATTGGTTATTATCTTGAATATTATTATAGATAGAGATAAACTGTAAACAGCAATAATGTTCAGCAAAGTAAGATCTACAAATAAGTCAAACATGACAAAAATTGTCAATTGACCCCTTAAGGTCAGTATATATTTCCTCAGTTAGAATTTTCTTATACTTTGCTAAAATGAAGATTTTACTGTGCTCTTTTCAAAAATATAATAAAAAGTATGGGTCACTGTGCTCTTTTTCAAGCTACAAGTAGTGCAAAATTGCCCAAATTTGCATAGATTGTTCATGAAAAAACTCATTTTTGTGAATAAAAAGAAATCTATGAGATAGAATTTTGAAATAAAATATGAGAATATAGGTTTTGCAATATGCTTTAAGAAAATGAAAAGAAAAAATGGTGTCACCGAACTTGTTTTCTTGCTACAGGTAAAAAATGAAAATTTCACTCATAGTCATTACAGTATAAAATTTTGACTATAAGAGTTATCTCCCTGTAAATGGCTAAGTTGAAAAATTGATTCTAAAACACACAAATATTTGTTATTTGTTTAAACATTTTGGATAATGCAATAAATCACTTATTTTTCTTTATACAAATAAACAGTCTTATACATAAATTGCAAATCTGTCCTAAAATTTGCAGATTTAGGCAGAGAACTAGACCGATTGTGTACTGCTATTATACAATCCAAGATGGCGGTATACAGTGAATTTACCTTAAGGAGTTGCCCTTTAAAGTCAATTTTTAACAATTTTTCTTAAATTTTTGTAATCTTTTACAAAAATCATCTCCTCTGAAACTGATGAGACAAATTTAACCAAACTTATCCACAATCATCATTAGGGTTTCTAGTATAAAAAATGTGTCCGATGACCCCGCCTGCCAACCAAGATGACCACCATGGCTAAAAATATAACATTGGGGTAAAATGCAGTTTTTGGCTTATGTCTCTGAAATTAAAGCAAAGTATAACAGTTGCATTATTTCATGCATCAGTTGTAAACAAAAATATCAGGTGAGCGACACAGGCTCCTTGGAGCCTCTAGTCAACATTGTGGGAACTTAGTTATTATTCTGCCAAATTTTTGAAAGATGGTACCAATTTTTATTTTCATTTCTTTGGAACTTAACACATAGTTTGTTTTGGTTGTGCACCTCAGTTTTCCCATTTTAGATTTCTATATATTTATATTTTCACTATAGACCATTATAACTCCATTGTTTAAGTAACATTCTGTACCACCTGGCCATTTGAGTTTTTGATCAATTGTTTACAATATTTTTATAGTAATACACTAATATGCTTTTTTGTACACATTTAAAAAAAATACTTCACAGATTGCTTTAGGCCACAAAATAGACATAGAGAATGATTTGGAACAATTTTGTTCAATGGAATTGATTTTGATATAAGAAGAGCCATGTTGTGGCTACTGGTTCGTACATGTAATGGAATTCTGGAAATGTCATTGATTTTTAATTTGTGAAAAAAGTCCTGTAAAAGTCATATTTCACTGAAAAGTCCTGGAAACTTATAAAACTGTTTATAACATGTCTTCAAACATATAAAATCATGAGATACCAGTAGTTTGGCATGAATGTTTCCTTTTTAACTCACCTTTCCTAAAAGGAAATGTGAGCTTTTGCCATCACTTGGCGTCCGTCGTCCGTCTGGTGTAAACTATTTCAAAGATCTTCTCCTGTGGAACTACTGAACCAATTTCAACCAAACTTAAGCTGAATGATCCATAGGGTATCTAGTATAAATAAAATTGAGAATGGAAATGGGAAATATGTCAAAGAGACAACAACCAGACCAAAGAGTAGACAACAGCCGAAGGCCACCAATGGGTCTTCAATGCAGCGAGAATATCCCGCACCCAGAGGTGGTCCTCAGCTGGCCCCTAAATAAAATTGTGTGCTAGTTCAGTGAAAATGGACATCACACTAAACTCCAAAACATATAAATGAACTAAAATTAAAAAACATACAAGACTAACAAAGGCCAGAGGCTCCTGACTTGAGACAGGCACAAAAATGCGGCGGGGTTAAACATGAATTGTGAGATCTCAACCCTCCCCCTATACCTCTAGCAAATGTAGAAAAAAGAAACACATAGCACACAGTAAAACTCAGTTTAAAAGAAATCCGAGTCAGATGTCAGAATAGGTAACAAAAGAAACTAAGCAAAATGACAATGATACATAAATGAACAAAGGACTACTAGCAGTTACTGACATGCCAGCTCCAAACTTCAATTAAACTGATTGAAAGATTATGTCTTCATCATATGAAAATCAAGTACAATACCTCCCGTTAGGGGTTTAGTATCATACCATCATAAAATAAATGAGAAGAACATAACCCGTATCATGCCAACAACTGGTTTTAGAATAAATGTGTTTATTTCCGATTCAAAGATGTCTGCATGTTGATTTATATTTACGAATGATGTCCTTGTACCGATGATGAAATTTAGTAAATGTTTTGACTAGTTTGTGATATCGAAAACCCTGGTGTAATAATTTTTCAGTAATACAGAGATTTCTCTCGTTGAAATCAAATGCGTTGTTACATACACGAGCGAATCGAACAAGTTGAGATATATAAACATCATAAGATGGCGACAAGGGAACGTCACCATCTAAAAATGGATAATTAACAATAGGAAATGAAAAATCATCTCTTTTATCATAAATTTTGGTATTAAGTTTCCCGTTAAAGATAAAGATATCAAGATCCATGAAAGGGCAGTATTCATTGTTAGTATTAGCTTTATTTAAAGTCAGTTCAGCAGAATAAATCTCTTTAGTGTACATACTGAAGTCGTCAGTATTGAGAGCCAATATCTCATCTAAATATCTAAAAGTGTTATTAAATTTTTGAATCAGATGTTGTTTCGATGGGTCTTTGCTAATTTTAGTCATAAATTGTAACTCATAACAATACAGAAACAGGTCCGCAATAAGTGGTGCACAGTTAGTCCCCATGGGAATTCCAATAACCTGACGATATACGGAATCTCCATAGCGAACAAAAATGTTATCTAGTAAAAATTCAAGGGCAGTTATAGTATCAAAGCAGGTCCAGTTGACATAGTTCTTTTGTTTGTTGTTACTAAAAAATGACCATAAAAAGTTTGAACATATATATTCGCATTCCCACTTTTTAAATGCGCATTTAATCAGGTGTGTGAATTTTTTCTTAATAAGATTATGAGGCAATGTTGTATATAGGGTAGAAAAATCAAAACTTTGAACAAATTCGAAATCACCAATATAAGCATGTAATTTATCAAGTACTTCCAACGAATTTTTGACACTCCAAAAGTAATTAATTCAACTATTTTCAAAGGCCTTATTTGAACAATTCATTACCAACTTTTTGATTGTACCAAGTGTACTTGTAAGTAGAATAGATAGTTTAGTGGTGGAACAATGGCTTGAAGACGAAATAAATCTATATTTGTAAGGAGTTTTATGCAGCTTCGGAAGCCAGTACATAGTTGGAACTTTTATTGTATTTGGTTCTGCTTGTAAAGAGGTAGCTAAAAGTTTATGTTTGTTACAGATGTCATTTTCCGAAAATGGAGTCAGTTGGAATGTTGGTGAATTTGTGATTTCCTTTTGTAGAACATCAATGTAAAATTTACGTCAAACAATAATGATATTGTTAGCAGCCTTATCAGCCGGGACAAAAATATATTCCTTGGCGAGTTCTTTTAGCTTATGTTTGATACAGGAAATTGGGCTATTATGGTTGTTGTTAGGAAGTTTGTGTTTTATTTTCTGTTTCGTCAAAAAACATGGCCACCATGGATAAAAATAGAACATAGGGGTAAAATGCAGTTTTTGGCTTATATCTCAAAACTAGAGCAAATTTTATGGGGTAAAAGTGTTCATTAGGTCAAGAATTACCTGCCCTGAAATTTTCAGACAACCGATTTTTGGGTTATTGCCCCTAAATTGATAATTTTAATGAAATTTTGCAGTATTTAGTTAGTATCTTGAATATTATCATAGATAAAGATAAACAGTAAAAATGTTCAGCAAAGTAAGATATACAAATAAGTCAAAATGTCCAAAATTGTCAATTGACCCATTACGGAGTTGTTGCCCTTTAAAGGCAATTTTACACAATTTGTTCATCATGATTGTTAACTTTAAAAAATCTTCTCCTCTGAAACTACTGAAGCAATGTCAGCTAAACTTACGCTGAATGATTTTTAGGGTGTCTAGTATAAAGTTTGTGTTTTATATTATGTTTAATAAAAAAACAAGGCCGCCATGGCTAAAAATTGAACATAGGAGTAAAATGTGGTTTTTGGCTTATATCTCTAAAACCAAGGTATTTAAGCAAATCTGACAATGAGTTAAAGTGTTCATTGGGACAAGATCTACCTTCCCTGAAATTTTCAGCCAAATTGGATAACTGATTTTTATGTTATTGCCCCTGAATTGATAATTTAAAGGAAATTTTGCAGTTTTGGTTATTATCTTGAATATTATTATAGATAAAGATAAACTGTAAACAGTATAAAGTATTCAGTAAAGTATGATGAAAAATTTAAATAAAAAACTATAGGTGAGCGATTCAAGCTCTTGAGAGCCTCTTGTTATGGACCTTTAACTAGTGAGGGCTGCCATATAATCTTATATAAAAATGAAAAATAAGGAAAATTGTTTGTAAAAATAATTGATTAAGTCTGATTTTCTATCATGGTGCAGTTTGCCTCATTTAGGACTTTTGAAATAAGAAACAAATTATCTGTTTGTTGAGAAATGTGCTTTTGAACACTGAAGTTGCCAGGAGACTGCCAGTTTCAGCTGAAATGGCTAGAAAAATTGCCAACAATTGACTAGTGAACATAATATATTGTAGCTTTCAAGGCATTGCAAAGGACTATAAAATTTATTTGAATTGTTTCACATTTTGTTATCACATGACCTTTTATAGCTTTATACTATTGTAAATTCAGAAATTAATGCATGCATTTATTATTGCAGTTGTGATTTTTGAAGAAAGGACAAAAATGTTAGATTAATTTTTGTGATTTCATGAAAATCTGCATACAGATATATGTATCAGATATCAGAATGTGAGTTCTTATTATTGCGATACTCACCCTGTCGCATTATTTATGAATTTACAGTACATATTCTGCTCATTGTCGAAAGCAGAACAGTAACTTGTTCACATTCTTGTCCTTTGGTGGATCATTGTCTCATTGTCAATCATAAAATGTCTCCTTATTTTCTGAAGAACAAGGACACAAAATATGTTTATAGCAGTGGGGGCACAATTTGTTGAAAAGTCATTATAAAATGAAACAAAAATTGTGTAGGAACCCTGTATGGGAAAATTTTTTGCATTTGTTTATTAAAATAATTGAGTTATCAATTTATAGTATGGTAATTGATTGTTTAGTTCATTAAATAATGTAGTTGTATGCTTGTATCTTTCAGAGTCAAAATCTAAAAAAGAAGTAACAAGAGTTGCAGAATCTGTGTCCAAAAGTAAGGACAAGACAAATAAAATATCATCTAGTAATATATCGGAACCAGCAATCTCATCAGGTAATAAGTCGGAATCAGCTATATCATCTGGTAATATGCCAGAACCAGCAATATCATCCACTCCTACTGGGAGACAAACCTTACTGAAAACTCCTTCATCTTTACTGGAAAAACTGAGGATGGCTGCAATGGTAGATGAACAGAAAGTGTCATGGGGTCACACCAAAGACAATAATGTTAACACTACGGCCAGTCAGAAGCCATTTAAGAATTCTGAGTCAGCTGATGATAACTCAGATAAGGAGATTTCAATTGGACGTTCTATAAGGTCATGCATTAAATATTACGATTCTGATACTGATGTTCAACTAGTGCCAGCAGGTAAAATGCTTCAGGTTGGGAAACTTAATAAGCCAAAACAAAAACAATTGACAGAAATAGAGCAGATGAGCATGAAAGTGGAAGAATTGAGCAACTACATGAATGAAGTGAACTCGTCAGATAACTTGTCTCCTAACAACAATAGATCATCTTTTTCTATGGGAGATTCTCTAACAATTTCACCAAGATCTCTAAATGCATCATTTGGTGAAAACTATGCAACAGCACCAACAACTCCATATCAGTCGGATATCAGTTATTGCGAATCTCCTAGTACATCAAGGTCACAGAACACATCGCTTGTAGAAAATTATCAAACTGCTCTAACAACTCCTGCCATTAACTTATCACAAATTTTACAATCTGCTTCACCAAGGAAAAGTTCAATGAATATGACTATGCCAAAAAGTCCTGAAATCATGCTCTCAACAGAGACTCACTCAACTGAAAATTCGTTTTTCAACAAGAATTTAATAAGTATGTGTTCTCAGGGCAGTGCAAGCTATGAATCATCACAAAGACCTTTGACATCTTCATCAGAATCTGATTGTCCTTCATTGTTTAGTCATCAGAAAACATATTCACACAGTACATTATCATCATTAAATGGGAATTACTATCCAGAGAAGGGGAATAACTCTATAGGAGTTTCAAAAGATGATTCAAGTGATTCTTTAAAGACATCTGAACTATCTGATGATACAAGTAGCAGGCTTAAATCAACAACCAGCAACATTGAACGAATTAGAATCCTCAGGGATGCAGCTAAAAAGAAGTCGCCTAAATCCTAAGTAACAGTGCAGTTTTTAAATTTTTCATGAAACTGAGATTTCAAATCATTGCTACTACTATTGAAAATGCATTCAAATGAAATTGCTCACTTGATGAAATTACATTCAAAGCTATGAGTCAGCTTTATTTGATGGAGTCGAAACCTTTGTTTTATTATGAATTAAAAAAAGTCCAAAGTATTGTAACCATTCTTCTTTCAGCCTTGAATTCAATAATAGAAAAACAAAAATTAAATAAATTGATAAAGAAAAATATCCTTTGGATATTCAGACCGCATTATTCTATCAGATATTAGAAATAAATACATTGTTTACTTTAAATGTTTGCCCAATGCAAAGGCTTTCAAATTTCTTGAATTTCAGGAAAACTTGAGAATTTGCAAAATTATCATGCCTTCCTCATTTGTCAAATAGAAATTTATCATGACAGAAAAATTGATAAAAAAAGGAATATTTTAAATTGATTCATAGCAAAACATTCCTACACGCACCAAACAAAATCCAAAGCAAGGAACGGCCATTCTTTTGCTGTTCTTCATCTCAAAGATATATTGAATCTCATTACGACACAGCAAAAACATATATATAGTGTATATTATGCATCTTGGCCAGTTGTCAAGTTAAAAGGATAATACGTTATTGCTAAAAATAATGGTTTTGATTTTTATACGACCGCAAAAAAATTTTGCGGTCGTATATTGGTATGACGTTGGCATCGTCGTCGTCCGGCGGCGTCGTCCGATGACACATTGGTTTTCGCACTCTAACTTTAGTTTAAGTGGATCTTTTTGAAATTTTACCATAAGGTTAAATACCACAAAAGGAAGGTTGGGATTGATTTTGGGGGTTATGGTACCAACAGTTAAGGAATAAGGGGCCAAAAAGGGGCCAAAAATAAGCATTTTCTAGTTTCCAGACAGTAACTGTGGAACGGTGTATGGATCTCTCTGAAATTATACTACAAGTTTCCATACCACAAAGGGATGGTTAGGATTTGCTTTGGGGGGTTATGGCTCAAACCGTTTAGGAATTAGGGGCAAAAAAGGGGGAAAAACAAGGTTGTCCTGGTTAATGGACAAATACTTTAGTACAAAACATAATTTAAAGCAGTGTAAGGGAGATAAATCAAATACATCATTGAAATTATCTCCCTTACACTGCTTTTAAATTATGTATAAAGTAATGGTTAATGAACAATAAAGATAATTTAAAACAGTGTAAGGGAGGTAATCCAAATACAACGTTTTGGTTACTTCCCTTACACTGCTTTTAAATTATGTTTAAAGAAATGCATATTTATAAAGGAAGACCAGTAAAAATATCTGCAAATGTTGCATCATTTTTTTTACAAAAAAATCCATATGAAAGATTTGACACTATATTTTTAATTCTATTATAAAATAGATTAAGTTAGCACTATGGTAAATTTAAATGGGTAATTATGGTTGCCAGCTCCATTGGAAATTTGAATTGAGATTATGACCATATCTTGAGGGAAAGAATTTTTTGGGGGAAAAAAGGGGGGGGGGATAAAAAGAAATTGTGGGGGGTCAATTTTTTCTCATTTCAGATTTCAGAAATTAAAAAGAATTATTCTTCAAATATTATTTTTTTTTCAAATTTCAAATATTGAAAAATTTCAAGAAGTAATCTTTAATTGTACAGTATGGCGCATTAGATTTGTAAAATCTTTGATCACATTTATTTATTTGTTATGCCGAATCTAACAGTGTATTTAGATTTTTAATTTTGGGTCCAGTTTTCAAAATGGTCTACATTAAGGTCCAAAGGGTCCAAAATTAAACTTTGTTTGATTTTAGCAAAAATTGAATATATGAGGTTCTTTGATATGCTGAATCACATGTATTTAGATTTTTGATTTTTGGCCCAGTTTTCAAGTTGGTCCAAATTGGGGTCCAAAATTAAACTTTGTTTGATTTCAACAAAAATTGAATATATGGGGTTCTTTGATATGCTGAATCTAACCATGTATTTAGATTTTTTATTTGTGGACCCCGTTATCAAATTGGTTCATATTGAGGTCAAAAGGGTCCAAAATTAAACTTTGTTTGATTTCATCTAAAATTGAATTATTGGGGCTCTTTGATATTCCAAATCTAACCGTGTATTTAGATTTTTAATTTTGGGTCCTGTTTTTTAAATTGGTCTACATTAAGGTCCAAAGGGTCCAAAATTAAACTTAGTTTGATTTTAACAAAAATTGAATTCTTGGGGTTCTTTGATATGCTGAATCTAAACATGTGTTTAGATTTTTGATTATGGGCCCAGTTTTCAAGTTGGTCCAAGATAGGGTCCAGTATTTAAACTTTGTTCGATTTCAACAAAAATTGAATATATGGGGTTCTTTGATATGCTGAATCTAAACATGTATTTAGATTTTTGATTATGGGCCCAGTTTTCAAGTTGGTCTAAATTGGGGTCCAAAATTAAACTTTGTTTGATTTCAACAAAAATTGAATATATGAGGTTCTTTGATATGCTGAATCTAACCATGTATTTAGATTTTTTATTTGTAGGCCCCGCTATCAAATTGGTTCACATTGAGGTCAAAAGGGTCCAAAATTAAACTTTGTTTGATTTCATCAAAAATTGAATTATTGGGGTTCTTTTTTAAGCCAAATCTAACCGTGTTTTTAGATGTTTAATTTGGGTCCCGTTTTTTAAATTGGTCTTCATTGAGGTCCAAAGGGTCCAAAATTAAACTTAGTTTGATTTTAACAAAAATTGAATTCTTGGGGTTCTTTGATATGCTGAATCTAAACATGTGTTTAGATTTTTGATTATGGGCCCAGTTTTCAAGTTGGTCCAAGTTGGGGTCCAAAATTAAACTTTTTTTGATTTCAACAAAAATTGAATATATGGGGTTCTTTGATATGCTGAATCTAACCATGAATTTAGAATTTTTATTTGTGGGCCCCGCTATCAAATTGGTTCATATTGAGGTCAAAAGGGTCCAAAATTAAACTTTGTTTGATTTCATCAAAAATTGAATTACTGGGTTCTTTGATATTCCAAATCTAACCGTGTATTTAGATTTTTAATTTTAAGTCCTGTTTTTTAAATTGGTCTACATTAAGGTCCAAAGGGTCCAAAATTAAACTTAGTTTGATTTTAGCAAAAATTGAATTCTTGGGGTTCTTTGATATGCTGAATCTAAACATGTGTTTAGATTTTTGATTATGGGCCCAGTTTTCAAGTTTGTCCAAGTTGGGGTCCAAAATTAAACTTTGTTTATTTTTAACAAAAATTGAATATATGGGGTTCTTTGATATGCTGAATCTAACCATGTATTTTGATTTTGGACATTGGACCATAATAGGTAAATTAAAAAAAATTCAAGTTCTTAGACCACATTCTTTCTGTGTCAGAAACCTATGCTGTGTCAAATATTTAATAACAATCCAAATTCAGAGCTGTATCAAGCTTGAATGTTGTGTCCATACTTGCCCCAACTGTTCAGGGTTCGACCTCTGCGGTCGTATCAAGCTGCGCCCCAGCGAAGCATTTTATTAACATTGTTTTACTCAAACCAGTGATTCATCACAACAGTTTCCATAAGCTTAATCAGAGTATAAATAAAAATTATCAATGAGTTTTGACACGTCTCAAACAGAAAGACATCTAGAGGTTGTCAATCTGGTCTTAAACAATGGCAAATATCTACACCATATGTTGAGACCTCTTAATGCTCTGTTCTAGACAAGTGTTCTTTAAAATTGATAATAAAGAGCTGCGCCATGAGCACATGATATGGCCGTTGCTTTTTCAAAGAATAAAGTTCCATAAAGGGTTTTCCATTAAAATGTATGTGGGAGGGTAGGAAGGGAGTTTTAAAATATCTCTACAACCAAGAACCATTTTTTAGATAATTTTGCATAATGGTAATAGAAGCATACTGAAAAAAGACCCATGACCCACATTCAATAATTAAACTTCCCTTCCTACCCTCCCACATACATTTTAATGGAATAGCCCTAACTCCTCAATGTCATATCAGAAATTTATAAAAATTCAAGGGGAGGTAATTTAAATAGATATAAACCCGTCACCAAATTTTCATGAAAACTACATAAGCACTTTTGAGTTATTGTCCGAAAATTGGAAAATTACCCCTTTTTTAGCTCACCTGGCCCGAAGGGCCAAGTGAGCTTTTCTCATCACTTGGCGTCCGTCGTCCGTCGTCCGGCGTCGTCCGTCGTCGGCGTTAACTTTTTACATTTTGAACTTCTTCTAGAGAACCACTGAATGGAATGAAACCAAACATGGCATGAATGTTCCTTATGAGGTGCTGACCAAGTGTTGTTACTTTGTAGCCGATCCATCATCCAAGATGGCCGCCAGCGGGGGACTTAGTTTAACATAGGACCCTATGGGAAATGCATACAAATGACTTCTTTTAGAGAACCACTGAATGGAATGAAACCAAACATGGCATGAATGTTCCTTATGAGGTGCTGACCAAGTGTTGTTACTTTGTAGCCGATCCATCATCCAAGATGGCCGCCATCGGGGAACTTAGTTTAACATAGGACCCTATGGGAAATACATACAAATGTCTTCTTTTAGAGAACCACTGAATGGAATGAAACCAAACATGGCATGAATGTTCCTTATGAGGTGCTGACCAAGTGTTGTTACTTTGTAGCCGATCCATCATCCAAGATGGCCGCCAGCGGGGGACTTAGTTTAACATAGGACCCTATGGGAAATGCATACAAATGACTTCTTTTAGAGAACCACTGAATGGAATGAAACCAAACATGGCATGAATGTTCCTTATTAGGTGCTCACCAAGTGTTGTTACTTTGTAGCCGATCCATCATCCAAGATGGCCGCCAGCGGGGGACTTAATTTAACATAGGACCCTATTGGAAATGCATACAAATGACTTCTTTTAGAGAACCACTAAATGGAATAAAACCAAACATGGCATGAATGTTCCTCATGAGGTGCTGACCATGTGTTGTTACTTTGTAGCCGATCCATCATCCAAGATGGCCGCCATCGGGGAACTTAGTTTAACATAGGACCCTATGGGAAATGCATACAAATGACTTCTTTTAGAGAACCACTGAATGGAATGAAACCAAACATGGCATGAATGTTCCTTATGAGGTGCTGACTAAGTGTTGTTACTTTGTAGCCGATCCATCATCCAAGATGGCCACCAGCGGGGGACTTAGTTTAACATAGGACCCTATGGGAAATACATAAAAATGTCTTCTTTGAGAGAACCACTGAATGGAATGGAACCAAACATGGCATGAATGTTCCTTATGAGATGCTGACAAAGTGTTGTTACTTTGCTGTCGGTCCATCATCCAAGATGGCCGCCAGCGGGGGACTTAGTTTAACATAGGACCCTATGGGAAATACATACAAATGTCTTCTTTTATAGAACCACTGAATGGAATGAAACCAAACATGGCATGAATGTTCCTTATGAGGTTCTGACCAAGTGTTGTTACTTTGTAGCCGATCCATCATCCAAGATGGCCGCCAGCGAGGGACTTAGTTTAACATAGGACCCTATGGGAAATACATACAAATGTCTTCTTTTAGAGAACCACTGAATGGAATGAAACCAAACATGGCATGAATGTTCCTTATGAGGTTCTGACCAAGTGTTGTTACTTTGTAGCAGATCCATCATCCAAGATGGCTGCCAGCGGGGGACTTAGTTTAACATAGGACCCTATGGGAAATACATACAAATGTCTTCTTTTAGAGAACCACTGAATGGAATGAAACCAAACATGGCATGAATGTTCCTTATGAGGTGCTGACCAAGTGTTGTTACTTTGCAGTCGGTCCATCATCCAAGATGGCCGACAGCAGGGGACTTAGTTTAACAAAGGACCTATGGGAAATACATACAAATGTCTTCTTTTAGAGAACCACTGAATGGAATGAAACCAAACATGGCATGAATCTTCCTTATGAGATGCTGACCAAGTGTTGTTACTTTGTAGCTGATCCATCATCCAAGATGGCCGCCAGCGGGGGACTTAGTTTTACATAGGACCCTTTGGGAAATACATGAAAATGTCTTCGTTGGAGAACCAATAAATGGAATGGAACCAAACATGGCATGAATGTTCCTTATGAGATGTTGACCAAGTGTTGTTACTTTGCAGCCGATCCATCATCCAAGATGGCCGACAGCGGGGGACTTAGTTTAACATAGGACCCTATGGGAAATACATACAATTGTCTTCTTTTAGAGAACCACTGAATGGAATTGAACCAAACATGGCATGAATGTTCCTTATGAGTTGCTGACCAAGTGTTGTTACTTTGCAGTCGATCCATCATCCAAGATGGCCACTAGGGGGAGGGGTTTAGTTTAACATAGGACCCTATGGGAAATACATACAAATGTCTTTTTTTAGAGTACCACTGAATGGAATGAAACCAAACATGGCATGAATGTTCCTTATGAAGTGCTGACCAAGTGTTGCTACTTTGTTGCCGATTTACTGTTCATGATGGCCACCAGGATATTTTATTAAATAACGGGACCAATATTAATCAAAATTTGGCCTCAATCATTATTTGGGTATCTGTTATGATTTTTTTCTATCTTTACATGATTTCTAAAACCAAAGTAGAGTCAGGTGAGCGACACAGGCTCTTGAGAGCCTCTAGTTATGAATAAAATCCCATAATTCAGAAACTTAAAATCTAAAATTTATAAAAATTGAAAGGGAGCTTACCTCAATAGATATAAACAATTCACCAAAGTTTCATGAAAACTACTCAAAGCATTTTTGAGTTATTGTCCGAAAACAGGAAAATCCCCCTTCTTTAATGAATAAAACCCCATAACTCGGAAATGTAAAATCAAGAATTCATAAAAATCGAAAGGGAGCTCACAACAATAGATATAATCAATTTACCAAAGTTTTTGGCAAATTGGTGAAAGTGTTTTTGAGTTATTGTCCGAAAACTGGAAAATCCACCTTTTTTAATGAATAAAAACCCATAACTCAGAAACCTAAAATCTAAAATTTATAAAAATCAAAAGGGAGCTCACGTCAATAGATATAAACAATTCACCAAAGTTTCATGCAAATTGGTTAAAGCGTTATGAAGTTATTGTCCAACATGTTGACGACGGACGGACGGACAATGGTATACCATAATACGCCCCGTAAACGGGTGTATAAAAACCGCTAATGACATCGTCGGCATGTCAACAACAGCAAGGATAATAAACTGTTAACACAGAAATATATCTCACGTTTTTATTATTTTGATAGTAAAATGCAAATGTTAAAATTTAGAAAGCAATACCTTAACATGTAAGTTATGCTAAATATTCAAAGTCAATGAACCATGACTGAAGGTACAGGGCCAAACAATCTTAATGGAAATGAGATGTGCCAATGCTTATACAACTGCATACCAAATATCATTGACTTATCAGAAGTGGTTACCCTTAAACAATCTCTGAGAGAACCACAGAAATTTGGAAGGAAAACTAGCAATTCTCTATTGTCCAACTCATTTTGTGGAAGCAGGATGCAAAACTCGCAACCTCAGTTTTGAGAAGCTGGTTATTACTGTGTATCAAATAAGTCACTGAGTACCCATTAATTCTAAAAGAAGTAAAAGCTCAACAAGAAAACACTTCCATTAAATACAAGAGGTTAACATTTTTATACGCCCGTCAAATTTTTGACGGGACGTATTATGGTATACAAATGTCCGTCTGTTTGTCTGTCCGTTTGTCTGTCCGTCCGTCCGTCTGTCTGTCTGTCTGTCCGTCTGTCCGGCGTAAACATGTCGCACCGTAACTTGAGAATGACTTATCAAAATTTCATGAAACTTAACATAGTTATTTCTTAGGATGGTCAAACGTTCTGTATACTTTTTGGTGAAAATAAGATTAAAACTTTTTGAGTTACGGGACTTAGTAACTAAAACAGGTGTGTGTTTTTTTTCACATGTCGCGCCGTATCTCAAAAACAATTTATGATTATTGCTTAAAACTTTACACACTTCTTAGTTATATTAATCTTAAGATCTGTGTACTTTTTGGTGATGATTCAAAATTTTATTTTAGAGATATTGAGTATTTTGTTAAAAAAGGGGGAGGGGTTTTTCACATGTGGCGCCGTATCTCAAAAACAGTTTATGATTATTGCTTAAAACTTTACACACTTCTTAGTTACATTAACCTTAAGATCTGTATACTTTTTGGTGATGATTCAAAATTTTATTTTTGAGTTATTGAGTATTTTGTAAAAAAAAGGGGAGGGGTTTTTTCACATGTCGCGCCGTATCTCAAAAACGATTTATGATTATTGCTTAAAATTTTACACACTTTTTAGTTATATTAATCGAAAGATCTGTATACTTTTTGGTTTTGATTCAAAATTTTATTTTTGAGAAATTGATTTTTTTTTTTAAAAGGGGGGGTTTTCACATGTCGCGCCGTATCTCAAAAAAGATTTATGATTATTGCTTAAAATTTTACACACTTCTTAGTTATATTAATCTAAAGATCTGTATACTTTTTGGTTTTGATTCAAAATTTTATTTTAGAGATATTGAGTTTTTTGTAAAAAAAAAAGGGGGTTTTCGCATGTCACGCCGTATGTCAGAAACTATTTATGCTTATTGCATAAAAATTCACACACAAGACGACGGGCATATCATGCGCTCATGGCACAGCGGTTTATTTTAATTTGTTAAAGCCTTGTAATTAATTATTCATCACTATGTTCTAGTTAGCAGTATCTTTTATCAATCTTGCTTGTATGGCATGTTTAAATTTGATAACTTAAGTCACCTAACATTCATCTTTTGTGAGGGTCATGGATTTTTTTTCGGGAAGAAGAGATTATTGACTTTACTAAAAAAAAAATCTTTTTTAGTAACATACAGGAACAAGTTTTGTTTTCAATTTTAATCAATGGAAAACAAGTTTATAAAGTTCACCTTTGAGGATCAATGTATTAAACTGAACAATAAGTTTCAAATGATTATGACTTATCCAAGTCCCGTTTTAAATTAAAAAATAAAATTCACTTTTAAAATAAACAAGAACATAGAATTGGGGACTATTATACCATGTATATCTACCTTGATCACTGATCCATTAAATGTGGTCGAGGTCAGGTGAACCCTACCAGATGGACATGTTAAAGTTGCCGAAACCCACATACCAAATATAGTTATCCTATTACCGGTACTCATAATGAGTGAATATATCACCTGACAAAAAAAAAAAATTTTTTTCGCTGAACCATGAAAATGAAGCCAAGGACAATGGACATATGACAGACTGAAACTTTGTAACATAAGGTATCTGTATACATAGTATGAAGCATCCAGGTCTTCTACCTTCTGAAATATAAATCTTTATACAAATAGTTTAACCTGTCAACCCCGACTCCAGATTGTAATCCCTATGTCTTGCATTCAGCAACTTTTGTCGCAGGCGAGACAAAAACCAATTCATCATCATCTTATTTAGTTTTGTTTTGGTTTCTTCATTGATTTCATTTATTTTTGCTTCGTTTTGTACTTTATAGGCACCTGAAATTTTCTTCAGGTAGTAATTCAGTGGTCGCTCTTTGTTCTTGTTTGTTGTTTGACTATGTTTTTTGTTTTAATCATAAATTCCTTTGTCTTGCATTTGGCGGCTTTTGTCGCAGGCTAGACAAAAACCAATTCATCATCATCTTATTTAGTTTGTTTGTTCGGGTGCTGATTCATTGAAATATAGACAACATTTCTATTCATTCATTTATCTAAATCAATTGACTGTTACAGCCAAGTCAATCAAGTACAAAATAAGTATATAATACCTGCTGCTTTTACTTCTTCTCCTTAATGAAAAAGTACATTTTCTTTCAAAGTGTTAATTTCTTTTTTTTCCCAATGAGCTCCTCAATAATGTTCTCTGTTTATGAACTAAGGACTTGCAGACTTGCTGTATCCCTAAAAACAAGGCTGTTGGTCGTCATTTTTGAATTGAATTTGAACCATAGTTTGTCAAACCAAGGCCTTTTACAGCTTACAATACAGTTTGGTAGTTTCAGAGGAAGATTTTTAGCTCACCTGACCTGAAAGGTCAAGTGAGCTTTTCTCATCACTTGGCGTCCGTCGTCTGTCGTCCTGCGTCCGTCGTCCGTAAACTTTTACAAAAATCTTCTCCTCTGAAACTACTGGGCCAAATGCACCCAAACTTAAACATAATCATCATTCAAGTATCTTGTTTAAAAAATGTGTCCGATGACCCCGCCTGCCAACCAACATGGCCGACATGGCTAAAAATAGAACATAGGGGTAAAAATGCAGTTTTTGGCCTATATCTCTGAAACTAAAGCATTTAGAGCAAATCTGACATAGGGTAAAAATGGTCATCAGGTTAAGATCTATCTGCCCTGAAATTTTCAGATGAATCGGACAACCCGTTGTTGGGTTGCTGCCCCTGAATTGGTAATTTTAAGGAAATTTTGCTGTTTTTGGTTATTATCTTGAATATTATTATAGATAGAGATAAACTGTAAACAGCAATAATGTTCAGCAAAGTAAGATCTACAAATAAGTCAACTTGACCAAAATGGTCAGTTGACCCTTTAAGGAGTTATTGCCCTTTATAGTCAATTTTTAACCATTTTTCGTAAATTTTTGTAATCTTTTACAAAAATCTTCTCCTCTGAAACTACTAGGACAAATTTAACCAAACTTGTCCACAATCATCATTAGGGTATCTAGTTTAAACTAGAGGCTCTAAAGAGCCTGTGTCGCTCACCTTGGTCTATGTGCATATTAAACAAAGGACACAGATGGATTCATGACAAAATTGTGTTTTGGTGATGGTGATGTGTTTTGGTGATGGTGATGTGTTTTGGTGATGGTGATGTGTTTGTAGATCTTACTTTACTGAACATTCTTGCTCCTTACTATTATCTCTATCTATAATGACCTTGGCCCGGTAGATACAGTGGAAAATACTTTGTAAAAATTTACAAAAATTTACAAAATTTATGAAAATTGTAAAAAATTGACTATAAAGGGCAATAACTCCTTAAGGGGTCAATTGACAATTTTGGTCATGTTGCCTTATTTGTAGATCTAACTTTGCTGTACATTATTGCTGTTTACAGTTTATCTCTATCTATAATAATATTCAAGATAATAACCAAAAGCTGCAAAATTTTCTTAAAATTACCAATTCAGGGGCAGCAACCCAACAACGTGTTGCCTGATTGGTCTGAAAATTTCAGGGCAGATAGATCTTGACCTAATGAACAATTTTATCATCATCAGATTTGCTCTAAATGCTTCGGTTTCAGAGATATGAGCCAAAAACTGCATTTTACCCTATGTACTATTTTTTAGCCATGTCGGCCATCTTGGTTCGCGGCGGGGTCATCGGACACATTTTTTAAACTAGATACCCTAATGATGATTGTGGACAAGTTTGGTTAAATTTGTCGTAGTAGTTTCAGAGGAGAAGATTTTTGTAAAAAATGATAAAAATTTACGAAAAATGGTTAAAAATTGACTATAAAGGGCAATAACTCCTTAAGGGGTCAACTGAACATTTTGGTCAATTTGACTTATTTGTAGATCTTACTTTGCTGAACATTATTGCTGTTTACAGTTTATCTCTATCTATAATAATATTCAAGATAATAACCAAAAACAGCAAAATTTCCTTAAAATTACCCATTCAGGGGCAGCAACCCAACAACGGGTTGTCCGATTCATCTGAAAATTTCAGGGCAGATAGATCTTGACCTAATGAACAATTTTATCCTCATCAGATTTGCTCTAAATGCTTTGGTTTCAGAGATATGAGCCAAAAACTGCATTTTACCCTATGTACTATTTTTTAGCCATGTTGGCCATCTTGGTTCGCGGGCAGGGTCATCAGACACATTTTTAGCTCACCTGACCTGAAAGGTCAAGTGAGCTTTTCTCATCACTTTGCGTCCGTCGTCCGTAAACTTTTACAAAAATCTTCTCCTCTGAAACTACTGGGCCAAATTTGACCAAACTTGGCCACAATCATCATTGGGGTATCTAGTTTAAAAAATGTGTCCGGTGACCCGGCCAACCAACCAAGATGGCCGCCATGGCTAAAAATAGAACATAGGGGTAAAATGTAGATTTTGGCTTATATCTCTGAAACCAAAGCATTTTAAGCAAATCTGACATGGGGTAAAATTGTTTATTAGGTCAAGATCTATCTGCCCTGAAATTTTCAGATGAATCAGACAACCTGTTGTTGGGTTGCTGCCCCTGAATTGGTAATTTTAAGGAAATTTTGCCGTTTTTGGTTATCATCTTGAATATTATTATAGATAGAGATAAACTGTAAACAGCAATAATGTTCAGCAAAGTAAGATCTACAAATAAGTCAACTTGACCAAAATGGTCAGTTGACCCCTTAAGGAGTTATTGCCCTTTATAGTCAATTTTTAACCATTTTTCGTAAATTTTTGTAATCTTTTACAAAAATCTTCTCCTCTGAAACTACTAAGACAAATTTAACCAAACTTGTCCACAATCATCATTAGGGTATCTAGTTTAAAAAATGTGTCCGATGACCCCGCCCGTGAACCAAGATGGCTGACATGGCTAAAAAATAGTACATAGGGTAAAATGGAGTTTTTGGCTCAGATGAATCGGACAACCTGTTGTTGGGTTGCTGCCCCTGAATTGGTAATTTTTAGGAAATTTTGCTGTTTTTGGTTATTATCTTGAATATTATTATAGATAGAGATAAACTGTAAACAGCAATAATGTACAGCAAAGTTAGATCTACAAATAAGTCAACATGACCAAAATTTTCAATTGACCCCTTAAGGAGTTATTGCCCTTTATAGTCAATTTTTTACAATTTTCATAAATTTTGTAAATTTTTGTAAATTTTTACAAAATATTTTCCACTGTAACTACCGGCCAAGTTCATTATAGATAGAGATAATAGTAAGGAGCAAGAATGTTCAGTAAAGTAAGATCTACAAACACATCACCATCACCATCACCATCACCAAAACACAATTTTGTCATGAATCCATCTAGTTCCTTTGTTTAATATGCACATAGACCAAGGTGAGCGACACAGGCTCTTTAGAGCCTCTAGTTGGCTTATATCTCAAAAACTAAAGCTTTTAGAGCAAATCTGACATGGGGTAAAATTGTTCAATTGGTGAAGATCTATCAGCTCTGAAATTTTCAGACGAATCGAACAACCCATTGTTGGGTTGCTGCCACCGAATTGGTAGTTTTAACAAAATTTTGCAGTTTTTTGTTATTATTTTGAATACTATTATAGATATATATAAACTGTAAGCAGCAATAATGTTCAGCAAAGTAAGATCTACAAAAAAGTTATTATGACCATAATTGTCAATTGACCCCTTAAGGAGTTATTGCCCTTTAAAGACAATTTTACACAATTTGTTCATCAAGTTTGCTAACATTTAAAAATCTTCTCCTCTGAAACTACTGGGCCAATTACCTTCAAACTTTAACTAAATGTTCCTTAGGGTATCTTGTTTATAAATTGTATCCGAAGTTTGTATCCATCAACAAACATGGCCGCCATGGCTAAAAATAGAACATAAGGGTCAAATGCAGTTTTTGGCTTATATCACAAAAACTAAATCTTTTAGAGCAAATGTGACAAAGAGTAAAATTGTTTAATTGGTCAAGATCTATCGGCCCTGAAATTATCAGACGAATCGAACAACCCATTGTTGGGTTGCTGCCACCGAATTGGTAGTTTTAACAAAATTTTGCAGTTTTTTGTTAATATTTTGAATATTATTATAGATATATATAAACTGTAAGCATCAATAATGTTCAGCAAAGTAAGATCTACAAAAAAGTTAATATGACCATAATTGTCAATTGACCCCTTAAGGAGTTATTGCCCTTTAAAGACAATTTTACACAATTTGTTCATCAAGTTTGCTAACAATTAAAAATCTTCTCCTCTGAAATACAGGTGAGCGATTCAGGCTCTTGAGAGCCTCTTGTTTTTAAAGTTAAGATGACAGACTCCATATGATGGCAAAAAGTCTCTTGGCCTAAAAAGGTCAGGTGAGCTAAAACGTGAAATCTGTAACTACAGAAGGAAATTTATCTGTACATGAACAGGAATCCAATTATAGTTCCCAATAGCTCTTTTTGGACATGTTAGCAAAAATAACAAAGAAGAATTTTTATAATTACATTTTTTTTAAAAGTTGTAGATATATGCTTACCATGTTCATGAACAACCCATACTCAGAGTGCCTCATTACAATATTTTACAGTAATTATAAAAAATATTTATAAAATTGAGAATGGAAATGGGGAATATGTCAAAGAGACAACAACCCAACCAAAGAGCAGACAACAGCTGAAGGCCACCAATGGGTCTTCACTGCAGCGAGAAGATTCCGCACCCGGAGGTGGTCCTCAGCGGGCCCCTAGATAAAATTGTGTACTAGTTCAGTGAAAATGGACGTCACACTAAACTACAAAACATATAAATGAACTAAAATTAAAAAAACATACAAGACTAACAAAGACCAGAGGCTCCTGACTTGGGACAGGCGCAAAAATGCGGCAGGGTTAAACATGTTTTGTGAGATCTCAACCCTCCCCCTATACCTCTAGCCAATGTAGAATAAAGAAACACATAGCAATACGCACAGTAAAACTCAGTTCAAAAGAAGTCCGAGTCAGATGTCAGAATATGTAACAAAAGAAACTAAGCAAAATGACAATGATACATAAATGAACAAAGGACTACTAGCAGTTACTGACATGCCAGCTCCAGACCTCAATTAAACTGATTGAAAGATTAGAATAGACTGTAGAAAACAAATGAAAATCAATTATATCGTAAAATTTATGAAAGAACCAATATAGCAAAGTAACGGTGCTACTACATGTATTGCTGTTCTTCATCTTGTAGGTCTTCAGTGATGAACTCAATATCAGTTTTGTAAGTCATCTTTTAACAAGTGACATGATTTTTCAAACACAACAGTTTCTCCATAGTAATTAATAACAGTCAAGTTTTTCTTCTGTCGAACAACATCCTCAATTAACTCATCTTTAATCTGCAATAACCAATACACAACAAACTACATTAAATGAATACATGCATGTTTTATATTGATAATAACAAGATAATTGTTTTGTTTTGATAAAAAGATATGTATGAAAGTGAAATAGATCTATTTTTGTACAGCTTTTCTTATAAAGTGTTAAAATTACAAGCCAAATAGGCCACAAGTAGAGATTTTGGTATATTTTGACAAAATGGTCTGGATTTCATTGAGTGCAGGCTACAACAATCAAAATATTCAAGTCGGATATATAAAATGTTATAACACGCATTATGCGTTTCTATAATGCTATCATGTCGTCCTTGTCATTTGAAGACACATTTGGTTTCCGGACAATAACTTTAGTTTAAGTGAATGGATCTCTATGAAATTTTACCACAAGGTTCAATACCACAAAAGGAAGGTTGGGATTGATTTTGGGGGTTATGGTACCAACAGTTTAGGAATTAGGGTCCAAAAACAAGCATTTTTGTAGTTTCCGGACAGTAACTTGTGTGTAAGTGTATGGATCTCTCTGAAATTGTACCACAAGGTTCAATACCACAAAGGGAAGGCTGGGATTGAGTTTGAGGGTAATTGCCCCAAACGTTTAGAAATTAGGGCCAAAAACAAGCATTTTTCTAGTTTCCAGACAATAACTTGTGTTAAAGTTTATGGAACTCTCTGAAATTGTAACTTATTATATATATCAGATTAACTAAGTATTGTGCAACAGCACAGTATTGCACAATAGCACAGTATTGCGCAATAGCAAGAAATCTTTTGAAAATAAATACAAATCTTTTAACCAATTTCAATGGGATTAATTAAGTCTTTAATTTATGGGGGTTTTAACCTATTTTGGATATTGGGCCCCATTTTTAACTTGGTCTACATTGAGGTCCAAAGGGTCCAAAATTAAACTTTGTTTGATTTCATCAAAAACTGAATTATTGCAGCTCTATGATATGCTGAATCTTTTAGATTTTTTATTTTGGGCCCTGTTTTCAAATTAGTCCATATTAAGGGTCCAAAATTAAACTTTGTTTGATTTCAACTAAAATTAAATTTTTGGTGTTTTTTTATATGCTGAATTGACCATGTTGTTAGATTTTGGATATCAGACCATACTAGGTAAATTATATGTCCCATTTCAAATTTTTTAAGATCTTTGACCACATTTATTTTGTGTCAGAAACCTATATATTATGTCAAAAATTTGATCACAATCCAAATTCAGACAGTATCAAGCTTGAATATTGTGTCCAAACTTGCCCCAACTGTTCAGGGTTCGACCTCTGCGGTCGTATCAGGCTGCGCTTGTCAAAGCATTTTATTTGTAGAAGCATGCATTTTTTATTTTTTGCAGAAATCATTATAGATGGAGAAACATTGTAAAAGCAAAGATGTTTAGCACAATAAGATCTACAAAGAAGTTAGCATGGTTAAAATTTACTCCTTTAAGAGTTATTGCCTTTGAAAGATTATTTTTATTATAACCATCTTTCAAAGGTAATAACTCCTGTAAGCTGTCAATTGACAATTTCGGTTAAGTTGATCTTATTTTGTTGAAAATTTGGCTTTTCACAATTTTTCTCTATCTATTATAGTTATGGCAATAAATGCAAAAATGAACAAAATTAGGGGCAACAACTCCTATTCAGGGTCAATTGACAATTCTAATATGACATGCTTTTTTCGCTTTGTAAACAACAGCATGATATTCTTGATATATCTATACTCAAGAGAAGTACAGCTATAAAAGAATATGTACTTCTCTTGAGTCTGTGCTGACTATACGGTATGGGTTTTGCTCATTGTTGAAGGCCGTACGGTGACCTATAGTTGTAAACTTTTATGTCATTTGGCCTCTGGTAGAGAGTTGTCTCATTGGTAAACATACCACATCTTATTTTTATATATTAATGGCTGTTACTATTTACCTCCCACGTAAATCCACATGCATCACAACCTAAATGCAAATACTATGATGATTTTGCTGTGTTCACATTGCAATTGAAAAAAAAAAACTATAGAACATTTATTCCTATTCCAATGCATAACAAAAAGAATTAATGCACACAAACTTGAAAAAATGTATAAATGGAAATAAAAATAAAATTACGCGAAATTCCATGAATGATCTTGGCGCATTTATGTCATATCAAAACATGACGTAATATGAATGTCAATTCTCAAGCTGACGGTTTATTTGTTATGTGTACTCTCTAAATTTGGATAATACGCCACTGAAATGGAGTTGCAGGTAGGTGTTTTTTCATTTTCTATTGTGTTGCATTATTCACACATTTATGGATTTCAGCAAGTCAACATGGCAGATTACTCCTTAATTACATCATGTCAACTGTGGACTACTGTAAATTTAGAAATTATTGCGTGCATTTATTATTGCAATTTTTGCAGAATGGACAAAAATGCGATATTAATTATTGGGATTTGTGGTAAAGCTGCATACAGATATATCTGTCAGATATCAGAATGCGAGTTCTTATTATTGGGATTCTCACCAGGTCGTATTATTCGCAATAATAAAAACCTCACAATAATTTCTTAATTTACAGTATACAGTAAATAGTATCCAACAAATAAAATACGTTTTGAGTTAAGAATTATAAGGATTAAACACATCTTTTTTACAGGTTGTTAAAGATATAATTCATGCAATGTAAGCCATAGATTTGTTTGAAATTTTTATCTTATAGGGGTAAAACAGAACAGCCATACACACCACACACTCTTTTACCTTTGCTTCAGTTTTTTAAATTATCGTATTAATCCTATTAGAATCGAAAGAATTTATGCAAGCCATGATTTGTAATAACACTGATGCACTGGATCAAATTCAAATGTTACAACCCAGTCCATATGAACATTTCCAACAAATCTATGACTTGGATGAATTATTTATTAATTTATGCATGTTGACCTATTTGTAGATCTTATTTTGCTTTTTACAATTTCTCTCCATCTGTTGTAGTTTGTGTTTTACATACTGTTGTGTCAGATTCTCTTATTTTTAACATACCATATTACAGTGAGATAAACATAACATGGTTAAAAATGGCATATCAGTTGGTATTCTAGCAAAACTGTCACCTGTCATCGATTTAATACCTTGTAGATTGAGCAGTTCAAGGTCTCTGTAAATATATAAAAGCATACCCTGTTACACTGTTTAAGATCTAGTAATCTTAGGTGTGGCATTTCTGTTGGTACACGCCCAAAACAGTCCCCATTGATCTTGTCAATCCCAGTTAAGTCTAAATGTAGCAAGTTGCTGAAAAGATAATAAAGTGACAATGACTTTTTTAAATTTTTTTTTACAGTTTGAAAGACTAAAAAAGAAAATTTTGATTTTTATATTTGCAAGAAATTGTCAATAGGTGGAGAACAATTCAATATAAGATAATAAGATGTGGTATGATTGCCAATGATACAAATATCCACCAGAGACAGAAGTTCGCATAGGTCAGTACAGCCTTTAAAGGAAATTCCATACTGTATAACAAGTAAAAAGGCTTACATTATATAAGTGACATTAACATTGATAAATTCTAAATCATAATATAAACTAGATGGTTTTAGGAAATGCTGACATCATCAGTGGGAATCTAGTAACATAAATGGGGAATGTATCCATAGGACACAGATGATGCCCACGCTTGCATATAACATTATAAAGGGACATAACTCAAGAACCGTAGAAGTGACGCTACCCAAATTTGTACTTGATCAGAGTTTTGTGGTAATAAGCATTGTGTATAAGTTCAGGCAAACTTAAGAAAGAGAAAGGAAACAAAAATTTCAGCAATTTTTCGATTTGTAAAGGGGCATAACTCTAGAACGGTAAAAGTGACGCCACCAAAATTCAAACTTGATCTGTGTTTTGTGGTAATAAGCATTGTGTATAAGTTTCAAAACATTTGGTTGAGGCAAACTAAAGTTAGAGAACGGAAACCAATTTTGGGATGTACAGACGGATGTACGGAAGGACAAGGTAAAACTTAATGACCCCTCCACAACGGCGGGGGCATAATTTTTTTTTTAAATTAACAGTACTTACATCAAATTATTTAAAGGACCAAATAACATCAAGAGATGTAAGATGAAAACTTCTACTGACAATCTTAATAAAGGACAGGTTATAGTTTTTATAGTCTGATCAATTCATCTATTTTGTCTCCATCAGTGGAATTACAAAAGGTATAAAGACAAACCAATATTAAGAAAATTATCACCTTTTTCTACAATAAAGGTATACTGTAGATTCGTTATTATTAGTTGGATATTAAATTTTGTGGAAAAATTTAAATGTTCAATGAATTATAGGAACAGACCTTGGCAAAATCCCTGAAATCAAATATCTACGAAAATGCAAGTCTTTCTAGATCCACGAAAAATATAATTTATTAAATTCAGTATTAATTTCTTTTACATTTTTTTCTGTTGTTTGGCAGCATATCACAGATTCCTTTGTCATGTTTGTAATTATTTATTTCTTAATATGGCCTGTTTGATCCTATTGCACTTTCACATGTTCAAAAACTGATAATTAGAGGACTTCATTAGCTTTTTTACCAATGTATGTTTGTGAATGTAAATAAAGAGTAATACACTAATGTCCATGCCAGCTGGGACATCTAAGTTTCCTAGTTCATTGTTAAAGACCTTCCAGTAAATGGCTAGATAACGGATCAACATCAAAATCATCATTGTTAACTTAAAGCCTCAAGTTTTCTACCAATATTTATTTTTTTTATTAATAATTTATGTTAGAAATAAAACAAAAGGTTTGGAAATTTATTTTCTTCCATTTCACCAGTTATAGCTATGTATGTAAATAGGTAACGTTTTTCTAACTTTTCAATTGTGGCAACATGTTTGCCATAAGTAAAATGAACAACAAACAAAATATCTGGTCCACTGACAGTGTTCATGCTCTAATTTTTCAAAACAATTACTACTAATATAAGAATAAACTCTCCAAGAGATGTCATAAAGAGTTTGTTGCTTCTTCACATGCTATCTCGATGTAATGATTAAGCTGGTACCAAACACCTTGACTAAAATTAATTTGGCTCGTTTAATTTTCATAAAATTTTGACAAAATATTTACTTTGACCCTTTGACAAAAATATAAGAATTTCAAAATACTTGAACCGCACACTTTATTGGAAAAATATCTTTGGATATATAGTAGTTTGACAAACACTAATTTTGATCATTGAGAAGCTTAATATTTCCTAAACAATAGAACATGATTAAAACGTGCGGCTGATTTTTACAGAGTTATCTCCCTGTAGTGGTATGTACCACCATAAGAATATAACTGTGATAATGTTCTTACCTGCAATGATCAACCACTGAAGTTGCTCCTCTATCTGTGATGTGCCAGCACCAACATAATGATAGTTGTTTTAAAGTCTTTCCACAGCTGTAATTCAAAAGGAACTGAATAGAAAATATCTAGTTCATTCTTAAAACTAATGGAAAATAATTTAAACATACTTCCAATTTGCCATTGCTATAGTAACCTCTCCCTATTGATGGGTTGAAAATAGAACAAGATGTTGGATATTTTAGCAGTCCCTTTTTTACCTGCAATTTCCTTATGAAATCGGGATCCTGTCTGGAAATACATTTTGGCAATTACTTATTAGTATTGGAAGTAACAATAATTATTTCTTATTGTTACTTTTTGCAGGTAATCATAGCCAGTACCTTTTTTACCCCAAATCCTATGTTCATTTACATTTTCTTTCTTTCTAAGTGCTTATATTTGTTCACATTAGATTATATTCCACCACAGCCACTATTCAAATGTCTACCTTTTCCAACATTGAGTCAGTGAAACACTAGTGGAAAATATTCAATCTTCAGTATTTGAATAATGCATTTCTCCTGTAAACCCTTAATATTCTGTAAATTGATAAATTAATGAAATGTCTTTATATTGCTTAAAATGCAATGGGATATAAATTAATGTTGCATTAATTATAAAAATTACATTTCAATTTAAACATCTTTGCAGAATCATTTCCAAATATTACAATTCCATTTTTTTCTTGTATTCTAAAGATAAAAAATCTCAATAATAAATGCATACATCAATTTCTGAATTGATAATATTCAAATTTCTTTCCTCAAGAATATGATTAAAAAGGAAGGAAATTTTCTAAAAATTGATGAATCTGAAATATTTATACAAATATAATATCAAAATTATAACCATAAAAAAAAAAATTGCAGCTTAATTTGATACAACATGGGAAAACTCACCAGGCCTGACCCTTGTTAGGATTGTCAGATTGAGAGCTCTTTCTTGATTTGGTGGGTGATGGTACATGGCCAGTCTTAGTTAGTGTAGCGATTTGCCTGGGAGGTACAAATTTTACAATTTTTTCTTAAATTAAATTATAAATTGTTTTTCTTTTACATACCTTTGAGCTAGTTGTGACACACAACTATCATCACAACCAGTGCATTCTGACATGTCTAATGATGTCAAATGTTTGATTCCAGGAGATGAGAAGAAATTCATCAGACCAACTGCTGTGAATTCTGTTCCTTTTCTTAAACGCAACTTCTTCAATTTATTCAAATTCTAAAATATATAAATCACACATGTACATCAACGTAGTACCACTACTATTAATATTGAAAGATTTTTAAAAAAAATTTCACACAGTGTGGATTCATTTATTTTCGTTGATATCAATTTTCATGAATTGTGTAAAACTTGTAATTTTGTGGATATTTGATTTTGGGGATTTGCTAAAGTCTGTTACAAGCCTTTATAATATGTATACCCTGTATTGCATTAAACATTTAAACTTGTGGTTTACCTTTACTGGGGAAATCCACGAAAAACTGGTACCCCACAAATTATAATGAATCTACAGTAGCAGTGTACATGCCTTAGGAATAGGTAGGTCATTAGATTGATCCTGTAGTTGGTCAAAATTAAAACCAAACTAAATATTATTGTGTACACATTACATATGCACATTTATGGTTCTACAATCTGTAGATATCTGTATTTTGGCATTGCACAAAGTCATGTTTTTCTCTTATTGTTAATGACGTCTTTACACTATATCCATTAGATGTTGGATGTGTACTGATTGATATTTTAGTCTTAGACACATGATTTTTTATTAGTTGTTATTAGCTTTTAACTAGCTTTTAGTAAATGTAAGTACTCTTTGATCTGTACTTTGTATCAATCTGATGAGTTAAGACCTTTACAACTGATTTTTATAGTTTGTTCTTATGTTGAACTGTTAGACCACTGTCCAAGGTTAGGGGGAAGGGTTTGGCGCCAGCAAACATGTTTAATTGCGCCACATTCTGTATGTGCCTGTCCCAAGTCAGGAGCCTCTAATTCAGTGGTTGTCATTTGCTGCTGTATATTATATTTGTTTTTGTTTATTGTCATGTACATCAATCAAGCCATAAGTATTCTCGTTTGAATTGTTTTACATTTGTCATTTCTGGGCCTTTTATAGCTTACTATGCAGTGTGAATTTTGCTCATTGTTGAAGACTGTACCGTGACCTATAGTTGTTAGCTTCTATGTCAGTTAGTCTATGGTGGAGTGTTGTCTCATTGGCAATCATACCACATCTTCTTATTTTTATACAAAGCATAGCCTATGAAACTTAAATTGACTGCTTTCCTATTAATATTCCCTAAATGCAGTTCTTTAGAATAAAAGCAAAGATTGGTTGGCTCAGAGTCTAGGTAGAGTAAAATGCCTTTTGGTACACTTTTATGCAGAGAGATTGCATGTTGACAATCCGTTAACAAGCATTGTACTCTTTATACAAAGGGGAGGGGGGTAAACATGTTAGTTAGTGCTCAACCTTCCCCTTTAGATTTTTAACCCACATGGTTACCATGGTTACCGGTATGTAATTTCTACTTTTATTCAAAAACACTGAACTTATATAGTTTGATAGGATAATAGTAAAATAATTATGAGGAACACAAAATGGATTTGTCAATTCATGAGAACAACCTCATAGTGTTCTATATATGATCTATAGGAATTATGATGGTATTTTCATAGATACTATACCTGGAGATATTCAAGGCTTTTATCTGTTAGCAATTCACAAAATGATGCCTCAAATAAGGTTAAGTAAGAACATTTTGCTATGGATTCATAGCAGTCATCTGTAATTTCTGCTCCATCAATGACAAGCTTTGTTAAATATTCATTGTGTTGTTGCAATAAATATATCACAGGTCTGAAATAAAACAAAACTTATAAACTTATGCATTCAAATGAACCTAATTCACAACTTCATAAAATGTCCATTGTATACCAACTTATTATACTCATATTAGAGAAGATTCCAGTTTGACATATCCTGGGATATTTTTCTACCTTCTGAAATTTGTGAAATAAATTGCTCACAAAAATTTCGTTGAATTACATTATGCTAACAGAAGTTCAAAGTAAATCCCTAGGGGGTTCAAATACAAATGTGTGTATAATTTCAAGGTACAATGTAATAAACATTTTAATGTTGTGCAAGGACCTTTTACAACGAAAGTCCACCATACATGTGAACAAATTCAGTTTGCTAATACATGTAGTAGAAAATGACAGAATAAAATTCATATTAGTCATGTTGGTAACAATGGTTCTATGTAAAAATGTATTATGTCAGCCAGGGGTAATACTTATACAAGTCATTTTATTTACTTGAAAATATAAGTAATATTTACTTGCATACGTAAATTTGTAAGATTTTTATTTTATTTTCAAGGTTTGAATTATCTCCCCTTAATCTTCACCAAAAATTTACTTATACAAGTAATTTTTTTTACCACCCCATAAATTCTGAAGTGCATAATTACATGTCATGTTAATCATTGTTACCGTACCTGTCAAAAGTCATGAAACGCATCAGACAAACGATGTCTTAAGCTATACTTAGTGTCTTTTGTCCTTTTTTTTGTTCTGTAGTACTTTTTTTTAATCCATTCACAACTTTTCTACTTTGACTGGTTTTTTTTCAAAGAAATTATTTAGAGACTCAGGTTCCAACTCACATGGGCAAAGTTGGCCTTAGATGGATTTGGTTGTTCTTATGGGCCCCTTATGGCCATATAGCTCCTCATATATTCAAGAACTTACACATCTTTGGCTTTCAAATCTTTCGGTTTTAAGTTGATAAAGGCAAATCCAGAAAAGCACGTCAGACATAAATATATAAAATGTACTTTTCATTTACAATGCTGTGATACAATTTTTTTTACATCCTTGTCCTTTGAGCAATCACTTTGGTATTAATTTTCAAAATTCAAATCCATGCATGTGTCAGCTCAGTTCATGAATAATTCTTGGCAAAAACAATTAAACAAAAATCAGTGTTCTGTCGAGGGGCCTAAAAGCACAATGGTGCTATTTCAGTGGCGTAGCTAGACTTATAATGATCTGCATGCAGAAGTTGCCGAGCGTAGCGAGGCAAAATTTCGCCGAGCGGAGAGAGGGGAAAAAAATTTTTGGACCCTTTTTTACAGAAAATGAATCTTTTTTCGATCTAAGATGGTTAATTTTGAAGTGAAGTATGCACAGTTGAGTGTTTTGCTATACTAGTATATCAAATCAAAGACCTAAAACTGACCTAAAAAATTCTAAAAACTTTGCAATGCTCGCCAATTTATTATGCTTCAAAGAAAAAAAGGGCGAGAGAACTGGATCCTCTCATGACATATATGTTAACATACGAAAACAAAGCAATTCAAACAATCAATTTTTAATTTGGTGATATATGAATGTGACGTTCGTATGTAAGACCGTATGTAAGACTGAAGTTAACAACCGAGGTCCTTTAGGAGTGTAACATTTTCATTTGCCTAGCATTGTTAAACGTGTCAATAACTTCTTTAGTGTCAATGTCAAAATCAGAATGAACGTGCAGCAGTGCAAGTGAAGAAAGTCTTTCTTGTCCCATGGTCGATCTCAGATACGTTTTTACGCGTTTCAGAGCGCTGAAAGAGCATTCAGCAGTAGAGGTTGAGGGTGGCATGGTGAGAAGTATTTGCAGAATACAGAATATATTTGGGCAATGTTCTTTCGGCGTCATCTTCAATGTTGCACAGTGATGGTCTGGTTTCTTATATGGATAAATATTCCATCGCGCAACCCACCTTTTAATTTTGAGAAGAAACTGATCTTCTGATTGAAGATCGGACTCGTAGGCGCGAAATATGCGAATTTGATGGTCCCGATTCAAACTTTTCAGATTGTTTGGAAGAAGCATATGGGCAAGAAAACGTTCTTCCAAATTGACAAGACGATCTCGTAGTTCGTTTTAAATTAGTAGATGGTCTAAAAATTGTATATACCGATGTACGCACAACAAAACTGAACTGATAGAAAACACGGAAACCTTTCTGACAAGTTGAAACACCTATATATACAAAGTGACAGTCAATCGCATTCTTTCTTTTTTTGACTGCTATGATTTTTTAATTATGATTTTTTTTGGGGCCATTTCGTTTGTGCACGCAAGTGCGTCTATGCGTCAATGGTAGCTACGCCACTGTATAATTTTAGTAGATTTTATAATAATATGTATAAAACAGTGTTGCTATGATTTTAAGGAAGAAGTTTTTAAATTGTATATCAATCCCAAGGTGCTATTTGAAAATACTGTAAGTTCACTTACTCAGAAATTGAATACAAAGAAGATAAATCAAACAACAATTCATTGAATATAACATGTATAATGACTAATACTATTACTAACTCATCATCAATCCAAGAAATTCCATCTATATTGAGACTTCTTATAGTTTCCAAATTCTTGGCTAAATGATGAAGGTCCATGTTTTCTAAAATACAATGTGAGAAATTCATTTCCTTTAAGTGCTCACACCTGCTCAGGATTTGTAAACTTCCAGGTTTTAAACATGTATCACCTTCCAAGTTAATACTTTCAAGCATGGGACATTTGTTCACTATAATTGAAAGCATTGGAATATTCATATTTTGACAAAATCCTAAATCTAAGTGTTGAAGATTGGATGTGTATTCAGTAAAAACAGCAACCTCACTTTCTGAAATATTTTCTCTTCCATGCAATAAAAGTGACCTTAAGTTTGTAGCTTTTGCAATTAAACGACATAAATTCACAGATGGTATGTTTCGGTAGTTGTGAAGGTCAATAACTTTCCATAAGCTAGGATCAAATGCATAGTCATACCATGATTTACAAACTCTGGACAATTTACAACAGAGTTCAGGTTGTGTAAAATATGTAAATATTTTCATTGTTATCTCCCTTGGAAGACAGAAAATTGGACAAGTACAAAACATATCATCATCACTTGTCAGGATTTCCTCCACCTTAATCCTTGCAGGAGTAATCTCCCTTTCAATAAACTCTATGTCTGTTTTTATAATTGAATTCCTAATATGCTGAGGCTCTACATCACTATCTTCTATAGTGTTCCTTTTTTCTATACAATTCTGGTCCATTTCATCATCAGAGAAGTTTAATGATGGACAACAAAGATGTGAATCTGATTTATCAACATTTTTCACTGGTGACAGTTGTGACATATCCTCTGTGTATCCACTATCTGCTAACAAGTCAAAATCACTGACTTCATTTGGCTTAGACATTTCTATTTGTTCTTCACATACATGTTCTAAGCTATAGAAAAAAGAAATAATCAATATCATTTAATGACAAGTGCTGAGTGATGGAAACGCCATTACAAATGATATAAGTTCTAAAAGCAATATGTTTGCGCAGAAAAAATAATTGGTTATTGGTTATTTTTGTCGTTAGGTTTCTTTCTCATTGAGGTATGCCATAATTTCCCTTTAATTCACACAGAAAAGTTGTTGAAACCTCTGTAGCTTCATACCTTAAAAAAAAGCAAATTTTTCTTGTGTTTATTTTTTGCTTTCCTTTGTCATGTTTGTGACATGAAAAAAAACATGGAAAAAAATGTAGACATGATAGCCGTCCAAAGGGTTTGTGTTAAATTGTCCAAGAAAAAAGCTATAAGCTGACTATGCGGTATGGACTTCGCTCATTGTTGAAGGCCGTAAATTGATCTATAGTTGTTAATTTCTGTGTCATTTGGTCTCTTTGTGGAGAGTTGTCTCATTGGCAATTATACCACATTTTCTTTTTATATATAAGCTAATTCTATCATTCATTTTTAAAATAAAATATAACGGTAGTAGTTACAGAGAAACTCATCATAGATACCAGGCTTAAAAATGTGTGTTCATCTGCAAAGACTAATCAGAGACTCTTAAATAAAAAATGTTAAAAAGGCCATGGGGACTCTTTAATTTCCACTCAATAGTTATTGTTCCAAAATTTAACAAGTTTAGGGGATGCATAATGCATTAGGTTTGTTGGATAAGCAAAAAAATATATCAATTGTTTGGGTCTTTCCAAAGTTACTTATGTCATGCCAGTCATTCTGATAAAACTAGTTGCTTACAATCAATCCAGCACTGTTTAGTTGCTTTTCAGACCATTCAGTTTGTTTTTGTTTTGTACATGTAAATAACAACTAATGAACAGTCTGAACATAATCAGAGATGTACAGATCAAAATTGGTTTACTAGTTTAAATTATGGGCCTAGTCATTTAATTGAAATGTTCACATGCTAATAAAATAAAAGAGTTCCAATGACCCCAGTGTTGCACTTATCTGTCCAAAGGCATTAACTAAAAAAAATTTTGGGAGTTAATTAAATTTTTTATAAATATTGTAGAGAAAATTACATAGGGTTGAAAGCGCTTATATTACAATACAATTTTCCTATAACTAATATTTCCAAGGGGCATAACTCTTTTAAAAATAATTGAGCAGCACTGATTTTTGAAATTGTCGAAGACATTGCTGATACATCATGTATAAACCGTTTATATATATTTCATAAATATCTAGCAAGAATTGTAGGTGAAAGTGCTTTAAAAAAAACAATGCAATTTTCTTTAAAATTTACATTTCTAAAGGACATAATAATGAAAAATATTTGATCAGGACAGATTTATAAACTTGTCCCAGACATTGTTGATATAAACCTTCATTATGAATTTTATAACAATTCTTTAAGAAATGTATGCTTGAGAGCGCTTACAACGCAATTTTCCATATAATTAATATTTCCAAGGGGCATTACTCTTCTAAAATAATTGATAGGCACTGACTTTTGCATTTGTCCGTGACATAACTAATAAAAACCTTTGATATAATTTAATAAAAATCTGGTAAGAATTGTACACCTGAGAGCAATTTTCCATATATATACATGTAACTAATTTGTCTGAGGTACATGTATATAACTCTTTTAAAAAAGTTGATCTGCTCTGATTTTTGCACTTGTCCAAGAAATTTGCTGATATAAACCTTTGATCATGTTGATAGAAATTTGAAAAAATCTGGCAAGAATTGTACTCTTGTGCGCTTACAATGCAATTTACCAGAAATTTAATATTTCCAAAGGGCATAACTCTTCAAAATAGTTGATTGGCATTGATTTTTCAAACTTGTATGAGACATTATTCATATAAATCTTTCATATATATATGTTTGAAAAAATTCTGGCAAAAATTGTACATGTGAGTGTGCTTACAATGGAATTTTCTATATAATAAATATATCCAAAGGGTATAACTCTTTTACAAACTGTTGTAAAACAGTCAGCACTGACTTTCGAATTTGTCCGAAACATTGCTAATACATTGTAATACAGTGACCTTTGACATAAGTTTGATAAAAATCTGTACACTTAAAAGGGCTTACAAGAACAAACTGACGGACGAATGCCTGGTATTTCTATGTCCCCCACAAGGCCTTGCGCGGGGGACTAAAATAATAAATTGAAAATTGTTCATCTGATTGATTTTTCTTAAGAAATATTAAAATTTTTATGAAAATAAGATGATATTGATGTAATTAGCCATTCTGGAATTTCTCTGTCCTTCTCCCTTGAAATAATCAGCCACAGACCATGCAAACTCAGAATTTTATCAGTCAGACCACCTGACCCCTCATTGCAGTTCTCACCCATATTTTTCTTCAGAAAACAAAACATTGCCTTTTGTTGTTGTCGCAATTTCAATTTGTAGATGCTTGACATTTTTATATTTGTGCATGGGTCTTGAAGTTAGTCAATAGACTTATCAACTTGAAGAATACTAAGTCAATATTCACAACATTTTGATTAAGGTCAAATATTTTTTGCTGAACTTTGATATAAAAGAAGACACCCATGAATTATACAAATTCAGACCTCTATAAGACAAAAACAAAATTAGACTTATTTATGTCTGAGCTCTGACTGCTAATGAAGTGAGGATGGCATAGATCTAGCATGTCCAGTAACTGAACTGTCAACTGATTTACAAGCTTAATAATTAACTGGAATGATGACACATGAAGATGTTGCTCCTTCAGGTCTTTAGAAATCAGAAGTTTACATGCATATGTTTTTGTAAATTTACGTCAATTATGTGCAGATCACTTTTTTTAATGGTTAAGTTTTTGCTTACTTATAATTATATGCTATGCTGAATAAGTCTTTTCACTTTTCCATGGACAGACCTATTGATTTTGTTTTGATTACTATTTTTGTTTTCCTCCGCCAAATTTCTATCTTGTGCTGTTTGTTCCTTTCACAAGATGACGCTTATGTGTTTGCCATTGATATCAAACAGTTAATGCGCTTTTGAAACTGACACTGTTTAACCGAACACTTTACTTTGCAAGAGTTATCTCCATAAACACTGTTTTTCTAGTTGTCTACTCCTTCGCAAAAGTAAAAGAAACCGACATTTTTTTTGCAAATTGCTCGTTATATCCTTGAGATATTGTACGAAATTTTGACCGAAGTGATGAGGGCAAGGTTAAAAAGGTCAAGGTTATGTTCCAAATTTTATTTTTGGCTTATTATCGCTTCACCACAGAAATCCTATTAGATATCAACAAAATCTTTTTTCATAACTGTTAGGGTCTTTAGATTTGAGGTCCTTGTTTTATTACCTTAATATTTAGGTCAAGGTCAAAGCTAGATTTTGTTCTAGATTTTGGCCTTTGCTATGAATCCATATTCATACATGATAAAGCCATAGGGTCTATTGCATTCGGTTAGTCGACATTTATGACCTTGAAAAGGTCAGCGGTAAGTGACCTAATGTTAACCGGAAGTAGCCATTTTGATGCACTGATTTAATTTGAAAACACCTAGAACTAAATATTTTTGGAATCAGTGTGAAGTCACCTAGATGATGCCGAAGTGAAATTTTGTAATTCGGAAGTAGCTTCTTAGTTCCCTTACTTCAAGCATGCTTATATAGAAATCATATATTTTTTGAATTAGCGTAAAGTAAGCTTTTATTTGACACTGGAAATGACTTTGATTAAACTGGAAGTTATATTATATATAATTACCTCCCTTAATTTATGAAAAAAGTGCCTTAAACATTGTATCTTAGGAATTGTCGTGAGATGCATGTACAATGTACATGTAAGCTATCATTCTTACACTGGACATACTATATTATCCAAATGTTCTTATCTTGAGTGAAGTTGGGTGGAAAGACTTTCAATTGTTCTCTGAACAATTGGTTTTTAATGATGTTATTTATCAGTCCTTATCAATTTGCTTTATGCCTGTCTTGCCTTGCTTTAAAATGCTTGCATGAAATTTCATCCTTGTGAGCCTATTAGATGGAAATAAAACATCTTCCTTTTGTTCTATACTACATAGTGTAGAATCCATGTGTATAGTATTAATGTAGCCACTGTAAATAGAACAGTGTAGATTTGGAAATATATGCATATTAACACTTACATGTTTTGTAAGATAGTTTTACATGTATATTGAAAAATTATAGTAATACTTTTACTCTTCACTTGAAAACTTATAATGAACAGATGAAAGACAAAATTATTTATTTACCAGTTTTACTCCTCATAAAGAGGACAGTCCCTTATTCATGACATTTAACAATGTGTAAATTTCTCTATACAAAAAATAAGTCTAATTGTCTACTGCTGCAAATTGCTTTGGTGTTTTGAATATCTTGTTTGTAACTGTCAGATAGCACAATGACAATATTTGAAAAATCTATTTTTAATCTCACTGATCTATAGAACTAACATGAAGAAGTACAGTGCATGGTCAAATGTATTTGTCACCTTTATTTTTTGCTATATATACATGATATATATTTCATAGAAAAACACATCTTTCCCAAAATTATTTTGTAGACATTTATTGTTGGATGTTTACAAACAACAGAATTGTCCAAAGTACAGTGGAATCCCCTGTGTCTGCGACGCCAGTGATACATGTATCTCACATTACCTGATTTCATCATATCCACAATGTTACATAAACATGATAAATAGAATCGTTCTTGTAATTGCTATAGTCTTTCACAGAACAGAAAAGGTTAAAATTGATAAGTTTAAGCATTACCATAATTTATAATTGCAATCCCATGACTAACCATATTCAACCATTTTCAACAAAAATTATGACTTTATGGGAAAAAATTGGTTTCATTTTACAGCAAATTATATCAAACTTAAAAAACTTTTGCTCCGCATTCTAGGCACTGTTTGGTTCAACATGTTCAAACTGAACTGTATTTCGTAGTGTAAAATCCTTCCTTATTTCAATATTAGCTTATTTTTAGAAGGCATGCACGAAAATCACCCGACATTTGAAGACCTGTCAAAACAGAGGTTTCCCTAATTTAAAAAAAGCATTACACAAAATCTTAAGTCATGTTAGTCTGTTAGTGTAAAGTCATACAGTAAGAAGATTTCATGAAATCAAACATATTAAAGATTGTTATGAATTTGTTCAGAATTTATTATCCGATTATTGGTTCTATGAGTTTACAAAAGTGAAGCCAAAAAGACTGCACTGTATACATGGTATATATATTTGTTTATTTGGACATAATTTTGTCATCAATAATTTTCTCTTAATATGAACATGAACATGCACAATATTTTCTACAATTTATTTGGTCGAAATATATCTAAAAAATGTATGAACATAAAATTATACATACATGTATCATGTGTTTATGACATCAGAAATTGAAAACAAAACCAGGTACTTTCTATACTAACGGGACTGGTCACTTATAACAATGTTTATACAAATTTGCAGACAGAACACTGCCGTCGATGATGTCACGTGACTTCATAGCAAATCATTTCACATTTACTAAGTGTTCTTCATAACTATATGTTCAAGTTTAATGAAGTAACAATCTTATTAAATTTTATACATTTTGTCATTGCAAAATGCTGTTTTTGAAAAGATTTCTTTAATAATTAAACATTCTTTAAAAATCTTATATTTTTTGTCATGGTAAATGGCTATTAATCAGATTTTATATTAAAAAATATTAAATTACAATGTACTTTGAAATACGCCAATAACTACTAGCTTCGTATATCAGAGATACAAAGCTAAGTTCATTGTTGGGTGGTAGCTTAACATGGGTGGTGTAGTTATTAATTAAAATCAATAGAGACGAGTCCCGTTAGTATAGAAAGTCCCTGACAAAACATACAAAAATATAATTTTATAAATAAATAAAATAAATAAGTCTATGACAATTCTGCTTCTTTTCAATCCAAGCTGATTAAAATCCGACCAGAAATGTCCCCACAATTTTATTTTGAAAAAAACCGTAGTTTTATATGAAATATATAGTAAAATAAAATTCACAAGTTAAGAATACTTATGGCTATATCTAAAAAAGAATTTAAACTCATGACCAAATATTCCTTACTCAGTATACATGATGCTATGGCGAAACTAAGCATATTTATAAAATACGAAAAGACGTCTCTGTGTAGTTTTTAAGTAGCATTAACAGCTGACCAACAAGTAATTCTAAATTTTACAACTTTGGAAAATATTTCTTCACAGTGAATAATAATTTTTTCATTCAGCTGTAAGTTCTCATGATATCAAACTTACATATGACTAAGATTCTAAGTTAAATAGTCATAAAATTAGACTTAATTTCGGAAAACGAGATAAAATCCGGATTGGTTATTCGTTTCTCTACATTCAACATTCAGATTTTTCATTATTTACCATTTTTTATTTTTTATTTTTTTCAACTTTTGATTTCAACATTTATCATGAGAATTCAATATTCAACATAAGTTTTTAACATTACACAATCGACATTGTCGCATAAAACTTATGCTGCAGTAATTAGGGCCTTTTTTGCTTCGGAACAGTGTAATTATCATAACTTTTGAGTGTTTTCCATTATGAAAAAGAAGAATGTCGCACGTTTCCATAAAAAATTGCCTGTGAAACAATAGTTATAGTAGACCTACACGTTTAAGATTCGTCATAACCTTTGGTTAATATGGCCGTATTAACACCACAAATTTTACTCTGAGTACATTAAATCAGGAACATATATATAAATATACTGTTCCCAGATTAAATGCATTTTATCAAGGATTTGTATCTTACTATACAAATCCTTGATTTTATGTTTCAAAAAATTATAAACTTTACTGGATTAATTTTTGCTATTCATTTTTTTTCATTCCTGCAAATGCAATGCACAAAAAGACATCTAGAGCTTACCAAATGGTCTTCAACTGAGCAGGAACTACCCACCAACAGGCAGTCAGCTCTAGATGACCACAAACACAATAAGAGCAATAAAGTCCAAGGGCACAGCAAAATGTAAAAATAAATAATGCCTGTTATGGTCTCATTAGCTTTTAACACACCTTCATTCGAATTTAGCACATTGTTTATATATCCTTTATTAAAGAAGTATATGTACATTAACTTCAGATCAAAATACTTTCCTCGACGAACACGTTCAAACTTAGGATTTGAATCCTAAGAATGAAAAAAAAAATATGTTGTCTTTTTTCGTGCCAAACAATTATAGTTTTGATATTAACAACAATTTTTTTTGTCAGAGATGTCCAAAACATTCTTTTTTTTAATTTATTTTGGTGCAAACAATTTATAAATTTTGTATTTTATTTTCTTGTACGTCAAGAAACATAGCCACTATGGCTAAAATGGAACATAGGGGTAAAATGCATTTTTCTGCTTTTGAAGAAAATATGACAGATACAAAGAACATTTAAATGGCATTTTTAAGCCACTCATTAATATATATTGAAAAGCAAAAGTAATCATTGATGAAAGATTTAAGCAAAAAATTTCAGGTGAGCGATTCAGGCTCTTGAGAGCCTCTTTTACAGTTAACATTTAACAGACAGTCTGGGACTAATTGTTTTTGACATGATAAATTTGTAAACCTTCATTGATTGTTATGAAACTTGGACAGAAGCTTATCTTCAAGACCAAGAAATAGCATCTAACGAAAACGTTTGAATTTTTTTTCAATTCTGTATTTTACTGATAAATGGACTCACTTTTTTAGTCAGCATTACACTTTTACACTGACAGCAGCAATTTATATCGGTAGAATATTTGGTATGTATAATTTATGATGAGTCCAAAATTTAATTCTCACAGTTTACATCCTTTATACACAATTTCATAAGTCCAAAACATGGAAAACTACAGTTTCCAGTAGGAAATATATGAGTACTGTATTTTTAGCTCACATGGCCCAAAGCTTTTCTCGTCTCTTGACGTCTCTTGTCGTTAACTTTTACAAAAATCTTCTCAGAAACTACTTGGCCAAATTCAATCAAACTTAAACACAATCATCATTAGGATATCTAGTTTAAAAAATTTGTCTGGTTACCCCGCTTGCCAACCAACATGGCCTACATGGCTAAAAATAGAGCATAGGGGTAAATTGCAAGTTTTGTCTATTATTTTGAAAACTGCTACAAATGGAGAAAATCTGACAGGGGCAGATATGTTCAGAATGACGGCTCTGACGTCAACAATTGTTAAGTTTTCTGCTTAAGTTAGTTTGATAGGATCTACTTTTGATATATCAATGATATTTTGTATGAAGTTACATTAATGTCAGTTCATATCAGTTTGGTGACTATTTTGAGGCCCTTCCCTGTAGGTCATGGTCCAGTGACTTTGAATTAATTAGCAATTTTCAATGTTAAGTTTTTCTGCTTAAGTCAGTTTGATAAGAACTACCTGTGATAGATCAATGATATTTTGTATGAAGTTGCATTACTATCAGTACATATCAGTTTGACAACCATTTTGAGGCCATGCCCCTAGGACATGGTCCAGTGACTTTGAATCAATTAGCAATTTTCAATGTTAACTTTTCTGCATAAGTTATATTGATAGGAACTACTTACAATAAACAAAAATATGTTCTATAAAGTTACATTACTGTCTGTACATATCAGTTTGTCAACCATTTTCAGGCCCTGCCCATTAGATCATGGTCCAATGACTGAATTAATAAGCAATGTTGCTGTCCATAAGAATGTCTTTTTCTGGATTTTATGCCGATAGGCGAGAAATATCTCTGTGTCAAGTTTTTTTTTTCGTTTTTGCAGAATACCTGAAAAACTATAATAAATAAATAGAAACTTTAAAGGGGCATTAGCTGTCAAATTCATGTTCATCGATTTGACTCAAATTCTCATATTTGATTTACAACATACTAATATCCAAATTACAATAAGTCTGAAATAAACAGTTAACAATGCATGTGCTCGATAAAATATATCAGAATTTCGTGTGTATTTTAGTCTAGACGCCATCTAATTAACTATCGAGATGACCTCCGAAGACTGCCGACGGTCACATAACCCGATATAAACATAAACATAAATATATTTATAAAAATATTTTTTTTACACAAGATCTACAAATAAGTCAAATTTTGCCAAAATCGTTAGACTCTTTATAGGAGTGAATGTCCCTATTATATGACAATTTTTTTATACTTTTATTTTTTTGAAAAAACTAAAGAAGATAGAGAGAAACTGTGAACAGTAAAAATGTTCAGCAATACAAGATCAACTAAAAAGAGATTTTTATCATGAATTCTATTCTGATCCACAATGTTGGAGACAGTCCATTGTTGAAGATGTACAAAGACCTAGGTGAGCGACACAGACTCTTTAAGCAACCAGTTGATATTGTCATCTAAAATGAACAGAGTTATCTTTCTTTGTGCTGAGGGATCAATGGTCATTATAAAAAGTATTGACCTGAGGTGATTATTTTTACTATTATATTAACCAAAACTACCTAGTTTTGTATCAATTTTTTCAAAAACTATGCCTTTTTGTTAATCCTAATTCGTGTTTTTATGTTTTGCAGGAAATGATTAATAGAGACTGAATCAAATGAAGAATCTTCAGAGTTAAATGCATAGGAAGAAAATATAAATATAGCCAATTAATGCACATGACATTAGGAGAAACAGTAATAAATTTTGAAATTGGTATAAAGGAGAGGTCACACGTCAGAGAAGATACAGGTAGGAGACTTGATTGGTTGATTTTTATCAATTGTCATAAATTAAAAATGACTGTATGATTACCCATGAGACAATTATATACCAGAATCCAAATAATGCAGATTTAATCAACTATAGGTTACTATATAGCTTTCAAGCTTTCAGCTTTCGGTATGAGCCTGTCCCAATTCAGGAGCCTGTAATTCAGTGGTTGTTGTTTGTTGCTGTATATTATATTTGTTTTTCGTTCATTATTTTGTTCATAAATCAGGCCGTTAGTTTTCTCGTTTGAATTGTTTTACATTTGTCATTTCGGGGCCTTTTATAGCTGACTATGCGGTATGGGTTTTACTCATTGTTGAAGGCCTTACAGTGACCTATAGTTGTTAATTTCAGTGTCATTTTGTCTTTTATGGAGAGTTGTCTTATTGTCAATCATACCACATCTTCTTATTTTTATATTCACCAATGAGCCCAACGCACACCATATAGTCAGCTATACAGCTGCCCTGACATTGCTTGTTTACTGTTATGTGGCAAATGTTTCATACATATTCAAGATGATATAAAAAAAAAAATAGATCACTTATGTAGCTTCTGCAAATTTTGTAAAAATTGTTGGAGAGGTGAGGAACTATCACTGAAAATAGTGTTTGTTGGTGGTGGCCATACAATTTGCCTTGCAACAAACTATCTGCAGACTCTTCATATAAAGTCGTTACATAAGATACTCTTCATGGTTTATTGACTTTGAAACATTTGTAGTACTTATGTTTGTGTTTTGTCTAGTTTAAAGGGAACCACTTACAACCAGTCAATGGTATGTGGTATTAAGTTGTATTATCATTGGCATTTCTTGTCTCCACGAAAATTATTTGGTCCTGCATCTCAGTCTTGGTTCATTGGCTTTGGATTGTTTGTATTGTCAGAGACACACACACACACACATATATATGTGTGTTGTTTGTGCTATATTTAGACCCCTCTACCAAGAAATTTGTTTTGCATGCACACGTATAAAAATTGCGGTTTTTATCCAACGCAATCATAGGTTTGAACGTTGTTTTCAATTTAGACTTGTTTATATTTTTTCGTTTGGGCTTGTATTATATTTGCCTTCGGGTTTATATGATCCGTTCATCCTCTTTTGACTCTTTCAAAATTCAAGAGTCTATCCTAAATTGAGGTAAATTATCTGGCCTTCCAAATACCGTTTCGATTCCTAACATCACTGAAGAGACATTAATTGTCGAAATCCGGATATGGTGTACAAATTTTTGCACCTCATGTTTGCGGTATACCATCTTTTCCGCAAGTTTATTATTTTCTGTTTGGTAATAAATTAATAATCAGATCTATTTTGTTACATCTTGTGATCCGTTTATTTGGCAATCGCCAATGGGCAGTCAGCAGGGTTTAAGAACATCAGTTGTTCGACCTGTTAGTCAAATGCGTTTTGTTAAAATATACTTTTTCACTTTTTTGGTCTTTTGGAAAATGTTGTTTGTGCTGTATTTAGACCCCTCTACCAAGAAATTTGTTTTACATGCACACGTATAAAAATTGAGGTTTTTGTCTCGCCTTGAAGGAGTCAAAAAGTGAGACATATGTATGCTGTTTCCGGCGTAGTAGTAGGTCAATGATATTTGGTATGCAGTTGTATTAGCATTGGCACAGCTCATTACCATGGAGATTATTTAGCCCGCTTCCTCATTCAAGGTCTATTGACTTTGAAACTGTGCTTAGTTTACATGTATTAGTTTGTGATTAGGTCAGTTTATGGGGAACAACTAGTGGTAGGTCAATGATATTTGGTATGCAGTTGTATAAGCATTGGCATATCTCATTTCCATGGAGATTATTTGCCCCCCCCCCCCCCCCTCATTGATGGTCTATTGACTTTGAAACTTTTGCTTAGTTTTCATGTATTAGTTTGTGATTAGGGCAGTTTAAGGGGAACCGTTAGTGGTAGGTCAATGATAATTGGTATGCAGTTGTATAAGCATTAGCACATCTCATTTCCATGGAGACTATTTGGTCCTTACCCCTCAGTCATGGTCTATTGACATTGAAACTTTTGCTTAGTTTACATGTATTAGTTTGTGATTAGGTCAGTTTAAGATGAACCACTAATGTTAAGTTAATGATATTCGGTATGCAAATGTATTTGCATTTGCAAGTTTCATTTCCATGATATTAATTAACCCCACCTCCTAATTATGGTTCATTGACTTTAAAACTTTTACATAGTTTACAAGTTTAAAATGTTTGTGTTTAGGTTTGTTTAAATGGAACGACTTATGAAAAGTCAATGTTATTTGGTTTGCAGTTGTATTAGCATTGGCACATCTCATTTCCATGGATATTGTTTAGCCCTGTACCTTCAGTCATGGTTCATTGACTTTGAATATTTGCATAACTTACATGTTAAAGTATTGCTATTTTAATTTCAACATTTGCATTATCAAAATAACAAATAGGCGAGACATATCTCTGTGTTAACAGTTTTTTATCCAACACAATCATAGGTTTGAACGTTGTTTTCAATTTAGACATGTATATATAAATATATTTCTCTAATTCTTCGTCAATTTATCCCTTTCTGCACCCATTGTATAAAAAAATTTAATCAACGTGTGGTTCGTTTGATCTCAGTTCTTCATTGGTTAAAATCCGATTATGACGTCGAATTTTCTTGCTTCCCTCTGAATTTCCTATTGTGACGGCATGAAAAAAGGCGACCATGCCTGACGACGTCACATAGAAAGAACACATCTTTTGCAGATCATTCGAAAAGAAGGAATAAATTTGCCTGCGTATTGTTGAAAATCATTAGAGAAACAGATTCCACCACCAAATCTCGTGTAATACGATATTTATCAACTCTCGGCAGTTAAATTTTAAATATTTAAAACGCTCGGCGAGCCTCGCGTTTTAAATTTGAAAATTTAACTGTCTCCAGTGGATAAATATCGTATCACACTCGATGCAGTGGTAGAATCTATATATATATACAATGGTTTTATACTTCTCTGGCATAGTTTACATGTTTTAAAAAGAATTGCCATTTTAATTTCAGGAGTAAATTTAAGATTTAAAATTTTTTGCTCATTTTCCATATTTTAAAACCTTGGACCAATATCTATTGGTTCCATGTTTTACCAGGTACTATTATACTTATTAGTTTCTAGTGTCATCATCTTGACCCCACTTCATTTGATTTGTAATAAATATTGGCATAGCTTTTTTGCAGTCAATATTTTGGTACAGTCTGTGATTATAAAGATTTAAAAACTTTAATAACTTTGTCAAAAACCTCCATAGAATTTTATTTTAAAATGTCGACAGAAACTAAATTCTTCATAATCAAAAGAGAATACCCTGAGAAAAATTTAGACTTTTATTTATTTACTATATTTTATTGATAAATGGACTCAGACTTTTGTCCGTCAACATTAAACTTTTGCACTGACAGCAGTAGTTGTGGGCGGGACACTGATTCTACTGAACCCTTAACAATCTGTTTTCAGTCTACTAAAATTTATAGACTGAAAGTATCATAAGAATAGTTTGTGTCTCGCCTGCAACAAAAGTCACAGTATGTGAGACATAGAGATTACTATCTGGCGGCGGTGTTAACAATTTGTATAAAGCTTTATACTTCAGAAAGTAGAAGACATGGATGCTTCATGCCTTGTACGAAATACCTTATGTTACAAAGTTTCTGTCTGTCATAAGTTCATTGTCCTTGACCTTATTTTCATGGTTCAGAGATCTAGACTGCTTGAAGAAGAAGTTTTTTGTCATGTGAATTTCTCACTTATAAGTTACAAGTAATAGGATAACTATATTTTGTATATAGGTTCCTTGCAACGTCTACATGATCGTAAGACAGGGTTCACCTGACCTCAACCTCATGTCATGGATCAGTAATCATGGTTAAAATTATGTGATTAGGTTCGTTTCTCAGATACTAAGCAGTAGGTCAACTATATGTGGTGTTAGGAATAATTGTAAGGTGTACGTGTCTGTCTGGCAGGTATCATCTGACCTTGACCTCATTTTCATGGTTCATTGGTCAATTTTAAGCTTTTGTGTCTTGGTCTGTTTTTCAATTACCATTTAGTCAATAGGTCAACTATATTTGGTAATGGAATAATTGTAAAGTATACATGTCCATCTGATAGGTTTCATCTGACCTTGACCTCATTTTCATGGTTCATTGGACACTGTTTAGTTTTTGTGGTTTGGTCCGTTTCTCATATATTATAAACAATAGGTCAATTATATTTGTTGTATGGGATGATTATAAGGTGTACATGTCTGGCAGGGTTCATATGACTATTAGTGATAGGATCACTATATTTGGTGTATAGAATGATTGTAAGGTGTACATGCCTGTCTGGCATGGTTCATCTTACTGTGCCCTCATTTTCATAGAACATTGATAAGTTTATGAGGGTCTGGATGGGGTTTACAGAATAGAGAACAGGACAAAAAGTGCAGAATAAAGGGCAAAAGAAATAAGAATAGAGAAAAAAGGGGGGGGAATAAAGAATAGAGAATAATGCCTAAATGGGCATAATTTATATAGAATAGAGAAAAATGGCTTAAAAAAATTAAGAATACAGAATTTAAGGACCCCCAAACAAGACAGTCGTTTATCTGATACTTGTAGTAAAACCTTCATATTACAGATTTTAAACATGAACTCAATGATAAGTAAAACAGGCGAGACATTTCAGCGTGACTGTGCACTCTTGTTTTATAAAATATTTTTCATTTTGTCTTTAGTTTCTATGTACATACATGACCTCCCCTTATTCCCCTTTTGCATTTATCTGACATTGAAATTTGTTTTTGCCAATATTTAACAATCAGTTGGCATTTAATAAAGTTTCATGTTCATTTACCAATTCAAAAATTTTTCAAACTTAACGTTTCACATGAATGTTTCATTAAAAGCTGATTAAACTCCAAACAATAGCAAATGTCGTTTTTTTTTCTTTTAAGTATGTTGAGAAAAGTTGAGAACAAACTACTTTGTTTGAAGTGGAATCACAGTGGTCAAGACTTCATCTTTGAATAAAGTTAATTGTATTAGAAGTGAAGCCTTAACAGTCATGAGACAATAATTAATATTTAATTGTTATTTCAAAGACTTTGTGGATGTGATTTGACGCATTTGTATGACTTGAATGTTGCATTTTTCATATGAAGACTTACAAGGCAAAGAATTGGATGTGACTAAATTTTGTATGCATTTAAAGACTTGAAGAACTTGTGCTGTCTTCTTCAGATTTCAGGAGAATTAATGTTTAAGACAGTAAATTATTTGTATGAAAAGAAGAATAATTATGTGCTCATTAAATGAATCATAAAAATATGTTTTTTACCTTAAATTTATAAAAACAACATAAAAGATAGACAAAGTTCTTTCTTTTAATCATGACAATTATTACAGAATGAATTCTTATATACCAATTCTTGATAGATGTGCTTCGACAAATCCACACAAAGTGCCTTTTGCAAGTCTCATTGTTAGCCTGAAAGTGTAACTCAATGGGTTATCAACACAGAAAACTACAGTTAACTCTTAGTCATATAAAAATAAGGAGACGTGGTAGGATTGCCAATCAGACAACTATCACTAAAGGCTAAAGATAAAAGATAATGAATGAATTATACGCCTCCGGGTGCGGGAGTTTCTCGCTGCATTGAAGACCCATTGGTGGACTTCGGCTGTTGTCTGCTCTATGGTCGGGTTGTTGTCTCTTTGACACATTCCCCATTTCCATTCTCAATTTTATCATGGATTTCAATACAAAAGAAGGATCACCACATAACATTCAAATACCATTTAAAGTACTATAAGTTATATTTGTTAATGTTAAATAGAAAAATAAGAAGATGTGGTGTGATTACCAATGAGATGACTCTCCACCAGAGACCAAATGACATTGAAGTTAACAACTATAGGTCAACGTATGGCCTTCAACAATGAGTAAAACCCATACCACATAGTCAGCTATAAAAGGCCCGAAAGTCTGTATTTTACATTTTCATATCTTTCTGGTTTACGTCTCTATTGTTGAGTTACTGTCAGTGTCACACGGTTTTTACCCAAAGACCACATCTTCAATCCTTATGAAAACCTTCAAGAAAATCAAACATAGACTACTTAGTAAATATTTCATAGAAAACAATATTTCACTTCTTACCACAGGAAACTTAGAATCAAGGGTTTTTATTCTATTATTGCAGTAGGTTCTTCAGTATCTACATTTTAATATTACTTAATATTAATATCAGTAATCATTGGATACTTGTATACACGTATGGGAAGTTAAGCCGCTTTCTGTGTTTAGGGTTCACAGATGCTATACCTCCCATTTAGGTTATAGTAACGTCCCCTACCATACGTACCAAGTATTCACTATTACTGGTACAAACTTTTAGGGTTTTGGGATATTTTATCTACCATACGTACCAAGTATGTGATATTACTGGTACTAGCTGAGTGCGGTCACTGTGGGCAGACTCAGTTTGACAGAGCGCGGTAGAAGGACTGTCAATTTTAACAGGGAAGGGGTATTTTATTTGTTTTTATCAAATTTTAATTGGGGATATTTTAGTATTTTTATCAGAATTTCAATTGGGTGTGTTTTACTGTTTTTATCAAAATTTTATTATGGGATGTTTTACTGTTTTGTCCAAATTTTAAATGGGCCATTTTATTGTTTTAAAAGGGACTGGGTATTTTATTTGATTTTATTAAATTTTAATTGGGGATGTTTTACAGTTTTTATCCAAATTTTAATTGGGGATATTTAACTGTTTTTAATCAATTTTAATTGGAGATATTTTACTGTTTTTCTCCAAATTTTAAATGGGTAATTTTATTGTGTTTTAAAAGGGACTGTGTATTTGATTTGTTTTTACAAATTTAATTTGATGCTTTTCTGTTTTTATCCAATTTAATTGGGGAAGTTTGATTATGTTTATCCAAATTTTAATTTTTTAACAGGGATTTTTACTGTTTTTATCCGAATTTTGATTGGGGATGTTTTATTGTTTTTATCCAAATTTTAATTGGGGATATTCTACTGTTTTTATCCAAATTTTAATTTGGGATGTTCACTGCTTTGTATCCAAATTTTAATTGGGGATGTTTTACTGTTTTGATCCAAATTTAATGTTGGATTTTTTTTACTGTTTTTATCCAAATTTTATTTGTGTCATTTTATTGTGTTTTAATAGGGACTGCATGGGTATTTTATTTGTTTTTATCAAATTTTACTTGTTTTTTTTTTTTACTGTTTTATCCAAATTTCAATTGGGGATGTTTTACGGTTTTATTCAAATTTTAAATGAGTCGTTTTATTGTTTATCACAGGGACATGGTATTTTGTATGTTTTTATCCAATTTTAATTGGGATTGTTTATAATGGGATATTTACCTTTTTTTTATCAAAATTTTTATTTGGGATGTTTTAGTATTTTTATCAAAATTTTAATTGGAGATGTTTACTGTTTTTATAGAAAATTTAATTGGGGCTGTTACACTGTTTTATCCAAATTTTAAATGGGTCATTTTATTGTTTTATCAAAATCTTTAAAGGTGTATTTTATTGTTTTATCAAAATCTTTAAAGGTGTATTTTATTGTTTTATCAAAATTTTAATTCAGGATGTTTTACTAGTTTCATATTTTACATAGTTTTACAAAATTTTAATTTGGGAGATTTTATTGTTTTATCAAAATTTTAAATAGGATATTTTATCTTTTTTATCAACTTTTTTTTAATTTTTTTTAAACTTGGCTACATATAAGTCATACCGATGTCAAATCAGAGACTTTAAAACTGGTACTCCAAAAGGAAGAGGCAGGTGTCTTACTGCGGGCATTTGTCTTGGTGAACTAGCACCTTAAAGTTCAGATAACCTACAGGCCAGCTGGCTAGTACAAGCAGACAGGTACTTTTGTAACATTTGACATTTTAAAAATTTTTGGCAATTTTTACTTTTGGACTCTTACCTCTTTCTATTTATTTTTTTTTATGGTTTTAAAATATTTTTAACACCTTTCAGTTAAGTACACATTTTGGTTGCATAATGGTTATCCAAGGATAATTTCTTTTTATAAAATTTACATCACACATTTTGACTTTTTGGAACTTTGGCTGTTACCTTATATTTTAAGAAATGATATAACCATTAAATATTGAAAATAAAAACTAAAACTTCAAAATTGGCTCAATACTAAAAATAAATACCATGTTTCATGTCTTAAAGTTTTGATCTTCATTCAATTTTGAAAATTTTTTCTTCCATGCCAGGTACTTCATGAATAAAAATCTGTTCATCAAATAATACTTTACATTGGGGTATCTAACACATAGAGTAGGCTAATATAGGTGGCTAAGGTTGATATGCATTAGAGAGAAATAGGAAAAATTGAGAGTGCAAGGGTAAATAATGAGAGGTTTGTAAAGATATATGTTCTATAAGGAGAAAAAGGAAGAATTGACAGGATGAGTAATTATGAGAGTGGTATGTAAAGAAGTAGTTTTGGGAGGGAGTGAAAGAGGGGAGAATGTTAATTTCTTTGTAATGGTCAAATGGAAGTGCAGTTTTCTCTTTTTTCTCGTGTAGTTTCTATTTTCTTCAGAAATTTGTTAACATTTTAACTTCTGAAATTACTGCTCTTTAAAAATGTACAAGTTAACAGCCTTTCTTGTTACTGATTATGTGCTGCTTATATAAAAAAATATTGTAGCACTTCTCAGTGACTAGATAGGGTTGCAGCTTTTCATCAATTTTAACAGCATCGTCTAACAGATATATATGCAGTGATATAAATACTTACACTTTATGTATCATGGTATATTCAAGCCTCTTTTAAACCGTCTCGGTGAAGCCCAGCAGAGTCGAACTAGACTTTAAAATTGGTATATGCTGTTTCTTCGCTAAGTACGCTGCATTAAGAAGAAACAGCAAAGACTGGTCGGCATGGAGTCCGAATAATGTGTCCTGGTAGGGCGACATATTTTCCTGCGGACTGTTACCTTGTAAACTAGAATGTTGAAAATGCAGCTCAGCGTGTTTGTCTAGAACAAAGCAGGGTTTTAGAGAAACTTTTCATAGCAAAAAAGATCAGCAGGACAAGATCTACAAAAAGATCAGCAAAACAATATCTACAAATATTTCACAGATCGGGTACACTACCTTATATGGATAGGCATGAATTTGCATACTAATAGACGTGTTAGGAATGTAGTTACCTGTATGGGTTTGTTTGATAATGCTGAGATGATTTTTAAACAAGAAAACAGTAACAATTTATTCCGCAATACACGGACGAGGATCCAGCAAAACAACACGATCATTATTCTTAGAATTGCATTGTTTCATTGTAGTGATCGATTAACTGATCGTTGTTCCCCCATTTCTTACTACATGTATTTGTTGAACGACTACAAGGAAAATCTACAAAGTGATCAGAATGAATGAATGAAATAAAACCACAGGAATCAAATCACATTGGAATCCGATTTTTTACACTACATCAATTTTTGTTCAAAATGTTCGTTTATTTGAAATGTATTTAAAATATACTTGTCATGTCGGGGCCTTTCTTAGCTTTTATGCAGGATGGGTTTTGCTGCATGTTGAATGCTGTCTATTTTGGCAATCATACCACATCTCCTTATTTTATATCATTTTCTAGAAAAGAGAAATGTGTTACACAGTAGCGTAAAATTCTAAAAATAAACCAAACTAGAAATTTGTGTACTTGACAATTAAAAAGAAAAAGAATGAAACAAAAGCGTTTTTAATTTGATTATCTTTATGTACTTGACAATTAAAAACAAGAATGAAACAAAAGCGTTTTCAATTTGATTTTCTTTATATTTTTATTTTATTTAGAAAGGTCACTGGCAATTTAATGTGATGAGGAAAAGCGACAATACCTAAAACAACGTTAAAATGTGTGAATTAATTATTCTTATTCACATTTTCCCTGACATTTTCTTTCTATCAACTTTTATCAGTTAGTTTTTTCGGAAAAAAGGGTTATCGAATTAAGTTTTAAGATTACAACGTTTGGACATTATCAAGCATGTTAAATTTACGTTTCGGTGAAGGGTCGGAATTTTTTTATTTCTTTTTATCACGGCTTCCTCCACCAACAACACAGAACACCACGATTAAATTGAGATATTGTTGAAAGTGGCGTTAAACTTATATGGAGGAAATAATTTTATTATCTGTTGGTCAGGAGGATATTTTGAAAATGGAATATTAATTTTCACCTCTTGCAAAACAAAGTCTGCTAAATTATATGTCAGGCATTTTTTTTTTTCGATTTCCTTCAATTTGTTTTGCCTAATATTCACCATACACTCCGCTTTCTAAATTGGACGGTATGTAGTGATGGGTGAATGGGTCAATCCGTTTGTTCTTTCGTCCCTCTGTCCATGCATTGCATTCATACCCAGATAGAAGTAGACAATACGAATCACATATAGCTCGTGAAAAGTGGTTTTCTTGACCATTAAAACGATGCGCAGCAAGACAACCTTCTTCTGTAGCCCCCTGCTTCTAAACGTTTTATATAGAAATAGCACTGTATCCACTTGTGTCCACTATTTTTTTTTTTTTTTTATATATAGATATAACGATGTGATCAGATTAGGACTGATTTGTTTAAGCCACACATACGTGTCCCTGTATCCACGGACACAAAATGCATGGTAACTATATTTTGCAACGAAAATAGGACCGACATATCTATTGTGGAGAGACAAACTGAGTTATTTAACTATTAAACACATTCTAATCATATCACTTAATGTATATATTTGGTATTGTAGACGTAAAATCCGTCATTCCCATTCTTGACTCTTACATATATTTTTTTTAAGTTTTGTTTTGCACTCCTAAATCAAACAAATACAAATGAATGTATGAAGATCTATGTAAGGCCAATGCACGTCTTAAAATTTGGAGTCTACGTAAACCGTTCGCTTCGTGTTGTTCAAACACACCACAAAGCTAAACTATACTACACCGGGATACGTTTCAATGCAATTGCATTTTGAGAAAGTCAACACTTAATTCTTGTATCGGTATTGGTATTTAACATCAACGCAGTATTTAAATCCCTTTCCTAACACGTCTAATGATCTTGGCAATATAAAGGTTTGTTTACATGCATAGCAAGCCAAAACAAAAAAAAGTGTTATATAAACAGGTACTGCACATGTACAAGTTCTACACACCATAAAACTACCTTGCCATCGACATTACTATAGTCATGTTTTAATTCCCATCAGACATTGTTCATAAAATCTATGAGAACAGATGTTTTAAGCGTATTTCAGTTTCGTTGATTTTTTTCTAATTCAAAAATTTCATGTAAACCATCAATATTTACGTCAATCATTGCAAGAAGTTGTTTTGTTTTCGTCTTTACATATTTCATTTTCCTCTGTTTTAGACATAGGGATTTTAGAAACATTTAACAGACCCGGATATTTGCCGAAATCGATTAGTAAAATCAGCTAAGATTTTCTACATAAAAATTATTAAAGTTCGACATGGTCGTGAAATTTTTTGGGGAAATTGTTGCGACTCATCTAATCCAAATAATTTATATCTCTTTGACTGACTGGATATACGTATTTACATTATCGAAGTTCAGCCTTGATTTAATATATCTTATTCCTTGCTATTGTAACGGGAGTGAAGTTTCCACTGGCTTCGTTTTCCCGTTGTCTACCCAGGTATCATGAGTTCAACGATTGATCATGTTAGGAAACAGATATGAGTACTATCTATATGGAAAAGAATTCAGAAAAGCTGCTAAAACTAAGACATGAAACCATCAGTTCCTGTTATTGTTGTTCTTCATGTCCAACACACGAACAGAATACGGTCATGACTCACATGAAATATTTTGATTTTTCTTCATTTCCCCAGAAAAGTATACCAAATGTTTTGCACATCCTCATAAAGCAGTGTTTAGGAAGATTAAACCCCTTCGAAAAATCTCCATAGAATCAAAAGGTTGCTCCCTTAGATCATCTCTGATTATGAATATAGATGATAAGCATAGTGCTGATGTTTTTTTGCCAGTGGACATAAAAACACACTTCCTATGTGAATATCTTTTTGACGGTGATTGTGCCATTTATTTTTTCTATACATATCGGACATATTGGAGTCAAACAATCAAGAGTGTGTCAAATTTTGTCATTTTGTCTTACTATCTCATCGAACTTGAGACAAAGGATACAACAGGTACAGTTAAGTCTGCCTCATATCTTGACTTACATCTAGAAATTGACAATGAGAGTCGGTTGAAAACAAAACTTTACGACAAAAGAGATGATTTCAGCTTCCCAAATGTGAACTTTCCATTTCTATGTAGCAACATTCCAGCAGCACCTGCATACGGAGTACATATCTCCCAGCTGATACGATATTTCAGGGCTTGTATTTCCTATCATGATTTCCTTGATAGAGTATTGCTGCTCACTAGGAAGCTATTTATCTAAGAGTTCCAAGTGGTGAAGTTGAAATCATCCCTTCGTAAATTTTACGGACGCCATCACGAGTTGGTTGACCGTTATGGAATATCCGTTTCACAGATGATAGCGGATATGTTCATAATGTCGTAACTACAATACCGTCCCCTTTTCCCGATTTGACCTACCAAATTAGACTTATTACCAGGTTTGTACTACCATGAGCAACACGATGGGTGCCACATGTGGAGCAGGGTCTGCTTACCCTTCCGGAGCACCTGAGATCACCCCCAGTTTTTGGTGGGGTTCGTGTTGCTCAGTCTTTAGTTTTCCATGTTTTGTTTTGTGTACTATTGTTTGTCTGGTAGTCTTTTTCTTTTTTAGCCATGGCGTTGTCAGTTTATTTTTGACTTATGAGTTTGAATGTCCCTGTTGTATCTTTCGCCTCTCTTTTATATCTGATGAATTAGCTAAACATAACCTCCAACTATGAGGATATTAAAATATATTTGTGTAGAATAAAATATTTTCATTCAATTTTATTCCTATTTATCGAAGTAACCACGAAAGAACATCGATCAAATTTTGCAAGACAAGGTGATGTAGAGATTTAATTCAAAATAAATTACAAATATAATGAAATGACTCAAGATTAACCATACAAATTTAAAAAGGTAAAAACACCAAATTTTTAATATTCAACTTAATAAAAGATATTGACCTTGTCAATCATACCACATTTCCTTATTTTATCTTGTAAGAGCTGCAAATAATTAAACTCGCAAAAGTCAGAATGATAATGCATAACGTGAGGGTACCCAAATTGCACCTATTTTGACAGTTTTTTCACCTACGTTTTTTTATGATCCAGACAAAAGTTTCCATTCTGTGTTTATTTTGTAGACGTATCCTTATTTACTATATAGTTACACCAATTCAATTTTGAATCCATATTAAATTATAGAAAAATGGGTTTGAACCGACCTCCAAACGATCCATGATTCTGTAATGAGGAGTACCCAAATTGCATCCATGCTTAAATTTACATCCTTAAAAATCGAATAACAGATGTTTTGTTTTATTTCTTCAAATATTTAGAACAATTTGACATTAGTCCATGCTTACTATTCATTTTTTAAGACATTTTTTAAGAAATGGATGCTTGTAACATATTTTATTTGCACATTTTTAAAAGATGACTTTTTGTGACCGTCGCATGGCGACGTTTCTGTAGATTTTACTTTTTTCCAGTGAATGCTTCATCTGTTGATATACTGTGAACGTTTTGTGTAAATTTAAATATATTTATCTATGTTGAAAGACGTATATAATGTCAAATCATGATAATACAAATTTTTTAGCCTCAAAGAAAAGTTGTAAGATTTCCGCAGCTGTTTTTGTTGAATAGGTGCAATTTGGGTACTCGGTGCAATTTGGGTACTGTGACGTTAGTCTGTCATACAAAATGCAAAAAACAGTTGTGTAAAAAAATAGAAAATAAATTTTCCTGCGACGAAGCCAAGGAAAAATAGCATGAGTAGCAAAAGAGAGACGAAAGCTACAAAAGGGGTAATCAAAATCATAAGTCGGCAACAAACAATGCCATGGCAAAAAGCGAAAAACGACCAAAAAACAAACGACAGTATACAAAACACAACATTGAAAACTAAAGACTGAGCAACACGAATTTAACACCACTAAAAACCGGTGGTGATCTCAGGTGCTCCGGAAGGATAAGCTGATCCTGCTCCACATGCAACACCCGTCGTGTTGCTCCTATGAAACTATGAAATACGTTGATATGTTATATCAATCTGATTAGGCATCGCATAATAGCGTATTGGTAATTGACTCTTAGCAACAGATGAAAATCATTAGTCAATCCGCAAAAAATCCTCCTGCCCTCCCACCTCGAATATCAAATGGTCGTCCCCTAATATCTAAATATTAATGACAAGCTATTTTGGCAGTGCTTGCATTTTCCCACAAAATACAAGGAGTCTGAATCCCTAGAGTAACTATGTAAGACAAAATATAAAGATATAAAAAATGATGATTGAAAGTTAGATAGTCCTGTGAACATTTAAAGGTGGTAATTTGACTGATTTATATTAATTTTTGCTTTTCGAATTCAGAGGACCAAACACAAATAGGATATATGAAAAATGTGATAATTACAGTTTTCTTTTAATCAACTTTATTCCCATTATTATGAAGTAGCATAACATCTACCCCCTGACTATGGCTGAAAGAGTATATGTCGGCCGGATCCACATCTTATGATTCGTTCTTATACTTGTTTAGGTGTTCAATCTTTGCTCCCGATCATTTTTGATGATCGATACTATTCTTAAACTAAGGTTCCAACTCCCTAAGGAAAAGTTGACCTTATGATTAATTTGTCTATTCTGTTTAGGTCCTTTTTTGTCATATAACTTCTAGCGTTTTTACACCTCCATGGCTTTCAAATGTTTAGGTTTGAGCGTACCTGATGAAGGTAAATCCAGAAACTCACATTGGACGAACGAAATTTATAAATGTTTATTTAATTTAGACGTGCTTCGAAAAAAGCAATTTTGGGGTTTTTTAATGGGGGTCTGAATGGGGGTACACAAAAGAGAATGTTGGCCAAAAAAATAATAAATAGAGAAAAATTAGCAAAAAAGATAAAGGATATTGAATAATGGGATGCAACAGTATAAAGAATAACTATGGAAAATAAAGTAATACAATACTGATCAGAGAAATGGTAATACAATACTGATCAGAGAAATGGTAATACAATACTGATCAGAGAAATGGTAATACAATACTGATCAGAGAAATGGTAATACAATACTGATCAGAGAAATGGTAATACAATACTGATCAGAGAAATGGTAATACAATACTGATCAGAGAAATGGTAATACAATACTGATCAGAGAAATGGTAATACAATACTGATCAGAGAAATGGTAATACAATACTGATTAGAGAAATGGTAATACAATACTGATCAGAGAAATGGTAATACAATACTGATCAGAGAAATGGTAATACAATACTGATTAGAGAAATGAAAGATGTACAGAATAAAGAAATCATCTACTTGTAATTTTATAATAATTTAATGGTAAAACCATTACATGAGGATTTTAAAGAATAAGCGTTATTTTTAAAGATAAAGAAAATGCCATTAAAAATTAAATATACAGAAATTTAGGACCCTCCATCCAGACCCTCTTGAATTAGGGACAGCAAATCATATGCTTGTCCGTTCATGACAACTTACAGTAAATAGGAAATGTTACCACTTTGACTATCATAAAATTAATAAAGGCACCAGGATTATATTTTGTACGCCAGATGCGCTATACGTCTGCAAAAGTGACAGCTACTAGTAAATGTGTATGAAGGTCAAGATACAGTAACCAAGCGATGTCACTTAATCTAAATAAAATTAGAATACGCCTGAGGCATGTAACAATAGAAATTGAAAAATCTGTATGTATTGTATTTCCTTTCTTTTGTTTGCTGCATATGAATGAATAAAAGTCCTTAAACTTTCGAAAAAAGAAATGGGTGTACAATTCTGACAAAAGTTTCCTTATCAAAACGTTGACTGTGAAACACAGTTTAATTGTTCTGATATATAAATTCTTTCATTCTTTGATTGCCTGTAACATCTTTGTCTGGATTTGCCAATACGGTACCATTATCATTATCATTGCTGTCATTGCTTCTACATTGCTCAGGGAAAATATCAGTCTTCCATTTTTGTTCAATTTGGTCTGAAAAAGTAAACAAATTGTAAATAAAGGATAAATATAGGCAATGGAGGTTTTCGATGTTCAAATTTCATAAATCGATTAAGAGGACAAATAAAGGTAACACACACAACCTGAGGGAATCGCATGAACTACAAAAGCTGCGATGCCCAGTGCGTCGATACGGTGAACTTCTCATGCTATACATGCATCACCCGTCTTGCAAATATTCACTGAGCCAAAATGTCGCAATCGGGAATATGATTCAATAGGTACAGATTACAGATTAGACGACTGCATCTAAAGATCTAAGATTGCGAAAACATGTCGCTAGTGAGTTAAGATACAGATACATGATATTGTTCTTTCAGTTAGTATCACAGATGCGGATCCAGGATTTTGAAAAAGAGCGAGCCCTCAAACTATGCAACGTGAGGGAAAAAAATGTAAAGAGTCTATGCATTCACTATATATGAAGCTTCATAAAAAGCGGGGGGGGGGGGGGGGGGGGAGGGGGGGGGGTAAATTTTCCATTTCTATGTAGCAACATTCCAACAACGCCCGCATATGGAGTATATATATCTCCAAGTTAATACGATATACCGAGCAGGACCTGTTTACCCTTCATGAGCACCTGAGATGATCCCCGGTGTTTGGAGAGGTTAATGTTACTCAGTCTATAGTTTTCTATATTGTATTATGTAAACTGTTGTTTGACTTTTCGTCATTTGTTTTGCCATGGTGTTGTCAGTTTGTCTTCGACTAATGAGTTTCAATGTCCCGTTAGTATCTTTGTTTCTCTTTTTCAAAAACACTTTCTTTTAATATATATATGAACTATGTCCTTTTGAAAAACCATTTAGTATCCTTTTTCGTATTATCACGAGAAGCATTTGTAATTGGTAGATCTGTAAATTCCAATCGATAGATATATACAAGCATATATAGTGTGCGAGTTATTGAGCGAATATGATTTTTATTAAATTACCGTGCTCCCCCTGAAAAAAAGATAATTTGTCATTTCGGGGCCTTTTATAGCTGACTATGCGGTACGGGATTTACTCATTGTTGAAGGCCGTACGGTGTCCTATAGTTGTTAATTTCTGTGCCATTTGGTCTCTTACGGAGAGTTGTCTCATTGGCAATCATACCACATCTTATTTTCAGTTAAGTAAACAAATAGAGTAATAGGAATACCTGCTATAGCCTTCAAATTTAAGGAACATAATAACGATATCAACATTCTGAATGTAACTGTCGATTGCTGTAACCATTTCTCTAACACCATAAAACATTTTTCTTCCTGGCATAGAACTTCATCTTCTGACGTAAACATGTCTGTATCTATCATCCCTAACATATTTGCTATTTGTTTCCATTTTCTGGCCACTTCTTTTATTTGACTGATCATCACTATGGCCTTTACCAGGGGAATATCTGAAAAGAAAGACATCTGTACTTCAAGCATCTTAATAACAACTCATCAGCTGATTGAATAACAACGTCATATCAAGATTAGTTAGCATGTCATTGTTACTAGTGCAATGCATCTTACAATAAATGTCAACGACAGTTTAATAATGTGTTCTTGTCAACTGTGATCTAGAAAGATTGTCCTTACAAAAAGAGTAACTGATGAAAATTGTTTTTTTCAACAATGAGCAACAGTATACTGGTTTAGAATGCAGCTGCGCACTGATTTGATACCCCAAAAAAAAAACATTCCTCAGACACTAGTGCACGCACCTTATCCTCGTCCTGTGGCTGTGCCTGGCTGCTTTGTGAATTAGGTACGCTAAAACTGCCTCTATTTAAAATGAAATTACATGCATGATATCTATCAAATTGAGCAACAACTTAAGTTGCCACTGTCAAAACAAAGTCTGCTCCATACTTATAGCTATTAATTGATACTGTCGGGAGATTCGTGTATAGCGTTAATATGATTTCGATTGTTTTATTTCCAATATTTTTAATTTGCATCGGAAGTTGTCAGATAAGACGGATTATGTATTTTGTTTGTATCAGGACCTTTTATATTAAATGACTTCAGTATTATAACTTTATATTACCTGGTTATTAAAATTATACTTATATAACTACTTCTCAATACCATTCTCGAGTAAGTAATTCATAGTAACTCTTAAAAAATGAAAACAGCACTTTATAAATTTCATGAGTCCGAAGCGCTTTTCCGGATTTACTTTCATCAGGAACGCTCAAAGTCGAATATTTGTGTAAAGCCAAGGATGTATAAGAAACGAAAGATATGTTTCTTCGTCTTTGTTTAAATCCCACTCTCCAAATATGAGTGTTCATAGAACCGTTCTATCAACACCCTACAGTTTTAACCAGACACGCGACTGGACGAACTATCTACTTCTTCTCTATCATTGTCTGCCATAATCCCTGAAAATATCTATTAAATTTAAAGCTATGTTTTCAATTTTACACTCACTGTAATTCGTTCGTTCGTCACATATTTTGCAATTTTCAAAAGTCGGTGATTGGCAACATGTGAGTAAATTCATCATTGATACCAGGCTTAAAATTTGTGCATTTCGTCTACAAAAGACTCACCAGTGACGCTCGAATAAAAAAGTAAAAAGTCTAAATAATGTACAAAGTTGAAGAGCATTGAGACCTAAAATAACGAAAGGTAAGAGCTGATAGCTGTTTGTATTGTTTAGAATTGGACTTTAGTATAAATAGTATTTGAGCATCATAACGTATAAAATGATGCATTGTTACGATGGTAATAGCTGGGTCTCCACTGAGGAGGAGAGGTGAACATATAGAATTTTGTAATTTTGTAAAATTTTCCGATGATACAAACTCGCATAGAAAGAATTGATAATTATGAAAGTTGAATTGTTGATAAACAGTAAACGTTTCATTATTATCATCAATGATCTATGATGTTTAGCATCACTACTACTAACAAAGGACACCGTTTAACTACAATTGTATAAACAGATTTGCAATTCAGATCACCGCATCTCCCTGATTAGCCATACTATCTGAATTGAGAATCGGTTTTTAAATTTAACCGAATTAATTTTCAAGTTTCGATTTTTTACGTTTACAAATAAAAAATAAACCTGTTCAGTCATTACAATTTAAAATATTCAGAAGTGAACCAAACGCATACATCATGGCCAAAATAAAAAGGTCTGAAAGACTTGCAACTGCCCACTTACCCCTACTTAGATTGAGAAAGACAAACCCTATAAAATACCGTGCGTTTAAGCAGGTGCTCTGGAATGATAAGCATTTTCATTACAAGTATTTTAAGTCATCATGTTGCTCATGCAAGTACAAATCTGGTGACATTAGCATTCAGTTATAAAACGCGATACATACAAAGTGTATGTTCTTTCTCTTTCAGATTAATGATATCATTACTGGTTTTATAAAATATGGTAATGGCCTAGCTCTAGTATTTAGTTTACATGTGAACAGATATTTCGAGATAAAAAAATGTCCATCTTTTTCTTGGTTTATACTTTTCATTATGGACATCTTTTTTTTCCAGACATCTGCTTCAATGCTCTGCTATCTTCAACCATTCTTTTCCATATCATCATATTGAACATAGCTGACAAGTCTTCAAGGCTTTTTCCATGGCATTATATTGTACATCTTCGACTAGTTTGACTGTCGCCCTTGTCATTCAGGTTACTTTTCTAATCATGATGGCAAAGTTCCGGTTCGAGTATTAACGTGTCAAACGAAATTTCAATAAAAAACATTGCACATATATTTTGTATTGGAATTCCTCGGGAACTTCGTATAGTGCTTTTGTCGGATAACTTACATTTGAAATAGTTTATCATGATGATTTAAAGTTATGTAGGAAGACGAAGTTTGCTGAATGTCTGATTCTTATATCTGTAAAAGCCGAACAGATAAAGGACGAGTCTATCTTCAACGTGATGGTATTGATTCCAAATTAATCTCAAAACACCTACGCCTAAAACCATAACCTTTTATTTGTGTATCATAATAATAATGATAACAGTTATAAATGTCCACCAATTTTGAGAAAGTGGAATTTTTAATTGAAACACAATTATATCGCGTCATATTGAAAATTTAGAAATTAGATTAGCAGATTCCTTAAAATACAATTGCTTTATAATTATATTTATATTACATACCAAAATAGGAATTGTGTCGATACTTTTGAATCTGAAATAGATAAGAATTGATATGAGCATTCATTATAAAAAAAATAACAAAAAAAAACACAATTTTCAACCATATCAGTATATTTACGACTCGAACAAGAATTGGAGAACTTTGATTTAGCAACTGGATATGAATGACCAACAAATTGTTATTTTGATACTATTTACTATTTTCTTTTTAAGAAAATTTAAACTTAAGAACAAGAAAAGATTGACAAGGACTTACCCAATGAATCTTTGATTCTTTAACAGTTACTTCAAACACTGACCTGAAAGTATATTTAATGCATTTTAGGGTTCTATTAAATAACTGTGAATTTCAGTACATGATTTATCTGACGAAACACTTGGTCTCACTACGTTCGGATTTCATGCCGTTGCGTGATTGTCCTTACTGTAATTTTATTCTGTTTTTCCCGGACATCCGATATTTCCGCTGACGTTGGTATAGTAATGCGACAAACATATGTTATTCGTGTAAGGCTAAACATTCCCTTTATCGTTTTAATCTTTCTATATAACTCTAAAACTCAGATTAAGAAGTCATTTATTGCTTATATTAAATTCTCCAATTATGACATGCATCATGATTTAATATTTATAAAGAGAGATCTTTCTTTTAAAATGCAAATTAGGGGTTCGAATCGAGTGTATATGTAACACCCTTTAATATAAACATGAATATTATAAGGATTTAAAATAATTGAAAGCAGAACTAGTATTTCTGCTCTTGGTTTTGCGAAAATGAAAAATACATAGTCGGATATTAAATGACTAAATCCTTGTAATATTTGCGGATCATTTATGATTAACAAATGACACTTCTATAAAATGTCATACCATGGTTTGTTGAATGCAAACCGAAAGCCATTCTCTGTAGTTTTTAGAGTAGAGTTTATTTTCTCCCATTCTTTATCTGAACTTTCTCTGCCTACAATTATGTAATGGGCTAAATGACCTACAAATAGAAATTAATCAAAGTACTGAAGTACTGAACATCGGATGACCGCAGGTTCTTGTGGATGGTCAAAAGCACATGTCACAGAAACAGATCACATCTCTATACCTGAAACTGAGGTTAATTTACAGAGATTTTTTTTTCTTATACAAGTTCGTGCTTGGATGATGAATAAATGACAGGAAATTCAACCTCACCGTAATAACTATTATATTGTAGTGATACAAATCAGTATACCTTAGACTATTATACTAATATAATAATAGTTCCAGAGAATACACTGGTTTGTTGTTATATATTATATTAATATTACGGTTGCATGTATATATAATTTTCATCTATATGTATATCATACTATTCTACTATTATTATAATGTAATGCAAGTGCATGGTGGACACTCTTCTGTAAAAAAAAATCAAAGTCTTAAAGGCTGTAAAAGCAATTGCTGCCATGTTAATGTTTTGTGGACTTTTATTTTTCATCCATATATATAAGAATTAAACCTGACAGGACAGGAGTGTTGACTAGTGAGAAGCAAGACGGTTTTAACTTTATATCAATATAAGACTTTAGCAGGAAATCATTTTAAATATGTTTTATATTTTACAAGGAGACAACAAGTTTACCAGGCTAAAGTTGGGGTTAATTATACATGTGCTGAAACATATAACTGAAAAAAAAATCATTATGGATTATCCCCTGGTAGTGTTTGTAACTGGGCAATAATTTCCTTTATTGATTTAATTTTAACCATTTTCATAATTAATTTAAATTAACCATTCAGTTAAAACATTTCAACTTTCCAGACGCAAATGTTGAAAAACGGGACAGAAATAAAATATCTTACAAGACATAAACATGTAAAAAATAAATATATATTTCAGCTTACTAAAAATATTTTCATAATGTTACTTTGACATCATTCCTTAAAACTAAGTCCCAAACATAATTGCTCAGTTGACATGTGTCATCCTCATGCGATACGAGATAACTATAATTCTGATGCAATCCCGAAAAGGGGGGTCATCACAAACAAACATGACATTACATTGTCATTATACGAACTATAACAAACAGCTCTATGTTGCTTTGATATTTATCAATTTTCAGGAAACATGTGAAATAAATTTCAGGTCCATTTCATTTTAGTGCCTAACAAGATTGCGTGAGGTAGACGAAATTGACCTTAAAACGATCGTATTGTCTTTTGATGTCCAAAAATAGGCAGATCGGACATATAAGGACTTTATCTAATGACTACATAAATTTGGGATTTATTATTATTATAATATTCTAATGAAACTGAAAATTGTATTTTTTTTTTAGGATAACAACAATTTTACATGGCGTAGCCGTTCATAAATGTTTTTCTGCATTTATCTTCGAAAAATGGCGTATTTAATGGAATAGAACGTTAATACAGTAAACTTTCTCTTTTTTCTCCGCAATAGGCTATCAAAAATAATTTATCTAATGTGTATGTGGAAAATTATGTGAAAAGATAAAAAGTGGCAATTGTTACCTTTCATACCTTAAGTTTCGTTCATCTGATTCTGACCAATGTTTATATACTAAATATCTATTTATATGCCGCTATTATTGTTGTTGTTACCAATTATGTAAATCAATTGTATCTGATTTTATGACTTTATGGGCCCTGTAATTTGGGAAATAAAAAAAAAATCTATTCATTGATAAAACGTAATATGGACTGGTCCAGTGTCCAGTTTGCAGGTCATTTAATTTTCTGTACACATTCATGCACGCTCTGATTTAATCAATATACTCGTACGAAAAAGCATGAACAGTTTGAAGGTAATCTAATAACTTAATCCAATCAAATTGCATAAGATTCAATAACGTGTAGTGATTTTGATTTTACGATAAATTCATGAATGAACGATAATTTTATGAATGAACATGAGCACCTGACCTCTTTCTTAAACACCTATTAAACATATAAAACCGCATTTAATAAGGAGATAATTCAGTCAAATTTTCAGTACTAAATCAACAACTGAAATGATTCCATTTTTTGATGAAACATCGTACCAACGGAGAACGGAATCGCAGGTATAAAAATGCACTTTTTTCCCTTGTAATGACCGCGGATCTATAATTTTTATAGATCGGTTGAAATCCCAAAACTAATTTGCATAATGGAAATTTTGGCGATAGCAATACATCGGAGTGACCTCAAGGTCATCCTCTGTAAAAATTGTAATAACCGATGAGTAAAGATGTATCTATTTTGTTAATGTTTGCATGTTTCATGCTTTTTATTAACATATAGTAAAAACAGTCTTTACTTTGAAAATATGGACCTTTCAACATATTCACATTTTGTTCCCTTTCATGACATATTTGAGCGGGTCTTGATTCATATGGCTTGTGATCCATGGATAACAGGAGACGCTTACCCTACCGACGCATTTGGTCTCCTCGGTTTGGAGTTCATGCTATTCCCTCAGGATATTTTTGTTGGTGTACGAGTTTAAACATTCCATTTTGTAAGCTGCTTTTACCTCTTATTTAGTTGAGCAGGTTGCTTATATTTTTCGGTAATGGACAGAAACATGTGTTTAGATTACAACCTTGATGCAGGAATCCAAGTGTGCCATAACGTAAATCGATTAACTCTGTTGATATTTGTGTATGTTTATAAAATATACACATTTAAATCTTTCAAACTATTGCCAAATAGAACAGACGCTACATTGTATCCGATGTTATCTTTGTAACTGCGTAACTATATTTTTACATTGACCTGGAAATTAGGGTACGGGTCATGATATGATTTTTAATATTGGAAACAATATTCAGCTTACTATGGTCGCCATCAGTTCCTTTGACATTTGATAGTGGTAAATGAATTTCTGATCTTGTTTGTATTCCTTCATCGATATCTACATTTACAATCGTTGTTGATGGTCCCTGTCTTGTCTGCAAAAAAATATTATATATAAACAACAAAACGTCTAAGCTATAAGTATACTTGGTAATCTTGAGTCATTCAAGGAAATCTAGTTATTGCTCGTAAGGAACCATAAAAACTGTGAAGTGACACCAGTGAACACAATCATAATAGTAATTTTCGTTTAGAAAATACAAAAAGTAAGCTATGAACAATTATGATAATACTTTTCCTTACTAGTTCCTAATAATCAAATTGGGAGCACTGTATTTTTATGATTTCAAACGTTTTATATATTATTGATTTCGAACTTAAGGTCACGAGCTACCTGATGAAGGTTATACCAGAAACACGTGTAATGCGCACGGTTTAAAAATCATATGAAACAATTGGTTCATCGAAAATAAAACTTGTGAAAACACGAATTTAATTTATCAGAAAAGATGATATATCGATTGATATTTACTCGCATAGATACAGACAAACATTGTGGGAAACAGCTTTCTTCAAAAACGATTTTTGTCTCCAGGTCATATGACAGGTATACACTTTCACCATTTCTTGAAGTGATGTACGTTTCAAATGGCCTCCATCCATAATCGGAGAACTTCTGTCCAGTTTGAATCGCAGCAAATGTGTGTGGAATGTTCCTCAGTGTCACCTGAATTCCTGATTGAACCTAAGAGGTGAAAGAAAGAAAGTCTAAATTTGCATGTAATATATGTATAAACACAAGTACTGATTTGCCCAAGCAGCCTGATATCGACTAAGTATAACATGTTATATTGTTAAAACGTAAAAAATATCGTAGATGCTTTCTGTTCATTATTTTTGTCACTCTCATTCTTACCTGGTAATATCTAGACTAATGACAAATTAACGGAAAATAAGCAATCCAAAATATCACAATAGGGAATAGTAAAAAGCTTTCACTCCTAGACTGGGGGTTATATGCCAAAACGTATCTGGTAACCAATTCATGGTGGTGACGGTAATACGTATGTTACATGTATAATGTCCATTTTAGTAGTTTTTCTTCTACCCGGCTGGAGCATTTTTAGTGTTAGAGCACAACCATGTTTATATAGACCGTATATGTGGACTTTTAAGTTTGTTATGTATCAGTTGAGATATTTATGCAAGTCAGGCCATGCGTTGTTCGTTTTAGACCCTCAAAAAGGACATATGAGAAACGTGATGATTTTAGTTTTCCCATTGTTAAATACCAATTCATCAGAAGTAAAATTCTCTCTGTTAATCTTACGTTGTTTACAGATCGCAGTTGATACATTACTTGGGTGTAAGTTCACATTATACGGAGTATATTTACAGGGGCGTGCTCCTAACACATAAACTGCTACAACAGTTTGAAAGGAATTATTACTGAAATCAACATCACACATTTTACTGTCACCACCACACATAAGATGACCTATACGATGTGTCTGAATTTCTACTGACAAGATAGATGTTTTGGAAGTCTTAGATCTTTAGAAATCAGAATACTGGTAGTCGTATGGTATGTAAATTTCTTAATTGTGTCCTATTCCTTATCTTAATACTTGACATACATTGGATTTGTATGGCGTATTATGAATGCAAAGCAGGAGACATTAACCCTTTCGATGTACCAAGTCTCCAAGAGAAGCGAAAGATACCAAAGGCATATTCAGTCTAAGGTCGAAAACCAACTGACAATGCCATGACAAAAACGAAAAACGAAGAAAAGACCAACATCAGTACACACAGCACAACATAGAAAACTAAAGGCTGAGCAACACGAACCCCAACAATACCGGGGGTGATCTCAATTACCTCGAAATGGTAAGCAGATCCTGCTCCACATGTGACAAAGCCATTTGCAGTTCATGCAATTCTCGCTGTTGATTATTAGTATATATTCGAAATGAATTTAGAACATTCAATCATCGGGCAACTATTGTTGTCTTTTATTTATATGTTATGGATGCAAGGTGTACTTCAGTTTGTTTTAGAATTGTGATACAAATTAAGTAAGAAAATGTTTCCCTTCATTATACAATAAAAGTATGAAGTCATCTACATATAACAACATTGCTTAAATCGCCATCATAACTTTTACTACATTGCAGTAAGTGTACCATGGCTGTATCGTCACATTTAGATAACAAATGCATGTTTAGACAAATAATGTGAGATTGACATTTGAAATTGTACTACTTACATAACAAGCTGCATGTATTTTCCAATCTTCTATATCTTGTTTTGTCATGACTGCGTTAAAAGATGTCGATGAAAATTCTGACAAGTTTAAAATGTCTACTAAAACACTTCCCTGAAAATAAATACTTCGTTACAATTGGCGCATTGAAAAGAATCTGAAAAAGGGATTTGTTTTACCATTGCTCCATTATAACTATGTTTGATAATTTTTAATAGACTATTAAATGTCTGCAAAGTTTTTTTTTACCACTGCCATGTTTCTTGAATAAAATGAAAACGGATTCTAGTAAGAAATGCAATTACTCAAGCGAATGCTTCAGATATTGTCTTTTAAAAGGGTTTAAGCACATAAGGACAAATTTCACGGTGTTTTGTTAAACTGTGTTGATGCAACTCGATCTTTAGGAATTGCAGATGAATGTCGAAAATGTGATACATATTACCCTATAATTTACGAGAAATAAATATCCGGAAAATAAAAGCACAAATGTTAAGAATACATGTAAATTTCGAAAAAAATGTACTAAAGTGCAGCAACTTTCACTTGAAATTATTATTTCGATCCTTTATATAAGGTGAATATTCGAAGTTTTCAAAATGAAACAAACACTTGAATAATGCATACATCAAAACTGAATTCAATGACCCTCTAAAAATTGCAATCGATATAACGGATAATTAGTGGGGAATTTTTTTCAAAAAGGCATTTGAATTTGAATTCTTCAATAAATATTTGCGATATTTACGTGCATTATTTCATTGTTCTCCATAATATTCAATTTGCATTATCTCAGAAAGAAAATTCAAAAAAGTAACATTTGTGTATTTTTTTATTTGATATTTATACGCAGCTATGTATGATCTGTTCACTTCTAAAATTTCACGAGAACTGAAGAGATTGTCAAATTACGTACTAATGTAATTGTTATAACTTCAATTTGCTAATATATGGTACAAAACAAGACTATTTGTTTCGTTTTATCACATTTAAATCATTTCCAGAATTTACACAGGACATCGAACAATATTTTGTCTTCTTGTAAGATTTATTTTTTATGGTATCTCTATTATATAGTCTAGCTCTTTTTTCTACTGTACGATTTTCATTCGCCTTTATATACCTTGTATTTGCCTTACCAAGTCAGGTATATGACAGTTGTTTTCCATTCGTTCGACGTGTTTGAGCTTTTGATTTTGCCAATTGTTAAGGGACTTTCCGTTTTGAATTTTCCTTGGAGTGCAATATTTTTGTTGTTTTACTTTTTGTTATGTCACTTTCCAGATGAGAAAGAGAAATTGAGATCTCGCAAAACTAGTTAAATCATAACCCATGTGTATGTGCCTAGCCCACATTTTTGTTTAATTTATTCGCAACATTTTAGGACTCGTGGATATTTAGAAATTGATTTACAATCCACATTTCTAAATAAATGTTATAAAATGCAATTCATGTGCTTAAATACCTAATACCTTCTAGTAATCTTGATAATTAAAAAGAAATTATGTCTTACAGAAAAATATTTTACCTGTAAATTGATGTTTTCTCGTAAGACAAACATAAAAGAATTTTCAAATTTTCCGTCCTTTATTCTCCTATCGATATTTTGTTTGCTGCATGGTATTATAAAACAGGTCAAGTCTATAACGTTGGAATAAGACAGGAATGGTACTGTCAGGATAATCAATGTTTCTCCTGATCTTTTATAACCAAATCTTTTGCAAAATAAGAGACAATTGTATTAAAATTATACCGTAAAAAAGTTCTTAATATATACTATTATTCTTTATCAAATATTGTTAAGCATTGGTTGTAAAAAAATATCTGGGAACTAAACTCAACAAAATATCTATTCACCAACGGTACACTTAAAAAATAAAAAAAGAGCATAGAATGAGGACGTTTGTAAAGAATAAACTATTCAATACCAACTACCTGTTTGTAGAGCAGTTGCAGAAATATGAAATCCAAAAAAAATTCTTGTAAGTGAACTAAAAAAATGTAGCCCATTTCAAATATCATCAAATTAAACTAGGTTTTAGCATCGTATAAGACACGTTGGCAGCATTTTGTCTGTGCCTGTCCCAAGTCAGGCGCCTGTTATTCAGTGGTTGACGTTTGTTGCTGTATATCATATATGTTTTTTGTTTATTGTTTTGTACATAAATCAGGCCGTTAGTTTTTTCGTTTGAATTGTTTTACATTTGTCGTGTCAGGGCCTTCGTTTAGGCTTGCTATGAGGTGTGGGCTTTGTTTATTATTAATGACCGTATGGTGACCTACAGTTGTTAACTCCTTTGTCATTTGGTGTTTGGTGGAGAGTTGTTTCATTGGTAACCATACCATATCTTCTTATTTTTATATGATAGCACATTTCAAAATTTATATATTTACATTGAATTTTCTTCTCCGTATTTTAGAAAATAGATTTTCTATAAACATACAAACGGTCTACCTTTATTCTAAAACTTAGAAATTAGAAACATTGGAAATGAAAGGCTTTCTTCATTTATAGGTAATGTTTCTTTAATATCAATATGTGGAAATGATAAAGATATACATACACGTATTTTGTAGCAAATCGTTGGCGATCAACATTCAAACAGTCAAGCTGGACTTTCCACTTTTTCCATTGAATTAATTTGATCATTAACCGTCCTAAGATTTTGTGGTTTTCGACTTCACGTTTTTCCATTTTACTGGTGGCACTGCATAGTTTCTCAATCTAGTAAAGTAGTGAATTCATTTTTCACGATAAAATCAAAATGGTTCTTTAAGAGAAATAAATGAAAATAACAACCCTTCTGACGGCCAAGAACATATGAAATGTTCTACACATCATTGTTTTAGAGTAGGAATGTCACATTGTACATTAAACAATAGTTATGTCGATTCAAATTCCAAAATAGTCGCACTTGCAGCAATCAGTTTGCCAAGAAGCAGTAACGGAAATACAAGTAAACACAAGTAAGACGTTAATACATTTATAAGCAATTATGCGGTAAATATTTTACCAGACTCAAGCTAGCGAACACTAAGCCAGCGAACAATAAGATGCATCAAGCTAGCGAACAATAAGCCAGCGAACAATAAGAAAACGCGCCAACATGATCATGCCTAAAAACCGAAGACTTGCAATAACACAAAACGTCCTTTTAATTCTAATGAAACTAATTTCCAGTAGGAGAACGAAATGCAATTCCATTTTAACACAGACAAAGTTAATTAGTTATTCGTGTATCTAATACAACTGTTTTTTAACCGGACATCTAAAATTCCTATTAGGTAATCCTTTCTCTTTTTAGTGCTGTCTGATTAGAGATGGGTTTGTTGTTTTTATAATAATGAAACTAAACTAGTGTACATGTAACGATACAAATAAATCTTCTACTTTACATATGCGTTTGAAAAGAAAAGAAAAATAAATCATCTGATTTTGGAACGTCCAGTATTTTTTGTTAGATTTTCTTTAGAAATAAAAGCATTATACGCAGTTTTCTTCTTTTGTCAAAGAACTAGTTCATTTTTCTAATTATTCAAAAGTATGTCGTCACTCTGGTAATGTATTTACTATATTTCGAAAGGAAGAGTGATAAGTGTAAGAGAGGCACCCAAATAGAACGAAAAAAGAATTGACATAAAGATTTTGGTCAAAAGTTGGGGTAGGTTGACCCTACCACCATCCAATTTTAATTCATAAAAAAGTCCCTACGGCAAAGCTTTTGTCCACACTAGGTACAAATGATAGGCAATTGCCTAAGGTTGCCTGGACCCAAAGACCTAGGCGGGTAAAGTTACGGAACTTTCATAATTGAGGTCCAAAGTTGGGATATGGTGACCCAACCCCCTCCCTTCTTTAATTCATAAAAAATTTCCTAAGGCAAAGCTTTTGTCCACGCTAGGTACAAATGATAGGCAATTGCCTAAGGTTGCCTGGACCCAAAGACCCAGGTGGGTAAAGTTACGGAACTTTTGAAATTGAGGTCCAAAGTTGGGGTAGGGTGACCCTACCACCACCCAATTTTAATTCATAAAAAAGTCCCTACGGGAAAGCTTTTGTTCACACTAGGCACAAATGATAGGCAATTACCTAAGGTTGCCCGGACCCAAAGACCTAGGTGGGTAAAGTTACGGACTTTTATTATTGAGGTCCAAAGTTGGGATATGGTGACCCAACCCCCTCCCTTCTTTAATTCATAAAAAAGTCCCTACGGCAAAGCTTTTGCCCACACTAGGTATAAATGATAGGCAATTGCCTAAGGTTGCCTGGACCTAAAGATCCAGGTGGGTAAAGTTAAGGAACTTTTATAATTGAGGTCCAAAGTTGGGATATGGTGACCCAACCCCCTCCCTTCTTTAATTCATTAAAAATTTCCTACGGCAAAGCTTTTATCAACACTAGGCGCACATGATAGGCAATTGCCTAAGGTTGCCTGGACCCAAAGACCCAGGTGGGTAAAGTTAAGGAACTTTTTTAATTGAGGTCCAAAGTTGGGGTAGGGTGACCCTACCACTACCCAATTTTAATTCATAAAAAAAGTCCCTACGGCAAAACTTTTGTCCACACTAGGTATAAATGATAGGCAATTGTCTAAGGTTGCCTGGACCCAAAGACCTAGGTGGGTAAAGTTACGGAACTTTTATAATTGAGGTCCAAAGTTTGGATAGGGTGACCCAACCCCCTCCCTTCTTTAATTCATAAAAAATTTCCTACGGCAAAACTTTTGTCCACGTTAGGTACAAATGATAGGCAATTGCCTAAGGTTGCCTGGACCCAAAGACCCAGGTGGGTAAAGTTACGGAACTTTTGGAATTGAGGTCCAAAGTTGGGGTAGGGTGACCCTACCACCACCCAATTTTAATTCATAAAAAAGTCCTTACGGCAAAGCTTTTGTTCACACTAGGCACAAATGATAGGAAATTGCCTAAGGTTGCCTGGACCCAAAGACCTAGCTTGGTAAAGTTACGGACTTTTATTATTGAGGTCCAAACTTGGGATATGGTGACCCAAGCCCCTCCCTTCTTTAATTCATTAAACATTTCCTACGGCAAAGCTTTTATCAACACTAGGCGCACATGATAGGCAATTGCCTAAGGTTGCCTGGACCTAAAGACCCAGGTGGGTAAAGTTACGTAACTTTTTTAATTGAGGTCCAAAGTTGGGGTAGGGTGATCCTACCACTACCCAATTTTAATTCATAAAAAAAGTCCCTACGGCAAAACTTTTGTCCACACTAGGTATAATTGATAGGCAATTGCCTAAGGTTGCCTGGACCTAAAGACCTAGGTGGGTAAAGTTACGAAACTTTTGAAATTGAGGTCCAAAGTTGGGATAGGGTGACCCAACCCCCTCCCTTCTTTAATTCATAAAAAATTTCCTACCGCAAAACTTTTGTCCACGTTAGGTACAAATGATAGGCAATTGCCTAAGGTTGCCTGGACCCAAAGACCCAGGTGGGTAAAGTTACGGAACTTTTGAAATTGAGGTCCAAATTTGGGGTAGGGTGACCCTACCACCACCCAATTTTAATTCATAAAAAAGTCCCTACGGCAAAGCTTTTGTTCACACTAGGCACAAATGATAGGCAATTGCCTAAGGTTGCCTGGACCCAAAGACCTAGGTGGGTAAAGTTACGGACTTTTATTATTGAGGTCCAAAGTTGGGATATGGTGACCCAAGCCCCTCCCTTCTTTAATTCATAAAAAAGTCCCTACGGCAAAGCTTTTGCCCACACTAGGTATAAATGATAGGCAATTGCCTAAGGTTGCCTGGACCCAAAGACCCAGGTGGGTAAAGTTAAGGAACTTTTATAATTGAGGTCCAAAGTTGGGATATGGTGACCCAACCCCCTCCCTTCTTTAATTCATTAAAAATTTCCTACGGCAAAGCTTTTATCAACACTAGGCGCACATGATAGGCAATTGCCTAAGGTTGCCTGGACCTAAAGATCCAGGTGGGTAAAGTTACGGAACTTTTTTAATTGAGGTCCAAAGTTGGGGTAGGGTGACGCTACCACTACCCAATTTTAATTCATAAAAAAAGTCCCTACGGCAAAACTTTTGTCCACACTAGGTATAAATGATAGGCAATTGCCTAAGGTTGCCTGGATCCAAAGACCCAGGCGGGTAAAGTTACGGAACTTTTATAATTGAGGTCCAAAGTTGGGATATGGTGACCCAACCCCCTCCCTTCTTTAATTCATAAAAAATTTCCTACGGCAAAGCTTTTGTCCACGCTAGGTACAAATGATAGGCAATTACCTAAGGTTGCCTGAACCCAAAGACATAGATGGGTAAAGTTACGGAACTATTGTAATTGAGGTCCAAAGTTGGGGTAGGGTGACCCAAACCCCACCGAATTTTAATTCATAAAAAAGTACCTACGGCAAAGCTTTTGTCCACACTAGGTACAAATGATAGGCAATTGTTTAAGGTTGCCTGAACCCAAAGACCTAGGTGGGTAAAGTTACGGAACTTTTATTATTGAGGTCCAAAGTTGGGATAGGGTGACCCAACCCCCTCCCTTCTTTAATTCATAAAAAATTTCCTACGGCAAAACTTTTGTCCACGTTAGGTACAAATGATAGGCAATTGCCTAAGGTTGCCTGGACCCAAGGACCCAGGTGGGTAAAGTTACGGAACTTTTGAAATTGAGGTCCAAAGTTGGGGTAGGGTGACCCAACCCCCACCAAATTTTAATTCATAAAAAAGTCCCTACGGCAAAGCTTTTGTCCACACTAGGTACAAATGATAGGCAATTGCCTAAGGTTGCCTGAACCCAAAGACCTAGGTGGGTAAAGTTACGGAACTTTTATAATTGAGGTCCAAAGTTGGGATATGGTGACCCAACCCCCTCCCTTCTTTAATTCATAAAAAATTTCCTACGGCAAAGCTTTTGTCCGCGCTAGGTACAAATGGTAGGCAATTGCCTAAGGTTGCCTGAACCCAAAGACCAAGGTGGGTAAAGTTACGGAACTCCTACATGTACAACTTAGGTCCAAAGTTTGTAGACCGTATCTCCCAACTTGAATTCTTAAAAAATTTCTCACGGCAAAGCATTTGTCCACTCTAGTAACAAATGATATTAATTGCCTAAGGATGCCTGGACTCGAAGAACCCGCAGGTGGGTAAAGTTCCTGAACTTCTACAACTGATTTCACATTTGGTGTTTGCACACCTTATCACATCCAAAGTTTAATTTTGTCAAAAAATCATTTCGGTTAAGCGTTTTTCTCACTAGGTACAAATGATAGGCAATTCCCTACGTGTTACCTGGAACAGATGGGTCGGGTGGATAAATTCTTGGAACGTTTGCAACTGAGGTCCAAAGTTTGGAAATGGAGACCTTTTCCCCTCAAAACTTTAATTCGTCAAAACAATTCTCTACGCGGCAAAGCTTTGACCACATAAGGTACAGATGAAATTCAATGGCATAAAGTTGGCTGGATTCGATGAACCTGGTGAGTTAATTCACGGAACTACTGCAACTGAGGTTCAAAGTTGGGATAAGGGGATCATTCCGTCCAAACTTTAATTGTTATAAAATTTCCTACGACAAAGCTTTGATTTTGTCCATACTATGAACAAACGATAGGTTAGGCCTTGAAGTTGCCCGGACCAGATAGCGGAGGTGGGTAAATTCACCGAATTTCTTCAAATGAGATTCAAAATTAGGGTATGGAGACCCCCACCCTCCCAATTTTACATGTAACCCTTAACAGATTC